AGGACAATGTGTTTCAATTTAAAAACAGTATTAATGCATAACATTTCCTCCGTTTCGACCCACTGCCAGACGCGACTGAAAGATTCCAATTTGGACAGAACGAGATTTTCACGAGCTCGGAGATAAGAATTCAATTTTTAGTCTCTCTCTCACTCCGCCTTTTTATCAATTCAAAAAGTCGAAAGCGAGGAAGCCGGGCACTCCAATCTCCTTAACAATGCGACGAAAAATGTTTAATTTAGAGAAAAAAGGGTCCTCTCGCGAGCGACGCGACGCCCGGATGCAATTTTTATTCCTCTCGTTTGATCTCGCGAAATAAATATTTCATTAGGATCTGTCGTTAACAAACTCCATTCCGAGCCCTCTGTTTCGTTTCTCTTTAATTTGATTTGTCAATTTGTGAGCAACTTTAAAGTAACATAACACGGTTATTAATTCAAATACCAGAACACGAGATCCAGAGATGTTATCGTAAATGGATCCTCCATTGCGCTAATCTTCTTTCAAGATAGCTTTACGCCTGTTCAATTTTTAAAATCAAATTTTCCACCGAATTACTCTCCAAACTTTGTTATCGCGCCTCGCGTTTGGGGCCTCGGAAATTTTCCGTCGATATTAATTGCGTTTCATGAATACTCGACGCCAGTTAAAGGTGAAAACAACAGCTCCCACGAAAATGTATACGTTTTTAACGTTGCAAACGAGCGATACGTTCACTCTATTATTTAAACTTTTCCTACGAAGGTTGGTAAAACGAATTTTCCGATACGACAACGAGGGCAATAATTATTACAGGCGTTTTCAAGCGCAAAACGAGAAGCAGCAAGAATGGAACGAAAGCAAATCACCGGAATCGGATGTTCGCGTAACGACACAGATGTTGTCGTTGAATAAATCCGAACGAATAAGATAAAATTCCACCTCCCCTCCCCCTCACAGGTTTTCTACCAATATTCTTTAAAACGCAGACATTTTCCGCACGTGACGCGGAAATTTCACCGTGAACGGAAATTCGAAAAAATAAAACGAAACGCGTACGTACGGTTGTACAGTTCGAAGTGCACGATCATCCTCCTACGCATGAATTATACATGACGGGTACACTGTATGAGTCAGCCATGTGACACATTGCTCGTCGCTTGTGTAAATAAAATAACGTTACGTATGTCGTTTGACTTTCCTCCAGTTTTAATTGCCCGCCAGATACGAAACGGGTGTTTAAAAGTTTCATAAGAAATGATAAATGTGGGATTCCCGAAACGTGCTATTAAGATTACGCGAATTCTTTTCGAAATAGCGAAAAAAACGTACGCTTTCATTTCACTGGTCGAAAGTAAACGTGTTTAACGAAATAAAAAGAAAAACAATGTATTATAAAATTTGTATTATATCCCCTATTAAAATATTACGAGAACCAAATATTTGTTTGGAGAATGTATATGTACAAATTCAAAGTTTAAAGAGAGTTTGAAACAGATAAATAACGTTCGACGAATAGAGATGGAAAGTGAATTCGTTCGCGAATTAATGCGCAATTAAGGTTGCCGGCTAACGAGAACGCGATATAAACAAATAATAAGCCGAACGAAAATCGTGGAATCGACGCGGAACGGTTCTCATATTCATGGAAGTTCCTTGATATAGCGGGGTCGTATACCTCGTGTTTGGCGAACATGTAGCCATAGTAACGTTACTCTCTTGTCCTAGAAATTCCTTGTTCAGCATTGCGCCTAGATTCTTGCGCAGCGTGTCACGCCGCAAATGAGTTCAATACTTGATCATTACTTAGTTCGTCGTTCATTATTTACGTATTCTCAGGCTGCTCCATTGTGCTAGAATCTTCTCATCGAGCATTGTGCCCGGATTGCATCGGCTCATACACGCTCAAATTACTCAAATATTCTCTACTTTCTTCGTTTACTATATCCAAATAATTTGCAATTCGAATTAGCAGATTCTGCTTGATTCTATTTAAAAAAAGGTATATAGGTCTTGTGAACGCCCATATATTCATTGATTTTAACTATTATTTCTAAAAATCAATACTTTCCTCTTTCGATAGAAAGAAAATTAGTTAACATTCCTTCGAGCCTGAAGACCCATATTTAGTCGGAAACGATTCTGCTTGATTTTATTTTAAAAAAGATATATAGGTCTTGTGAACGCCCATATATTCATTGATTTTATCTCTTACTTCTAAAAATCAATACTTTCCTCTTTCGATAGAAAGAAAATTAGTTAACATTCCTTCGAGCCTGAAGACCCATATTTAGTCGAAAACGATTCTGCTTGATTTTATTTTAAAAAAGATATATAGGTCTTGTGAACGCCCATATATTCATTGATTTTAACTATTATTTCTAAAAATCAATACTTTCCTCTTTCGATAGAAAGAAAATTAGTTAACATTCCTTCGAGCCTGAAGACCCATATTTAGTCGGAAACGATTCTGCTTGATTTTATTTTAAAAAAGATATATAGGTCTTGTGAACGCCCATATATTCATTGATTTTATCTCTTACTTCTAAAAATCAATACATTCCTCTTTCGATAGAAAGAAAATTAGTTAACATTCCTTCGAGCCTGAAGACCCATATTTAGTCGAAAACGATTCTGCTTGATTTTATTTTATAAAAGATATATAGGTCTTGTGAACGCCCATATATTCATTGATTTTAACTATTATTTCTAAAAATCAATACTTTCCTCTTTCGATAGAAAGAAAATTAGTTAACATTCCTTCGAGCCTGAAGACCCATATTTAGTCGGAAACGATTCTGCTTGATTTTATTTTAAAAAAGATATATAGGTCTTGTGAACGCCCATATATTCATTGATTTTAACTATTATTTCTAAAAATCAATACTTTCCTCTTTCGAAAGAAAGAAAATTAGTTAACATTCCTTCGAGCCTGAAGACCCATATTTAGTCGGAAACGATTCTGCTTGATTTTATTTTAAAAAAGATATATAGGTCTTGTGAACGCCCATATATTCATTGATTTTAACTATTATTTCTAAAAATCAATACTTTCCTCTTTCGATAGAAAGAAAATTAGTTAACATTCCTTCGAGCCTGAAGACCCATATTTAGTCGGAAACGATTCTGCTTGATTTTATTTTAAAAAAGATATATAGGTCTTGTGAACGCCCATATATTCATTGATTTTAACTATTATTTCTAAAAATCAATACTTTCCTCTTTCGAAAGAAAGAAAATTAGTTAACATTCCTTCGAGCTTGAAGACCCATATTTGGTCGAAAACGTTTATTACGTAATGGGAATTGAAGTCAATGAATACACGGATCCACGTAGGATTTACACTTTTTTCAATTTGTAATTGCTCTGGTCGTCTATAAATTGTTTGCTCGTCCTAGATTCTACTGTCGGAGAGCATTGTTCTCGAAATCTTACGTTAGCACTTGAAGCCGCAAATTAGTACGTTGCTTACGTAAACCCAAAAGCTGTTGTTAACAGATATTAACAATACAGTGCAGAATTTCGTTTACATAACAAATAACGGTGTGCTCGTAAACTGCAAACGAGAGCTTATTCGTCGTTCATATTGCGTTTTAAATTATTTCGAAGAAACTTTAAAATAATTTTATTATCATCTACGTGAGAAATGTGAGACATTTGCAAATAGAAAGTTAACAAGCTTTCAGCGAAATCATTGTTGTCTTATTTTTAGACGCGGACTACACTTTGCGTGGAGATATGTAGGACAACCTATACATTTGTAAATTATTCGAGTCATTACCACACCGTGTATCTGATCGTACAAATACGAATAATGCACGACGTATATGCAAAATATCAATGGGGTACATTTGCCACGCTAATTGCTTTCTTTCTTCTCTTTGAATCATTTATCACTCCACGCAACGCAAAGAAGGTTTTATTCGATGCATTATTGAAACGCGTTGCTTGCAGAATTATTATTTGCGAAAACTATTGCATTTCAAAAATGGCGGTTATCGACGTGTAGATAGCAATTTAAAACAAAAATGTATCATTTTAAAAATTACGATATACTTTATCTGTCGACTCAATGTCGACACTCGACTATTTGCAAAATTGGAAAATATCCAATTTGGAGTTTGACTCTGTTAATTTAAAAATGGATTCGTTAACGTACTTCCGACGATAGGTTTCGATTCTGTCGGAAGCGCCGGCCGTTTCGATAATCGATTTCGAGTCGCCGGTCGAATCGAAGAAGAAAGTTCGTTGGACTTTCGAGCACCGGCGGCGACTTTCTAAAATATTACCGCGACGCTTGTTTCTTAATCGAGGCGGGAAACGTTACGAGGCTGAAATAAACTCGATTTCGCGTAATAACGCGGCGTTTTCATTTGTTCGACGACGCGGCCCGGGTCGTGCCACGTGCACGAACATAAAAACGTTCCCGCCGGTGACAGGTGCGTCGAGGGGAAACTCGTTTTTTAAGCAACCGCGCTATAGAATTTCGAGCGCGGCAGCGTCGCGTTTAACCGTGACAATTTTATCCTTTTTAACTGACACTTCCCCGTCGCTTTTTCCATCGAAAAATCTCATTCCTTCAAATCGACCGTCGCGTGAAACGCAAAACTGCCTCTTAACGACAGCTGCGACGACTTTCGCAACAAGTGCACCGCGAAACGATCGAACCATTTCGCTCGATAAACTGCATCGCGGTAAAAACGATCGATTATCGAACCGCAAATTTAACGGCAATGCTGCACGGGGATAACAAAAAAATTACAGCTCTCTAGAATCGCTGGTCGATATCGACGAACCGCGTTACGGTAATCCGATCGATTATCGAACCGCGTATTCGAGAAAGATTAAAACGAACAGAAATTTAATTGAACCATCGATGACTCAGAAGTGGAAAGGACCATAACAGTATCGTACGTTGTTGATACCAACGACACGATCTCGATATTGACAAACTCGATGAACGATCTAGCCACGAAACTGAGCATACTTGTTAATTATAAAGGTAAAGATCTGTTACTCACGGTGCTTCATGCTCGTCGATTATTCTCTTAAATTTCGGGTCCAGTCGAATCACGATTCGCAGCGGAATAAACACGCGGTCGGCAAACGGTGGAGTCACGTGTAGCGGAACATATAATCCTCGTCGATCCTGTCGATCCCAAGGAGCACGACGCGTCACTGACGCGTCTCGTCGCGTAAAAACCAACGATTCATCGAAGTCGTTCGTTTCACCGCGAAAACATCACCGCCGTCGACGACTCCGTCCGGTTGCCCGTCGATCGATGGATCCTCCGGGATCGGTGAAGGTTAGTACCCGGGTCGAATCGATCGCGACGCGATACCGCTCTTCGAGATCGACTTACGCCGTTTCGCGTCCCGCGTCCACTCTTCGAATACTGTTCGTGTGCCACCTATGCGCGCCCCTTTCGAATCCTATTCCGCCGCGCACACGTACGCGAAAGAAGGAAAAGGTGTTCTTGGCTAAGTTCGGTTAGGTCAAGTGTTTTCCCGGCGTAGTCTCGAGGAGCACTTGTTGATTCCGGACGAGCATAGTTCTGACCAGAACGCCGAGAACCACACCTTACGAGAGACTGTAGTGGATATACTCGGTTCGAGTTGAAAGGCCCTCGCCCGTGAGACAACCTCAGGTGCGTAACCAGCCTGTGGCGAACCCGGCGCTTCATCGATCGCGCTCCTTCGGGATCCTCAGTGTTTCTCAAACTTTCCCTCACTCAACGACTTACACTTCTGCGTAAAATAAAGAATTATTTTCACGAACGAACTTTCGCACGATATATGTATTATAATTACGAACGAATAATCTTGGATATGTTTGATCGTTTTCAGAGATAACGAGAAATTTAATTTAAAATAAATTATCAGCTGCATGCAATATTTCGGTTTTATAATTAGCTACGAAACGAAAGTAACGCTTATACAACTGAAAGCAGTTAATGGAGGTATCCTTTATAGCGTATTGAAAGTCGAGAGTTCTAAACCCCTCCCCAAAGGAGGATCTTTTCTAATCGTTTTTCGTGCATCCGTTATTAATTCTAGATTTTAAAAGTCCTCCGTACGGCGAGTTTCTCCGCGCGCGTTGAAAGAGACTCTTATAACCGTGAGCGAAATATCGTTGAGACTGCGTCTTAAAGTTTAAACATCGTGGAGACGACGTTTCCTGTACACCCGACCTAATAACGTTGCTTGAAATAAGTGTGCTCGTAAGCTAAAAAAAGGTGACGGTCAAATGCAAATATACCGCCATGTGGTCGCCATAAATTCTTCCCAGGTAAACATGCAAATTACCATCGTTCGTTATTATCTTTCGTACGCGCAGGTGCATGCACAGATTCCTTCTCTCTGTAATCTGGTACGAACACATATTTTTTCTTCGTCGATGCTTGCAAAGCTATTTCGCTAATTTTAAACATCGTTTATACGTTTTCAATTGATATAATAGTATAACGTTTTCCAAGAAGTTTGAAGCTCGCCAGTGAGCACCGTGGTTAAGTGAACGTGTTAAAGGCCCGAATCGGGTCACATAGACACGACCATAATAGAAGGGTTAACCGAACAGTCTTGTCTCCCAATTGGTACGAATAATGGAGGTTCGACTGCAATTATCGACCATCGAATCGTTACTCCTGCTGAGAATATCGGAAGGGAATGCCCCCGGGAACGTTGCAAAGAACGCCACGCCTAAAGTTCGTTCTTGCATAGGCATGTTAACGCCAAAGTGAGGGTACAACTTTTACTTTAAGAATCGGAGATAGCTAAGGCGGGAGGCAACGTACCGAAACGACGTCTTGCCATTCAAGGTGAAACATAAGAAGAAACTATCAGGTATCAAGGTGAAGTGCAGGGTGGCACTTACGAATATCCGGTAATCGTCGACAATTTACACAATGTGCCTTTTAAACGGTTGTAATTCGAAGCTTTAAACAGCGCAATCTTGCAACAAAAGGTCGATTAACCTACCAAGCTTTGCCTTCTGCTCGCCAGCGAACCTGCGAAACTGATTTGGACCAAGTGCAGCGTACCTCCCCACGAAATCGTTGCACTTGTTTGATTCATTCACTCTGTAATATAAATTTAGTTAGTTACGAATTTTAAAAATTAATTTAGCTCTTAATATGCATGGAAAACTGCTTACCTAAAAATAAAAGTCCATTTTTATTTGTGGATCAATTTTAAGGTGAATCCCCATATTCTCCAATTTAAGTTGAGCCATGTTGCAATTTACGAAAAGTGTTAATAATAACGACACGCCAGCAATAAACATATAGTTTACATTTTATTCACCTGGACTTGCGTATATTGAGTCCGAGATCAAGTACCATTCCTGAAAAAGACTAAAAAGATCCACAGAAGACTACTAGCAGATGTTATCTAACGTCTGATAACTTCGTCTTTGAATTTAGATACCATACAGTAAATATAATCACGCTTATCGCGCGTTTCTGAGCTCGTAATCCTAACGCAACTAGGGAGCATGGTTGGTCAGTGCATTAAAATTGTAACCGTCGACGGTGAATCGTAATATTTTGTCTCTGAATGGAGCGTACGAAGGGAATAAATTTGTTTAAAATACCGTTATGCCCGGCGGTAAATAATTAGTAGGCACCCAGCGTGCTCGCTTAAGGAATCATTCAGCGATGGCCGACTCGAGCCGTCCCTGAATCGTCCCGAGGAGAGAGGAACCAACTACTCGGCTCGAAAATGGGGGTACGGCGTACCGTACGTTCACCGTGCGGCGTTCACCTCAGTTTTATCGACGTATTTTTCTCGTTCCCTCTCTTTCCTACGTTCCGACGATTTCCAGACGTACGTTTACGCGTGTATCGCATACCTTTCCATCTCTCGCCCGATAACTGTCGTCGACCTCGTGCAATTTCTGCCGTACCATGCGAATCGACGCGCGGACAGGGTGGTCCGTGCACAGACGAGATATCGTCTGTGGTCCGTGTTCGACCGACGAGAATAAACATCGACGGACGAGATCGATCCGTACGTTTCGACGGGATTTTAAATGTTCCACGGGGCATCGAGAAACTTGGGAACGACGACGGGGGGAACGGGTACGCTTTTACCGATATTCCGGAGAGTGTGAATCGTAAAACCGGTTCTCGGGCGACGAGCGTGTTCCGAAAAATTTTTCGGATAAAAGAACCGCGCGATGTACGGAATAACGGGTCCCTGCAGGTGTTGAATTTAGCGTGGTTTTCTTCGCGTCGCGATACTTCGTGGATCCTCGACGAAACGGGTAAGCGAGCGACGCGAATTTCGAATGTCGGTATCGACGCGCTTGAGGCGATGGCCGTTGGATGGCGCTCGAGTCGGGGCGCGAGATTTTCGTAAATTAAATTCTTCGCGGCGCTTTGAATTCGGGTAAAAGACTTGATTACTGTCACTTGTACGATCTAAGATTGTTCCATTTATTTATCGAAAGCATAGGCTTTCTCGTGTTGGCTGTTGTTGTTCGATATTTTTAATTTATTGTTATTTATAAAGTCAAGTTAAGAGACTCGATTGCTGTACTCTTAACTAAGAATCAAAAATGAAATTTCGACGATTATATGCATTCTCCTCTTGGGGCACGAACTCGTGTAGAAATAGAACTCTTATTTATTATTCTTGCGATGCCTGTGAATGTTCGTTTGTTTTTAGATACATCGAGACGGGGAACATCTGTGAATACCGGCAGTTCTCGTCAAATTGCGTACAAAGTACTAAAAAAAGTATTAATAGCGTGTATTCTTACAGTACTATTTATAAATATTTACATGATTTTGTAAAAATTATTATGAAGATATCCAATGATACTAATTGCCATGTTTTTAGCGTTATTATAATACAATTGTGTGTTATGCAAATGAGACATATACCGAGCGATACTATTTTATACTATAACGACAGAACGTCAAGTGTAATAATAGTTTAACGTTTAAAAATAATGGAGTTATCCTAGTGTGATCAATATCTACAAAAATCCCTTCTTCGCACACTCTCTAAACAAATTTCTTTGTTGGGTGCGAAGAGCGATGTTATATATAGGCCTTCAATGTGCGACCATGTATCATTTTCAACGCCCTTGGTGACGTAAAAAGCCAACGTGCACGATTAAAAAAAACATCCCGTACGTGTGATTATAACGTGCCCCTATGTTTTGTGCCAGGCCAGGCCTGAGGACGGTTTCAACTTTTGGGTATATTTTAGCACACACCTACTGTCTCAGGGACAAATAAATGGAAACCATATACATATGTTGCACATAAGGGTAATGCTGAAATTGTTAAAAATAAGTTATTCCACGAAACATTCAAAACATTCTTGTTACTCGTAATATAAACAATTGCTACAAATATAGTCTCAGATTAATGTCCCACTCTCCACAATTCTCCAAGCACTTTTGCATAATAAAGATTAATAAGCAGACAAAAATGACAATAATCTTGAATCGAAAGCCAACCAACTGCTTGGAAAATCGTCTACGCACACCCTGTACGCGCTGTAAGGGTCAAACGATCAACGGAGTCAAGCCGACGCAACTTTCGGTGCCGTCTTACAGCGGGAAATCTGCGCGAGCGCGGACCGACGGTGGACAAGAATACACGCATGTGTATCCCGCGTCCGGTAGCACAAGTTCCGTTCTGCGACTCGTCTCGTGCGGACGCGCGACAACGCCACCGGGACCGTGGTCGCGACAAACTCGCGCGGCGATTGGCGAATTTCGGGGGCGGGTGGGCTCCACACGCGAATGGTATTGCGGGACGCGTCGTCGCGACGCTGCATTTCGTCCAGGGCGCCATAACGCGCGACTTCCACACGCACGCAAACCGATCGCCCAACCGGCGACGAAGCATACTCCGTTGTCGGGTGACATGTCGCTGTTCGCCTGTTGCATCCGTAGGGTGAGTTTTACCCCGTTCCCGCCACGAACACTCGCTCTTTCACCCCCCAGAGACGCGGTGGATCCAGTGGTTCTTAACCCCCCTTTTCCATCCCCTTCCACAGCAGGGATTTAAATGATTCCAGAAATAACTGTTTCATAACTGTTGTAACCAATATTTTACTGCACGATTATACGTCTGACTTCATGTGGGCATCGATCTTGAAACGGTTTCATATCGATTGTATATCGATTTTGACAAGGTTCGGTATTGTAAGGGTTACAAGATCGACATTGAGGTTCGTAGATAGTGTTTGTAGAGGAATCGGGGAAGGGATGATTCTGTGGGAAAAAACATATCGAAAATAGAGAATGAAATTTTCGTTGGAGGATTCGGTTTCCGGAAAATCGACTTTACGTGCGCGCAACAGAGTCTGATTTGAACTTCAGCGCAAGAAGAATCGGACGGTAGTGGACAAATCTTCAAATTCAATTATCCTTCATTTTTTATTTGTTTTTTTTTATGACACATTGAAGAACCGGAACAAAATCGGCATACATGAAAATTTCGGTTCTCCATAGCAATCTTGAGACCCAGAATTGATATTATAACAGTTTCCAATCCCTGTTTACCTTATCGGTTGAATCGATGTTTTTCTACCAGTGTTAACAAATTGCAAAATTGTATCTATATATATGTATAGCACGTGATAATTATTATTTCCCGATTCCTTACGATGTACAAAAGAATTCTACCTTTACTTTGCCAAAAACAGCCAATTTTCTATATCTCGTCATAGTTTTTTTGAGGTCATTGACCCCGTGGCTTCGACTACCACTGATTCTTCGCCTACTTTACTCCACGTGCTCCAGTACGAGTTACTGCATTTTTTTATGCATCGATATTTCAAATGACGTTGAATAGTTAAAGTTTCTAGTTCAAGAGACAACTCTTGATCAGCGTTTGACACACGCGCGACTATGGACTCGCGACGATAAAGCAATTCTTAATCCGAGCGTACAAAAATTAATGTTTACTCTTCCGATAACTGTGTGCCTTTCATTTCGAGCGGCTTACATCGCGATGGAGGCGTTCGTTCGAACTGTTGCGGGCGATAAAACGATACCGGAGCAACGGCGACAGAACGTAATGGCGCGTAATGGTCGTCCTTGATAAGGATCGATGGTACATGGCGACGATTGGAATAGTCATAAGGCTCGGATCAATCGAAGGCCTCGTACACACGATGTACGCTTTTCGCATCGCGTGGCATCGGTGCGGCGTCTCTATCGCGTCGAAACTGAACTGATTGCATCACAGCTTCATTGTTGTCGCTCCGTACACGATTCATCGAATGGCGAGTTTAAAGATATCAACCCATTTAAAAATAAAAATTCGGGAACAGATTCAACTTTACGGAAACAGAATCTCTTCCTAAGAATTAGGAAGCAATCTTCATGAAAACCAACTCAAAAACGAAAGGAATTGTTAACTAACATATCTGTTAATAACAAGGGGATTATGTCGAGGGCTAAAAAATTTCAAATTCGTTAATGCCTAGATTGGGAATTTAAATTTCTAGCTGATGAATTATCTATGAATAACTCGAGGCGTAGAATTCGGTGAAATTTTGTTTTCTGAGAAGTTCGGAAGTTCGTAGAGGGGTGAGAGAATATAAGAAACCGCTTGTTTACCAGAAAAAAAAATCGGTGCAGCGTCGATTTTTTTCCACGACCGCGGGCTAGCCTTAATTCTTGCTCACCCCTGTCGCTCAGGTGGCAGAATCGGTAAACAGAAAAATGAAGTTAACTTCGCGTTGCGGGGCCGACGGGGACCGGGAGCGTGTTCAGCGTAACTCGCTAGGGTGAACGGATACATTTTCCGCTACTTAACGGATTTCATGCTCAACTATCAAAGAGATCGCGTCCTTGCTCTAATCAGCGCGCATATTAATAGAACGGGACTTTGATTTTGCAAATTTTCTTGGAATCGTCGCGCTCACGGTTACGCGTGTCTTCTGCGCGAGGTGGAGAAAAAAAAGTTATTTCGTGCACCAGAAAAACAAATTAAAAGAATAGAAATTTATTTGCTAACCTGTAATTATTTGTTAGTGTTACTTGGACAGTTTTTCGATCGTAAAATTCACGTTGCCTCCGCATTGTTTCGCGTAACGATACGACGTGATTTTACAGAATCATCGAAGAATGGAGGACGCTCATCAGCAGGCGTTGCTGAAGGAACCGCCGGAAATATCGTGGGAGAATACCTTGGGCGCGCCACACGGCGTGCCATTCGACGACGACACGAAGGAACTCCTCAGGAAATGCCTGGACGTCACGGCACCGTCGCCCACGACCCTGGCACAAATCATCAAGCGAAGCGAGGCCTTCCCTATCTACTTTCCAATTAACACCATGAGATGCTCTGCCCTAAAAGACAGAGGGATCAGCAACGACATCCTCGAGGTTTGGCTCCTTACTTCCCCTTAAGAGCAAACCCTACTCCGAAACTCAATCTTTTTAGCGATTCTTTGAAATTTTTTGTGGAAAACGATAAAATATTTTTGTGTCAAATTTCAACGCGTATATTTAGATCCATACTTTAAGAATGTTCACAATTTTTTTCGTGGAACAATATTCAATATTTTAGAAGTTACCAGTACCTTAGTAAAGGCACAGACGAGCTATACGAAACCTTTCGTGGCTGCCTTTTTTCGACGAAAAAAAAAATTTTAAATCGCTCTAAAAAAATTAATTGTAATTCCAGGGGTTAATTACAATCATTTTTCGTGGATAGACATACCCACGAAATCCTAACCCGTTTCGAGAAAAAAATTCAATAAGCGGATAAATATTTCGACAAAATTAAAACATTTCAAACCCTTCTAAAAAAATTATTGCTAGTTGCAGGGGTCAATAACAATCATTTTTGGTCATTACACATACCCACGAAATCCTACCCACTTTCTAGAAAATAATTCGAGAAGTGGATAAATATTTCGATAAAATTAAAACATTTCAAATCGTTCTAAAAAAATTATGCTTAGTTGCAGGGGTCGATTACAATCATTTTTGGTGAATAGACATACCCACGAAATCCTACCCACTTTCTAGAAAAAAATTCGAGAAGTGGATAAATATTTCGATAAAATTAAAACATTTCTAATCGTTCTAAAAAAATTATGTTTGGTTCCGGGGATTAATTACAATCATCTTTGGTGAATAGACATACCCCCGAATTCCTTCCCACTTTCTAGAAAAAAATTCGAAATGTTGTGAAATTTTTCGGCGAAAAAAAAATTTTCAAATCGTTCTGAAAAAATTATTTTCGGTTGTAGGTATCAATTACAATGATTTTTTGTCATTACACATACCCCCGAATTCCTACGCACTTTTGAGAAAAAAATTCTTTACCGAAAACATAATGTGTGGTCAGGAATGTTTCTGTAATTTAATTTTCTGTCTCGCTTTCTCTTGTGTTTAATTGTGTAACCTGTAATGTTTGCTTCGTAAGAAATACGATTTCGAGGTGTTTGAAACTTTTAATGGGGTTTTGTTAAACATTGACTTGCAATAAATGCTTGGTCGCGATTCTCGATTCTGGCATTTGAATTGTAGATGAACGTGAATTCGGTTTACCCTTTGATACACGAGGCGATGTTACCGTTGCTCGCTCGGTGGTTGAAACATAAACGACTGTACGGCAGTGCCATCGAGAGGGCCATGTACATGGATATGGGATTGATACAATTCATTCACCGATTGTTGGAAAAGAGGGCGGTGCATTTCTATGGGTCTGACGATCGATGGAAGCTGATCGATGGTAAGACGGGCGTCGACGGATGGGACAACGTTGGCACCGATCACGAAAAGGAACCTCTGGTTAGTTTTACATTTTTTTTGTTGAATTTAGAATAACTACCAACTGTAAACAAAACGTAAACAAATAGAAAAACCTTCTGTCCCACTTTCATTTAATATCACTCGCATTTCAAATATAATGTTGCACAAATAGAATTTTATAATTTAGATTGTAGATAAGAGTCTTGAATAAAGAAATTGGAGGCAGAAGGAGTTGATGACGTTAGAGATTTGTAAAAAATGGATGTTTTTAACGACAGGTCCTAACGAAATGTTTGTCTTACGACGAGATCAAGCTGTCCGCGATGATGGCGATGTCCTCTCATACCGAATTTATAAACGATGGCTCGCGAGAGAACAGAGGCATCGTGAGTACCGATCCAGACTCCGTTCAGCCGAGAGGAGTCGTTATAGGTGTCGTGGGACCAAGGTTTCCTATGCTTATTTAACGCTTACCGTTAAGGAGGTCTTCTGGTTTAGAACTTCAAAAACTTCTTCTCAACACAGTTCCTAGGGATGTATCTAAATAAACGTGCAAAAGAAGCTACTGTTTTCGAACAAAAATTATTAAAAGGCACCCATTTTCGATCTTCCAAACCAGAAAACTACTTTGAAGGGGTGTTCGTCTTTTCTCGTCAAAAATACATAATACTTGTCATTTTTAAGGAACTATAACACACACAGATTTTAAAGACGTAAAGAGATATTTAATACGCTTAAAAAGAAGCACAGTTAAGGTGCATTTCATCAAAAACAAAAGAAACGAATACCCCTTAATTGAGTTATCGAATGCATTGGCATGTTAGCATTTTCGCATCGACAAAGCACTCGTTTAATCTTTCGTAATATTGTTTCCAGATTCGAACGACCACGCGTCATGGAGTACCAAGACATCCTGATCACTCCTTTGCAAAATACAGCGGATCACGGGTGAGCTATGAAACTTGTTGCACAGAGTGTACAAGCATAATCGCTCTTTTTAAACGCAATATATCGATTCGCAAGATGTGAAGTGTCCACCTATAGATAAGTCAGCAACGCTTAATAGGATTAGAAATCATAGATACAACTATGTTTCCGCGAATTAAATACGTTTAAACGGAAATTTCGAATATAAAATTTTTATTTAGAAAATGTTCGAACACGAACACGAAACGACGTATGTATTTTGTTTATGGTTTATGATATTGATATAGGTACGGACCAACGACGAATGGAAGTTTGGAGACGGAGCATGGAATGCGCGTTTTATGGGCGAGATTTTACGGCGAGGTGTATCTGCCACTCTACGAGGAGACCGTGAAACGTGTCAAATCGAAGGACAATAAAAGATACCTTTCCCTATCCAGTCAAACTGTCTTCGACATCGAGAATTACATGAAACGAATCCTACTATCCGTGGAAATCATACTACTCGAGGCAAACACGCGAGCCGAGAAACAAAACACCACTGCCTTCCTACACGTCGTAGGATTAGGTCTCGGTAAGTAATTATCTTTACAATTGTGAAATTAAATCTTTGATAGCAGATATTTTTAACTTTATGAATTTCTGAAAAGAATATGCCTTCGAAAAGTTGCGGAGCTTTGGTTCTAATATGAACTTTCCAAGATCATTGATATCGAATGCTCTGGTAAATTGTGTTTGGCTACTGATAATTCGACAGTTATCGAAATAACGAAGAGTTCTCGATCTGTACATAAAACATGTTTCCCCAAAGTTTGGCCATAGCTTTCAGTTACTCAAATTGAAACAAATCGCCCCGAGAAACTTGCATTCGAAAGGAAAAGGAAATTTCATTATCGTAAACACGACCTTTGAGCCTTTGAACAAACTTCGTAGACCTATCAAACATTTAATTTCCGATAATTAATAAAGTTACTGGTATTTACTTAACAATGATGTACAATTAAGAGATAGTAATAAATTTAAAATAGATGAAAATGAATTCTCTTGATCTTTGCCAATGCATTTGATCGATTTTAATGACGACACGATTAAAATATGATTTCCCAGGTGTGTGGAGGGTACTTCAAGATCAAGAGATATACTTCCTAAAGACGTTCGAGATCGCCATCAAGAAGATGAACAAGAAACTGAAATACGTGTCCGACATAATGTTCGCGTACTTCGGTCAGCAAAAGTGTGGCGACGCGGGGAACGGCGACTACCTTGGAGGTTCGCTAATAACTTCGATCTGTCGTTTAGGTGGGAACGATTACTACAAATCAGCGTTTCGTTGCAGATATAAAGATTCACTTCGCTCTTAGGGAGCCGCACAGCAAGCTGTTCAGAGCCACGGACGCGAACAAGCTTCTCGTGGTGACGTACGCGTGGGACGGAAACGCAATGCCAGGTTGTTGAACGATAAAACAAAGATCAATAGAAATATATGTGCAAAGCTTGAAATTTGTATATCCAATAGTTTTCTTTAAAAGAAATCTCAACCATACAAGCTAGAGTCACTAGATCGTTTGTAAAGTGGAGAAACTGTCGAAAATTATTACGCGGAGGATCGATCGTTAAAGTCGATTATCGTTCACGCAGGAAACGAATTTTGGAGCGGATTTTTGGCATCGAGCGGGGATCCTGCGGCGGCCTGTAGCACCCAGGTGGCGGAATTGCACACGTCGAGGATCAATCCTCGAGCTTGCGGCGCGAGTTTGCACGTCGCGTCCGCGGAGCACGGTATTTTGCACATATCGGATTATGCGAAGCTACATCTTGCTTAGGTGATTTACTTCGTCCTCAAAAATAATAAAAATAATTTGTAGACAACGTAGTCTTTGCGAGCTACGATTTATTAAAATATTTTCGACCTGAAACTGCGGGTCAATTGGGTCAGACTTTTCGAGTTGAATTTAAATATCAATCTTAGCGTAACTTGGATGACCATAAATGGCAGTATTCAAAGACAATAATAACCTTGCAACGTTCTTGGTATTTCCACCTGGTATCAAGAAAACGTCGTACTATTATTTAAAAATAAATGAATCATACAGATGACCTGTTTCGAGTACCCTACACAGTTTATACATTATCGTTCAAAAGTTCGTAACATCGCAACGCAATGAAGCTTTCTACTATGCGTTCTACAAATTATTATTATCGTAACTAGACTGCGGATGTTGTGAAACCTAGATCGAAATTTCGTTTATTGTTAAATAGTTTCGAAGATGTATTTTTATTTTGTAAAATGGTCCAGACAAAACGATCACTTTGACATGGTGGATTCAGTATTGACACTACGACTACCAGAAGTGGTCAGAATGATTGGTTTCTAATGGTAAAAAATATACTCGACTGAATCTTTGCTACCGTGGTTTTCTATAAAAGAACGAATAAATATTTATTTCCATTGTATCGTACATTTCTTCGAGAATCTATTGTTTTAATTTCTTTGGTACAAATAATATAGAGTTAATGGAAGACCTTGTGAGTAAGATCAATGCACGAATACCCGCAGTCTAGTGGCGATAGAGGCTAATTTATGCTCGATAAAGGACTAATTGTAAATGTGATTGCAGGAGAGGGCTGGCCCTGTGGGCACAGGTCAACGAAGACCATCACGGTCTCCTCGAAGTCAGAGGAGCCGCAGCGCGGACGTGGACTGTTTGAAGAAGTACACGGAGAGACGCGTGGAAGAGAGAAGGCACACGGAGATCCCGGACACCAGCAAGCTGGATCCATCTCGATGGATCCCTCTCCCGAAAACGATCGCGAAGAAGTCGCCGCAGCCGTCGCGCGACGAAGAGAAACGACGATCCGTGTCGATCGACGTGGACGAGAAACGTCGTTCGGTGTGCGTCGACGTCGAGGTCGAGAAACGACGCTCGGTGTCCGTGGACGTCGACGAGACCGCGTCGCCGGATGCTAGCAAAACGAGCATCGCCACGCCGAAGAAACTGTCTCCGACGAAGGAGGAGGAAACGAAAACCGTCGATAAGAGAAACGATATACCGTCGACGGCTGCGCCCAGAACGACGCCGGGCAGGAGCCATAGCACGGACGTCGGCCATATTAAGAACGAAAAGCTCGAGGAACGAAGGCACACGGAGTGCAGCGATCCACGAACGATCGCGACGAGGTTGACAGAGCACATTTTCTTAGTCAAAAAGAAACCAATGCCGTGAACGAAATCCATATATAAATATATATGTATACATGTATAATCGAACAAAATTAACTATCGTGGCTCGTGGCTAAAGATACCGAATACGTTGCACTAACTGTATGTCGATGATAGATGGTACACGTTACTATGTTGCCGTGCGAATTATATTTATATATATGTACATATGTAATTTGATGTCGGTTTGTGTGGATAGAAAAAAAAAAATAATAATAATGATAATATGTATGACCGCAGAGATATATCGTTTTGACGGTTAAATGTAATACGTAAATTGACCGTGTTTCCGGGCGTTGAAAGATAAGTCTATCCGGGGGTCTCGACACACTGGGTTTCTGAATACCAAATACCATTTAGGTGGCTACCGCGAATTAACACCTCAAGGTTCCGCTACGACGCGTCAGCGTTCGCCAGGATCAGCCACAGCGAAATCACGAAATACGCCGCGACCAGGTGGATGACGTTCGTCAAGAATCCGTCACCGAGTCCGCTACCGCGAATGAACCCGGAAAGAAAGCCGTCGTCCTCGGCGGATGCTAGTTCCGCGCCCGAGGACTCGCCGCAAAAAGACGCCAAGGGCGACTCGCCCAAGTGGGAACCGATGCGAAAATTCTCACCTGTGCCGGCAACGGGCGAGAGAAATCAAGGTGAGAGGACCAGGAACCATCCTTCCAATTTCTGCGACTCCCTTGACCTTCGTATTATTAAGTCACCCCATGTATCGTATCGTTGATACCTCCCCTTTACATGGGTATTTTGCATTGTTGTTACAAACAAATCTTGATTAGGTATTTTTTAAAAATACCGAAACGGATAAGATCGTTTTCGACTTATCTAACCTTGCTCAGATTATGGGTTATCAGAAGTGAACTGATTAATTTTCTAAAAATTATATCACACCTGATCTTTACTGAATATTACGAAAGGTCGAAACTCACCTGTTTCTGTTTACGAGAAGCTGAATTAACAGCCTCCATCAAGGTGTTAAATCTTAAGTTGAGACGAGGTTCGTACTGTGCAGAGCTGTCACTTGGATTGTCACTGTATATAAAGATAAATTATAAATAATATGTACTATGTGACAAACATAAAAGTAAATGGCTACATCGTCGACTTACCGTTCACATTATATGGCAAAATAAGCTCGAAATCAATTCGAAATCCTAAATATGGTGATCAATTACCCGCGAGGACACAGTTATTAACAAACGTCCAAAGTACGCACTCGGAAGAGTCATGAGTAATCCGAGGAATATTTCTATATCTTTTAAAGAATTACATACGATCGATAAAATTGGCTTTAGCAGATTTGCCATTTTCCGATAGAGTAATTCAGAACGGGTAATTCATTAAAATGCTAAATTAACGTTGTCTGCGATTGAAACGATATCTTCGTATCTCACTGATTCAGATATTATAGCAGACTACAGAAATACGTCGATTATGTGTGGGATACCGGAGCCCGATTTATAATTTTCGAGGATGTCATTCATATTCCGAGTTTGACAGTCTCTGCTTACGATTTTAAACATTCTTTGGTGCTAATTATATAAAAGATAGCTGTATTTTTATTTACGGTTGTATCTACTGATAAATTCTCCGTGTAATTTACCAAACCAGACAAACAATCGTAGTAAAACTATAATTTCTAAATGTCTACTTCTCCTCCCCTTATTCTACCGATACCAAACAAATTTACTACCGTATAGCGTTATATTTTCCATTCATAATAACATTCCCAAAGAGGACTCGGATATGTGATCGAAATGTCAGACTCTGTTGCAATAAATTACATTATCGTTTCGTAAAAACTTGAGTCGAAAAGTAAATAACAGGCACGTGTTTTATTTAATAAACTTAAAAACTTTAATGAACGATTGCAGATGACCCGGATGCTAACCCAGAACAACCGACCACGAAACTGTCCCCTGACTCCAACGAGCAATCAAACAGGCTGACCCAGCGTATGCGGGATCTTTACGATTTCAAAACCGAGAACGAATGGCCGAAAAGAGCGGCGAACGCTCGACGTCAGAATATGTGGATCAGCAAGAGCAGCAGCGAAGAGGACAGAACCCTTCAGCCGGTTCGCAGAAATAGCCAAGACTTGGAGTTCAACGACAGAGTAAACGTAATTAAGGTAAGCTACACTCTCTTCACTTATATAATTACTTGAGAAAAGATACAAATATTACTGAAATAGCGAAGAGTCAACGACAACTAAAAGTCCCAAGTCATGATGAACCCTTTACCTATCTAAATATGAAATATTCTGTTCCTGAAACCATAGCTGAGGGACACCAAGGTACAGTCGGATCATCAGAACCCCAAACCATCACCGAAGAAGGAAGCACAGGCAGGTGGTACGGACCCATCGAACAGAAATTACGAGGAGCGTTTGAGGAAGTTCAACGAGAGGCTAAGATACAGCGAGGACCTGGGTACAGCGAAACCGAAGATAAAAGAGAGGAGGACCTACTCCGACGACTACGAGGAGAAGAATCGTCGAGCATCGACACGATCTGCGCAATCGATGCAGTCGTCGCGCGCGGAGGAGAGACAAGACGATCGACAGCAGGTGGAAAGGAAGAGACACTCGAACGCCAGCAATAAGTCCGTGGGAAGTTACGCGGAGGTGAACCCGACGAAGAGGGATTCGCGTACGAGCGACGCCAGCTACGCGAGCGTCGGCCTCGTCGCCGCGAAGAGGTCCAGCGTGGACTGCAAGAGCACCAGGAAAATGGTGGAACTTCCGCCGCGTAGGGCATTCAGCCAAACCGAGGAAAGACCTGCCTCCCCGGTGCCACCTATAGAATGGAACGACGAACGCTACGTGGCTGCTCGAATGAAGCAACTCTCCGAGCGCCAGAAAAGGGACAGCACCAGATACAAAGTGTACCTGACGTAAACGGGCGAACAAGTGTTCCTGAGACTCGGTGAACGTTTCCGGATCATCGTTACCCCCCTCCCTTTTTAGGACAGAAAATAAGTACAGTGAGTGTTCGCGTCTCGAGGCTCTGGTGTACCCGGGACTGATTCGCCTACATGGTCCAAAGATCCCCTAGCAGAATTATCAACCCCCTCGACACTTCCCGTAACCTTGAGTACTATTGCAAGCAAGGAAGTTTTCTCTAGGGTCTTTACAGTCTGGTTGAGTCTATGCCAGACCCAAAAGAACCTAGGCACAGAGAAATTGCGTCCATTGTTATGATAACGTGTTGCATGTAGTCGTTGAAAGACCTCACGTCCTCGAAACGTTCCACTTTTTCCACGTTCGATGTAAGACTTTTGAATATGTGTACGCCAGTGACAAGGGAGTTTATATATCAGTGGTTTATTCTTCGATCGCGATCGTGGTGAATATGTAAATGTCTTTCATGGGGTTCGATTAAGTATATCGAGAGATGTTTTGATACCTTTTGAACTGTTGACGCACGATGTTGAAGGTATACTACGCCACGCCGTGTACGGCTGCAACTAAACGTTATTTGCAAAACCACGCTACAATACTGTACAAAACGATGTAATACGATTTAACTAATAAAATATTCTTTGAGAAAGACGCGAGTTCGATTCGACCCCGGAGGAATTAAAAAATATTCAAATCGCTCCGCGTACACCGCATCGTTTCGAAATTCGTTACAAACCCATTCGCTATTATTATTGCACTTTCAGAAACTGATACGCGAAACCTACATATATACAATTTAGTTAGATGTTTCGGAATTGTTAACACAACTGTACAGCTATTGCACAGAGCCGCCAAGCACCTAGGCGCGAGGCCATTAAAAGCACAGAATCCATTAACGTTTCATAGTCCGAGTGCCACCTTGCCCCGTTGTTACTTTCAAACGCGTGGGTCGATTTTACGAAACACTTTCGACCGACACGGAGAAGTATAGGATCTTTCGATAAGAGCGATAGAACTTTCACAGCCGCCATGCTTGCACAAACCATTTGTATTATCGAATACAGCTTGACTAAAAAAGTTCTATAGCTCTCATTGGAAAACCCCTGTACTTAAAAGTCTTTTCCTCTCCTTTACTTGCGGTCCATGCTCCGAAAATCGTTACGAAACCCCGAATTCGAGTCTCTGATAAACGTGACCTTCACCCTTTTCCTTGCAGGGACACTGTGAGCATGTGACGACAGAGCTTTGCAGTCTTTGCCCTGGCTCGACTGTTCCTCGTCCTCCCTTTCGATCTTCAGCCTCTTCTGCCCGCAAGTTGGCACTCCACCGACCGTGGACGCGTTGTTGGTCAACGGAGGGTTCGAGGAACAATTGTTGAGGATGCTGGGGCTGGTCACGGACTGCACGTTGATCTGCGGCGACTTCGGGAAGGTCGAAGGTCGCGGACCGACCGGGGAACGTATCAGACTTCCGTTGCTCAACGCACCGGGTGGAAAACTATTTTGCACGGCGATCGTCGACGGCGTCACGCTTCGTTTGTTCACGGTACCGACGACGTTGTGACCGGCGGGCGCGATCATCAGCAGATTGTTGCCATTTTTCTCGCATGCCACGTGCGGGACCGGATGCTGCAGCTGCTTCTGCGCGGTGAAATTTGTTCTGTACGCGTTCCCGTGGCTGTCGTTTATCTGTTTCTCCTGCTTCAGAAACGTCATCGCCGGTTTCGCGGAATAGACGGTGGAGTTTTGCGCGTTGAACGTTGGCTCGCATTTGATTCGTACCTCGTGCTGCGACGCGTCGTTGCGATCTTGCGCCTTCTGCCATTCCAGGACGTTGCTCAGCAGTCGTATGTACCTGAAAAAGGCACTACTTCAGTACATGTTCTACTAAGACTTTCAAAGAAAAGAAAATGGAGGTGAAACGTGTGAATCGAAGTACTGGGATTCTCTTCTCTCCTGATCTCATTTGGAGTGGTTTGGTCTTGGAGTAGATGGAACTTAAATGGTTTTTAATTGGTTTAAACTTTATACAAAGCTGGTTCGAGGTCCTCGGGGTTCAGAGAACGAATTACCGAATCGCCAGTCGTAGGATTTCGTTCTTCGATAGCTTCTTGTCCGGCGGATGGGTTGGTACCAGTTTCCTGAGCTCGGCGAAGGCCCCGCTGACGTTCTGCTGCCTCCAACGTTCACGACTGTTTGTAAATAATTTTCGTACACCCAGGGTTCCTACTCGAGGCGTGGGTGAGCCAAGGTGGCCACCACTGGAGGACGAAATGCCGTCTAGCTGCGAAAAACGAACACGAGATTAACTTTTATCACAGAATTTCGCCTTATTTAAATGGAAAATGACCTACTCTGAATTGGAGAAGGTAAAATCTGTTTCTGGCTTAACCAACCTGCGTCTATTTTTGTTTGACGATCTCGAGACACGGAGTAACCTTGTAATATTATATTATTTATGACTATTCTAAAATGATGTGAATCGATTGGCCTGGAAAGTCCACTATATAAGAACCACTGCGTAGTTTAAACTAACGAAAGTAATAATGAATTTAATATTTGTCGTGGAAAGTCTATTGCACATAATATTTTTTTTTACGTTCTATAATCAAGGAGCGAATGGAATATTTATTTTGAGCAGTGCACGAGAATAATGTACTGCTGTATGGGAAAGTTTGACTCACAGAGTTGGCGCGATCCCTTCGTTTCTTGCCCTGGTCCTCGTCGTCGTCAGTGTCCTGGGAGTAAAATTCATCCGACAGGGTCGCCTCTTCTTCGGTGTCCCTTGGCGTGCCCGGGGAATCACCGACTTCCTCCGCCAGTTCCCCCTCGGCGGACAGAAGCGACTCCGCTGGAGAACCGTTCTCCGTGTCCACCGTCACTCCGGAGCAACCGTTGTACGTCAGCATCGACTGAAAGTTGTTAATTAATCGTCTGGACTTGTCCACGGTGGTGCAAAACACACGAATCATTCGTCTCGATTAAACGTTCGATGACAAAAGACGCGGGAGATCTGGTTAAATTATCACGGACGAAATTAGCCTACATAGCGCCAACAGGATGCTCATATCGCACCCTCTCCGAGCTATTGTCCCTGACATTCAGATACGTGGACGCGCCAGTCACTCTGTTCTACGCCACTGTTCGCGAGCCTCGCTTCAAAAATTTTGAATCGTGTCTTAGAAAAATTTCTTGCAATTCTGGACGATCCTCGAAGCACGATCGACACGAAATTTAGAGATCAAAGTGACTCTCTGATGCAAATTCACGTTTCTGCCCCAAAAATACCCGAACTTTTCTTGTATAAATTAGCCACACTATCTGTTGAAATGGATTATTGTCAACGAAACTTAATTCATGGTTGTATTCACTTTATATACACTGATAGAATCTTTTTGATTCTCTTTTATTTTTCTCATTAGACAAATGAGTGCAACGTTTAATAATTTAAAAGCAAATATCTGCAACTCTTCATTTCAACGGGCTTGAAAATTCCCGAAGCGTTAACGATGAGAACTATTATTATTATTTCAGAAAATTTTGTTCCAAACTCGGAAACTTTTGGAGCAAAACCGCGTTTCTTGCACTGGTGAGCTAAAATTTTAAGTGTTTTTTAACAAGCATGCCACTTTCGACGCGACAAAACTCTTACCATGTTAAAGGGAAGATTTCGTTCGCTCAAACGGCCGTCTCACCAACAATTTTATCAGTCTACGAGGGCCAACTTTTCCGAAACGAGTCACTGTCGATAAGGGGACACTCCGACGACAGATTTCCCGGGGGTTACGATCGCGGCTGATGTTAAACCGACTGACGAGTCCAGACGGGCCGATTTAACTAATAGAAAGTGCGGTACAACCCCCGGGAAAACGAATTTTGCGAAGGCGGAGCGCAGGCCTCATGGGTGGAGCTCCTCCGTGGACCGTCCCATACTGTTCCATACGTATCCAGCATCCCTCCGCTATCCGGAGACCCTTAGGTCGCTGTTAGACCCTTGACTCGCAGGCAACAATAGTGAAAGAAAGAGAAAAATCGATTCTAAATACTACAATATGCTTTTCGAAATCATACAATTTCAAAACCGAGAGAAATAGTTCGAATAACACCACTTTTACACTTATCTTTACCACACATAAACAACAGAATAATTCGACTAACTTTCAAGACTCGAATATAAAATATTAAACATCGAAATCATACAATCTCAAAAACGAGAGAAATAGTTCGAATAACACCACTTTTACACTAATCTTTACCACACATAAACAACAGAATAATTCGACTAACTTTCAAGACTCGAATATAAAATATTAAACAAATTTTCTTCTATCGACATTCCCAAACAATTAGATTCTGATTAGCTGTGCCCGGGAAAGTCAACCGGGGAGGAGTGCAGAAATAAGGGAGGCCTTGTTTAATATACATTAGGGGTGAGAGTTTAGCGAACCCCAGTTGTCAAGTGGCCACCAGCCACGGGCTGTTTTATTGTGACACCTTCGGAGGGTGCTACAGATTTTCCAGCGGGATGGATCTAAGGGTGTCATCGTACGATCCCGATTAAATGATTAAATCTGCGATCGTGTTCATTCGAGCGCTATTACCCGACCAATCTGCGTGGGAGCTAGTCTAATTTCGTTTAAGCGTTCGATCATTACGGAAAACAATAAAACAATAATTTGGCGCATTAACAAATATTGTATTCGTCTGGTCTTCGAGCCAGACGAAGAATGAATCATTTGGCTAATTGTTCGCGAGCCTTTTCAATATATCTGCGGATTGAATTAATAATACGTGGATTAAATCTCTGAGGGTATCTGTAAAAATACAAATCACGTTTGATCAAACTTTCCACGCGGATATAAGGATCTTTATTGCATTACAAAATCCTTGCAGTGGGTTGTGTAAGTGGCGTAAATACGATAAGACTCGTCAAAGCGATTGCACGAAAGATTTACGATCCAGGCGTTAATAAAGTGCAAAAGCTTTAGAATCCGTACTTTCGCATAGCTGTGTCTTCGGAAACAGGTGAGTCATCCTTGTTGGTTTTTCTAACGAGAATCTACTAAACTCTGAGCTCCTTATTAACTGTACAAATATTAATTTTTACTGACTCTATTTGGAAATTAAAATAGTGCCAAGGAAACTAAAATTCTAGCTTCTCATTGTTTTCGATTATTTTTGCAGCAGCGTAGTTCGTGCAATATTCTTGTTGAACTCTGTTTTATTTAAACATCATGGATTTTCGTACAATGGTATTTAAACGAATATGAATGGCCAGGAACGAAAAAATCGAAGCTTAGTTCGCATCGAGTTTGATAACGCTGGGCGATTAGATAAGGCAACGAGTCGATGTTGTTTGTTCTTTAATTGTGTAGGAAGCATCTTCGAGGCAGATGTTAATGGGATGAAACAGGAAGGAGGTGGAGACAGATTTAATCACGAGCCTCCGAGCATATGACGCGCAGATAATGGAAAAATGACTTTGTCGAAATCGCTTTCTTACTCATTTCGACCTAAAAGACGAAACAAAGGACGTTAACAACATCGTACGATGCCATTTTTCCATAACACACAAGGTTCCTGATTACAGAATTGGGCAGATTTTATTCTCTATTAAAAATTAGTATAAATCCCAAGAATTATTCTTTATTTACTGTGGCGTTCTTTATTGGAAATTCCTAATTTGTGGTCGACAACCAGGACAGTAATTTCAATAGTTTTCGAATCGATACATTATCAAATGAAACATTCTGTTTACTAAAATAAATTAAAAATTCGTAACTTTTGCCCAAACTGTTTTCTACACCAGAACTGCCAGAAAAAATTCATCATTCTTCGTGCCCTGGTTCCGTCAATTTTTTAATACCGCCATTAGAATGCCACTTTTGGACTTTATCGACACCTTAATCTGGAAATAAAAGGCGTATAAATGACACGTGCGTCGCCCTTGAATGGAGTCGCGTGCCTTATTCGTAACGTGGCCGTTCGAGGGGTGACTTTTTTTTTATCAATCTTGGCTAATCCGTTATTGCGACCGCATATGGTGTGTGATACCTCCGCGCGAGACCGAACGTGGCAAAATACAAATAAATACGTCGATACGTTCCCAAGGAGACTCGAAATCGATCGTTTTAAGGAACAGTTTCGGGCAGAAAAATTCGTACGAGTCAAATTCCCACCGAATCGATAAAACCACCCTAAAAACGCAACGAAAAGTCGCGTGGGGTGGTGGCCGGTTTTGTAGCGGTTTCCCACAGGTTTAGCGAGATACTGCTCAATTTGAGCGTGCCAGGGAATACGAATTAGGTATTACCCGCGTGCTCATCGAATAACAATAAGACTCTACTCTGCATGTGGGTGTCTGTGGAACGAATCAACCAGAGAAATAAAAACTCTGTGTGTTACAGTATTCCACTTCTAAGTGTATTAACATTATACGAAATATAACTTATTCCAAAATGAAAACATATGTTTGTAGAATAAGTGAACGTTTGGTAGTAGATCATGGTGTTCTTATAGAAATTTCGTCCACGGAGAATATTACAATAAACGAGGTGGAATGCTTAACGATAGTGGAATATGGTCGAGCACGTAAAAAGAACTATCGTCGACAGGCTGTGCCAATAGAAAAGAGGCGTGTCGCCGGTTTTGCGCAGTGTCCCATGAAACGTTAACGCGTTCGAATGGGATCCCCATACCAGAGGGTGAGCCACCACCGCGTCAGGGGTTGGAGGGGGTGTCCCGAAGGGCACGAGGGTGAAATCAATTTTCGTTATCGCCGTCAACCAGCCGCCCCATATTAATCCCGTTATTAGTGTTTGTTTTCCACGACTTTTGGCAGACAGTCGGTCCAGGAATTGTCAAAGTTCCGGAACGCGACTCCTGAAATCAGGCAACCGGTCGCAGCATCGGGTCAAAGAAGGTGGCTTAACGAAGGAGTTCAGAAAGATACATATTGTCAATATGCTTGTTAAAGACTGTTAAACTACCTGGAGAAAATATTATTCCGTCTCCAGGGGATACGAAAACGATGAAGACCGGAGGGCAGTTTGGAGTTTAAACAGAATTCTTAGACGGTTAAGGTGTTCTTTGGTAGTGTTCCAAGATGAATATCGAGCCAGAACGACACACGGTGCACGGTGAATTGGCTGCAAAAAGTCGTCGGAGCCACGGAGGCTGCGCGAGACGCGAGTGTTCTGTGCTGATAAGGGATGCTCCGCCCTCGCAACCCTCCAGAGCCGTCCTCTCGCAGCCCCACGGCCATGGAATCGCAGGGTCAAGTTGTCGGGAGGCTCTTGCATCGGCATGAAGTATTAATCTAACGGATTAGAGGAACAGATAGGACGGAGATTAATTTTTAAGATGTTGAGAGACGCAAAGGATTACCCAGGAAGCTTAATTACCATCGTATCGGTCACGGCACTTTTTTCCACGCCGCTGTTATCCCCTCGAATCGTGCCCTTGAACATAAAATTCAAATAGAAACAATTATAATACATATTAATTAACGACGGTTGCGCAAAATCCTCGTGTACCAGTTATTTGTTTAGAAATATTTTTTATTGAAAATATAAATCGTCTTTACAACCTCTGATTTACAAACTTAATCCCGGAGTAGCCGGTAACGTGCGCGTCGCAATTAAAGCGCTCAAGAGTAGGCAAAGATAAAACGACAGGATAATAAATTAAGAAAAACGAGACTGCAATAAATAAAACATACGACGAAGATTTGTTTCGTGTGAATAATTGCGAAGTTGGAGTAATCCGTGTGTCCAGTGCTGGACGTTGATCGATCGGTTCCTGGGTGCGACTTATTTAAACGGTAAAAAAAAAAAAATAACAACAACGGTGAAATGATAAACGTTATGTCATCGATCGAATCGTCGTCGGTGAGAAAATAAAAACATTTCGGTATTTATTAATCTGTACAACGGGATACAAATCTCGTACGGTAACTAATCTATTCGTGCATCACAAAATTGTAAAGTCTATAAAGCGTGCTAAGTACTATATACAAAAGTCTAATATCGTCGAGCGTTTCTCGGTAATAAACTGCGTTTGATTGCAGTTTACGTTTCAGTTTTATACCGCGCAAACATCGTTATCTTAACGACACACTAGTATCTAAAAAATTTCGATACAAAACACCCCGAGTGATGTACATACTCGCTCTCTTCCATACGCTGCCCACCGTTTATCGTAGACTCCGGACTATGGCTATTCTTTGATCGAACTATCACGTAATTTACGAAAAAGGAAATAGAATACTGTTGTACTGTCGGCCATCGCAACAATGGCTTGTCTTTACGGTTCGACTTAAGTCTAATATTTACAAGTGAGCATTATCAGCGTGTGTTCGTGGCTCGATTAGGATACCGTCCACCACGACGCGCCGATCCAACGCTTGTGTCAGTGAAAAGCGAACGCGAGGATGAGCAATGGAACGAGCATGATGCAGATCACGTAAATGGCGGTCCTTGGCTCGCACGTTGAGACCACCACGTACTCCTCGTTCCACTGCGAATCGTTGCCGCTCAATGGCAACTCTAACACAGTCCTCTCGTTGCTGAAAAGCTTGAACGGCAACGAGCACTCCGTGGTACTATTTTTACACGAATGAACCGGGTTCGAAATATTGTAGACGGTCTTCAGGAGCTCGAAACGTACCCGCAGGAAGTTCGGTTGTATCTCGTTCTCGGAGCTGAACACGAAGAAGTAGTATCCGTTCGTGGGCACCCTGCAACAGATTACATTCGTCAGCGATCCATTCTCAGACTGTAATAAATCATGTTCGTCAGCGTTCTTCTCGTGTCTAGCTGTTGTCTGACTTCGAGCAGATAATAGCTCCAAACGATAACTCGTCGAAAGGTTCGATAAAGAAATAATGGCGCGAGACAGGGTGAATTCATACTTTAATTTTGAATAGGTAGTAGCCCCAACTGAAAAGGCATTGGAGATAAGCAATATTGAATAATGATTATACTTTGTGCAGATAACAGCCCCAAAACTGAAAGGAGATATTATAAGTTTGTCCTCGAGAGATCGTTATATATTCGCGGATTACTATCGCCACAATTATTTGTCTCGTAAGTGTTAAAGACTTATCTAATCTCTTCGAGCATCCGCATACCTGTACGTGACCTTATTGGCGAACGAAGCTGTGTCATGCTCCTTCTCGTGCCTCGGGGTGCAGCTTCGATGTGGCGTCAATGGCAGATTCAAAATCAAACCCTTGCAGTTCAGTAACCGTTCCTCGGAGCTGCTGAACGAGCTCCAGAACTCGGAGTTGCTTCTGTCGTTCAGGGTAGTCTCGTTCACGGTGCCCCTATCCTCGGCGATACCATCTGGGTTCAACATATCCTGATTTATGTGCAGAAATTGTACAGTAAAACAAAAATTATTAATTTCCGTCGTTCGCTAGTATTAATGAATCTTTGAAAATATACTAGCCCCCTGATTGCTCTTAACAGAAACGAATAATATTAATAAAAGTGTTCCAAACATTGGCGAAACTTACATTCAATGATACCGCTGCTTAGAAATTAACTGGAAAGTGGTAAACTTTAATGGAACTAATTGAAAGAAGATTTAAACGTCGTTCTTTTCCGTTTCCAAACACTACAGATAAGAACAATTTCAGCTATTCCAAATATTTAAGCTTTTTATGGCGTTTGATTGTTGCGATACGAACTCAAGGCCAAAATCATTACTTTTTTACCAAGGTCTTTCTGGTTTCCCGGTTCATTTTTTATTGCGTTGTCTGTCAACGACCAGAACCCCTTTTAACGAATATTTTTAATGAGAATAATTGAGAAACGTTTGATATATTCGCTAGTTTGAAACGTAACTAAAAAGCTAATATAACTCGTCGATGGAAAAACGTAGTTTGTGAAACACCGTCCCAAATAATGTTCCTCGAATGTTTTCCCGATTGCTCGATCGTTGCCAAATTTGCGGTACATCTTTCTCGGGATTCGGGTGAGGATTCGCAAATATTGGCGTTGTCTCGGAAATATTCCGATAAGAGTGCTCTCGTACGTTCCCGACTGGAATTACACGCGTGTAAACGATAGATAGGCGATGTACAATTATACGATTACCTTTAATGAGGACAATATAAGTAATGCGGGGACGTCTATCTGCGCGATAAAGGGTTGATTGCGATCCGCTAAATTGGTCTCTTATCAAACGACGTGTTTGACGCCGAGATATTGACAGAATGTAAATACTCGACAGGCTCGAATCCCCAACAACAACTCGAGTCGAAAACGAAATCAACGGTCGAACATCTCACCGACAACGAGGCACTCAATTTCGCTACCACGCATATCGTGTTTTAAATAGCGCATGCAGCTGATTTCTTACTTTATCGGGGCAAATCAATAATACGTGGAAAATTTTCCACTCCCGGCTCTGATGATTCAGGTTTCGACAGGGGGGTAATTAAAGAATATACTGCACAGTGATACCGACGTTGAACGTTTGGACTTCCAAACAAACCGAGACCAAACTCGAAGAAATATTGGTTCTACTTCACCTCTTCGATGGCGGCGTCCCCAGCCTCGTCCTCATCCGTCAATTCCTCGTGGAGGGACGAAGACAACACCAAGTCCCTTCGTCTTCTCCGCTTCTCCGTGTTGGTGAGCTTCTGGTCGTTCATCGTTTCGTCCACGACACGTCGCAACGCTTCGCCTTCGGTGCCCTTCTTCTCGATCTCCACCATTAACTTCTTCAATATCTTCTGGCCACGGTTGCCCAGCGAGTTGATCTTGTCCATAATTTCCTGCAACACCTCCGCGGAGCCCTCGTTTCCTGGTTTCGTACGACTCGGTACGTTTTTCTGCTCGAATTCGTCGCGTTGTTGTTTAAATTTCTCTTCTTCGCTTTGCCTCTTCGGAAGTTTCGGTTCTTCGCGTTCCTCGCGCTCGTTCTCCATTTCCTTGGAGAGGTTCAGCGAGTATTGCGGCGGTTTCTCGATGTTCGCCATCTCCACGAACGTGCCCTCGTAGTGATGATGGGGATTCTCCTTCTGTTTGTTCTTCGTGTCGAGCGTTTTGGCGAACAGCTCGGTGAGAATGGCGCGCATCGCTTTCGCGTCCAACTCGTGACTGCTGTAGTGATGCGCCATCGTGTTCGTGGCGTACTTCGAGCTGTTTTGAAGATGAGCGTGGTCCTTGTGGTGGAACTCCACCCCTTGCTGGACCCTCTTCATCTTCTCGGGCTCGTTGCTGGGACTCTCGTTCTGCGCACAATGTACAACGTTTCGTGACAATTTGATCCCCGTCGCGGACCGAAGATATATGACCGCGACGATAACACGTTATTGTTGACCCGTCGTTGTCGAGACATTCTCAAAGTAATTGCAAAATAAAAGCATTCGGTGTAAAAATCGAATCTCTGTCGAACAGATCAATGAAGTATCACGGTATACCGGTGGATTTCATGTAACCGTAGAATGCAGGTGTTTCGGTTCCACGAATCGACTATCTTTATCTCGAATCGAAGCCTAAACACACATAATTCGATAAAGAAAATGAATGGAATTCGACGAGAACGAACGAGATAGTGCAGGATCCACCGAGAGCGATAAATCACGCGCAGAATGAGTCACCCAAACAATTAAAATCTTTATGTTTCTTGGAATATCTTCGCGGGAGAATTGGTGACTAACTGTGTTGCTCGCGCTTAAGGAATGTAAACAACGCCGGAGACGATTCCATTTCATCCAGCCGGAATGTTTTATATAACCGTGAATTGTATGATTAATTTGTACCTGGAGCGTTCCGTTAACTGTAAGCAATCCGGTCTCTTTAGCGATTTCGAGAAGTTCCTCCAACTCTTCGCTGCTGTCATCCCCGATGAAGGCGCACTCGTGAAGATGCTTGTGCCCGCGAATGATCGTCAACCAAGCACCAGGCCACCTACGGTGTAAAACATATTTTTTTTTGTCAGATCAATGTAACTTTGAATCTTTTTTTTTCACCGATTCTTTCTGATCCCCGATTTTACCTGACGCACGTGGAAACCGTTACGTTGCTGCCGCTCAGAAGATAAAATCCCCAATATTCCTTCATGTCGTCTTCCAAGACCAAGTGCCTGGTCATCGAGACGAATTCGACGTCGTTTTTAACCGTCGGTTCGTCGCTCATTAGATAGGCGTTGAAAGTCGTGTTAACTTTGATCAATTGGCTCTGCGGAGAATCATACTTCATTCGATAATAACACCGTGTCCGCTGAAGTTTCGTTCGTCGTGCAAATTCAAGCTTCGTGACGCCATTCCGGAAGAAACGAACGATCACTTACCTGGCACCATGTAGTCGACACTTTTCCGTCGATCAGCCTCTGATCGGAGACGGCTAAAGGGTACAATTGCTCGGAATATACGCGATATCGCAAGTACATCGGTCCCGCTACCAATATGGAGGGAAGGAACATCCCGAGCAAACATAATCGCAATAATCTCAGCGGCACCTTGTACTGAGACCTACGAGGCTGCCAATCTCTTGGACGAGCACCCTCCTCTACGGATTGCAAAATTTTCATCAGAAATGTTCATTGAAACGAACTTCTCGAATACAGTGATATTCCTCGATAAAACGTAACGCTTTAACGAGTTGAGAATTTTGTTCCTGGAATCGACCTTTATTTACATTAAACATTATTCTAAATCGGTAAAGAATTGCTTGAAAAACATGTCGCAGAATGCATCTTAACGTTAAAATTCAAAATTGAGAAATTTAATTTTAGCGAAAGTTGAGGATCAAGATGTTCAATTTTTTGTATTATATCTACAATCCGGTTTCATAAAACTGTATCAATTGTTTGTAAACAAATTGTTTGGCTGCGATATAATAGTTCCCTTTGAACCGTGTATCGTCTTATCGAGTAAAATACTCGGAAATGACGAAATCGTAACTTTAAATTTTAAAGTTACGATGAATTTTACTGCCGACATTTTTAACCTGTAATGATTATGTTTTTAATATTTATTACTCGAACGCAATAAATTGGGAGACGGTAAACAGCTGGAAAATATTTTCTATCGCGTATGCTAAGGGTTAATAAACAATTAGTGTAAAAGATGTTTACTCGTTTATTTATTATATTACAAACGTGCATCCATCGATAAACATCTGTTGTTACATCGAAATATTTTATTTTAAACAAAATTTTACAACGATTACGATTACTTAAAATCATTACGAGTTGTTTCCTTGCTTCGATGCAATACCACGTTTACTAGCATGCTAAAACAATGATCTTTTGTTTAACGTTCTTCCTTTCTTTTCGGGGATTCCTGGAGGGGAATACCAGATAGGAGAATAGCGTACGATTTTAGCTGTGAGATGTTCTCTGCATCGTATTGTACTAACTTTGTTTCTTTTATGTTAAGCAATGTTCATTTCTTTTGTCATTATTACACAATAAACACAGATATATTTACAATATATGTCTGCCTTATTTTTTTTTCCAAATCAATATTTTCATATGTGATGTACGATTTTGTGACTCACTGTATCTCATTTACGTCTGTCTAGGGCAACAGAGTACGCATACGTTGGACTAAGATACGTTAACGATAAGTAATAATTAATCAATGATGTCAACAAATATTCATATCACGCGTTCTTCAACGCCTGCGCTCTTTGTCGAAGAAATTTTTCTCGTACTGTACTTGCCTGCGAAGAATTGACGCGTAGGTAAAGAAACATTTACTTCTAAATCGAGAATCGATGTAAGTTCACAAGATTGCTATTTCACGATCTGAAGTAGCATAATTCCGACGACGAGATATTAATGGCACGGTTGAAATTATAATGTTGAAAATGGGCTGATAGATAGGTTAGGTTTGGATCTAGCAATCGAGCGTTGTCATCGAACTTGTATCGTATCTCGCGATCAAGAGTTTGATGAACAGTGAAAGCATTAGCTTTGTCGTTCACCTTTGTACTAAATACAATCGATAACACTCACGTAACAAAATTATTACGATATAGAGTATTATTCCATCGAATGTAGTACAAATGTCTTCTTTCAACGAAACAAAGGAATCGATACGTTCGAACGGGGTCAAATAAATTTGATTAAAACACGAATATTGCAATCGAATTCCGTGAATAATGTTTCAAAATAAAAACTACGAAATATTTCATTTCGAACGTTAATAAAAGATGCTCGATTTGCTTCCGTTTGTGAACAATTAACGACGAGATATCACGATGAGTTTTAATTAAAATGTTTACGTTTTTCTAACCGTATCTCATTTGCCGTGACACATACAAAGGATGTTTCCTAACTTTGCATACGCGATATATTCGGCATGCGTAAAAGGTACATACGTGTAGTACTTCCATCGATCGACTCCGACGACGATCAAGTGTATTTGCATTTTCGAATTTGAAAACAGACGCATATTTCACTTTTTCACTTTTCTGTTCATTTCGTTGAGTACTGCGCGCGTCGGTTTGCTAGGAATTTGCGAACACCCAGTATGCACGCGTATAACGACCCTTATATAGGTGCACAGTGATAGGGATTTAAAAATAAAACTTGTTCTAACTTGCGGAGGGAGATTATACATTGCTGCTATTACGATTAAATGAACTACATTAAAGAAGAATATGCGATTAAAGAGTGAATGCACTATATTCAATTTCAAAGGGTAATATATTTCCTCGCTGCTTACGGCGCCCTAAGTAAATACCGTCATTGCATAATTAGTTAATACGATTTTGATAGGCCCGTGCTTCAAATCTTCGGAACACCGTCGTATCGTACCCGTGTATACGTATACATTTACATCGCACGCATTTGACTTCACCACGTGTCAGAACACGTAAAGAGACACTGGTTAAAAAGTATATACTTAATAGATACTTTCACACCGATATACTAAATTTCTCGTGAAACAATTGGGTACCGAATGCAAGATCAAGTAATCCAGTTTTTAATTTCTAACACTGAAAACTGGGCCGTTTCTCAACAGCGCAGACGACAATCGCCACTTTACAATCACACGTCGAAAGCGATTAATAAAATATACGAACGAAACAAAGCATACCGAGTTTATCTAGTTTTAATGGCGTCGTTGACATTCTCCCCGTAGAAGCACGGCATAGACACTCTCAGGATCAGTTTCCTCAAGGCAACGTAAACAAAATAATAGGCACAACACACAAATTAAACGAGCCGACGGTTCGTCGATGAAACGTAAATAATGTATGCTGTCTATGGAAAAAAAAAAATAATACTTGATTCTATCACCCCTGTAAAATTTATATGAATTCCATTAGAGCGAAATGTTGCTTTATAAAATTAAACGGTTTATAAGTTTCTATCCTAGAACTTTGTAAATATATAATAAGTTAAAACCGAATAATTAATTACGTTTATTCGATATCGCGAAGTTACGTAAATACACGATGTGTATCGTTCGCTGTCAACAGATCGACTGAATCAGTGAACGAATATGTCATGCTTTGTATCAGTGCCTTATCAACTTTTACTGTGCCCGGGATAAGCTACCATCTATAAGTCTATTTGCACAAAGCCATGGTATTAATACTAATCTCCATCGCCATAAAAATATTAAAGTTATCTCGTGCAATATGGTAAACACGACCATGCGGCACCGATGGCACATCTCCAAATGTATTTTCACTGTTGCCGCCAAAATGTGATGTATATCACTCTACTACTTTATTACGTGAAAAAATATATCATCTACAATTACGAGAAATTTACACTCGAGTTGTAAATTATAAAAGTATCGTTAAAGAAAGTTCATTATTTGATAAACTTAATTATCATAATTCGATCTTTGTTTAAACAAAAAAAAAATGTATTTTATGTAATATCATTCTAATAATCCTGTACAATGCATTAAGTGATATAAGAAAACCTTACTATTATTTGAATGTTATACCAACATTGTTTATAATACACATTATTTATGACGGGAATCACTCCGCCTATTATCGTCTTTCGGTTTGTGTAACTTTTCCCCTCTTCGTCGTTTATTAAGCGGATTTCTTGGATCGTAAATTTCAAACCAATCGTCATCTTTCGTGCTCGCATCTTTGGCAAGGACAGGTGCCATTTCTTCGCAATGCAATGCATGCACCATCCATGATTCATCGCTTGGATCGAAATCCTCGTCTTTGCCGGTTTCTTTTTTTGGTGGAGTTGGCGGTCTTTCCGTTTTACTTTCCTTAGCATTTTGAAGTTTGGATTTAAATTTTTTTAATAAATCCATCGTAAAATCTTCGCGATTTTTACCCTTTTTAGGAATTTTCGACTTCGCCTCTTTGTACTTTTCTTGAGTTTCGATATACTGTTTCATAATTTCTGTTTTCTGCTCCTTCTTTGCTTCCTGTCCCTCTATTAATTTCTTTTCATCCTCCTTTGCTTTCCTCTCGTTCTTAACATCGCGCTTCAAGTCCCGAATCTCTTTTCTAATTTCCTCTCTGTACGAGAAATTAATCAGAAATACTTCAATATTATCATATAAAAGACATTAAGAAAAAGTACATACGCTTTCTTTTTACGTTCTTCTACTCTGTCCTTCCCAAGGTAATACTCTTCTTCCTTTGCATCTTTATCATCTTCAACGTCATCCACCTTATAATTTTCTACCTTCTTACATTCCTTTTTTGTATCTTTTAATTTACTTTTGATTCTTTCTTTCATTGCTCTAAAGATGTAATATTATACGTGAAAGTATAATCTTTGATATGAAAACAAATTGTAAGCAATAAACTCACTGTTTCTCGATCTTCGAAGCTTCTAATTCTTCGGGAGTTTTAGTGTCATCGTCGCTTTCCCAATCGCTATTACGATCTTCTTTCCTTTTTTTACTTGGAGGTCCAGCTGGTTCAATAGCTACTTGAGCACTTAATTTTGGATTAGTTGAATGATCGTGTGCCGATTTACCTTTACTAGTAAATTGTTTATTTAATATTGCAGATTCTTCCTCATCGCCCTCTGCCTCTTCCCCAAAAGATAAAAGGTTAAAATTTCTATAAATAAATATTCCACGATAAAAAATTTTGTTAATCTAAATAAAAGCTACAAATATTTTATAAAATATTACTTTATTCCTGATTTTTTATTTTTTGTACTATCCTTTGCTATTTCGGTATTCTGTGTTGTTACCCTAGATACAATATCGGTAAAAGGATTATTCAATATTTCTGTTTTTATAATTTTTGGTGGATAAAGAGGTTTATCATTCTGAAAGACAAACAAAAAATATTAGAATCTATACATTCTTTTTTAATCTTATACAGTAATTCATGGTCTTTTACAATAACTTAATCAAGATTACTTCATCTACGAGTGCTTCTTCAAGTTTAAGCATATTATATATAGTTTCTCCAGTAACTTTGCCAAAGATAGTATGCTTATTCTGCAACTCTGGTGTAGCACCGAGAGTGAAAAAGAATTGAGAACCATTATCATCTTTTGCAGCATTGGCCATGGCAAGCAAACCACGCCGGCAAAAACGTAATCTTGTATGGAATTCATCCTATTAGACATACGTAATACATTTATTTTCCAATAATGACAAAATCGGTTTCAACTATAAATTTAAACATACTTTAAATGATTGCCCATATATACTTTCGCCACCTTCGCCCGTGCCAGTTGGGTCACCACCTTGTGCTACAAACCCTTTGATGATTCTGTGAAATATAGTATCGTCATAATAACCCTCCATACATAATTGTATAAAATTTCTACAAGCTTTAGGTGCCTCCTTTGTCCATAACTCCAAATCAATATCCCCCACTGTTGTTTTCATCACCACCTATTTATAAAAAATTAATTAATTTTCATGGGATAAGATAAAATATATCTAAAATCAAATTTTTTACGTTGTTACGTACATGTTAATATAAGAATTTATATTATGAATGTATAACGTCACAGGTTATGACATCGAAAACAGATAAAAAATGTATTAAAATATCATAAATTTGTACTTACTTTACCAGTGGTAGGCGGTTCTTGTATATAAATATTGCTCATGTTTGTAGATGTTTATTAATATTGTCAAAAAATTGTTTGTTAATAGAAGCATGCCATGTTAAACTTCTATTCACCTTTGTCACCGATCACTAAGTAACAAATAATTTAACCTGTAAATATATGACACATCGTGACAGATATAATGAAACTGACATGAAATAATCTGTTGTAACGAAGAAATTGCGAAGATATTGCTATTTGTTATTTCATGACGTCCAGTTGTTGAAGTTTGTATTTCCTTTACCACACTACAGTTTACGCAAGTTTTAATTTGTATGTCCTGTAAAACTTAATAATAAATCATATTTACGTACATTTTTGTTAGATAATAACATACGTAAACCTTTCTTTTGCAGTACAATATATATACATAATATACTGGTGTTACCAAAGAAATATACTAACAACAAAATATTGACAAAACATTTTACTACCATAATGTAAAACTAAGTTGATAGTATAATTCATATATTTAATAATATATGTGTTATATGTATTAGTTGTGCTACAAAAATTTGTATCTATAATAATATAATGATTAAATAACAATATAAAATACTAATCAAGATAAACAATGTGAAACAGAATAGGACCAGTAAGTAATCATTTATCTAAAATAGATTTATATTCTAAGTTTATAAAAAGCATAATTTTACAGAAAGCTTCTTTTGCAAAAACTTATTTACACGGAATATGGATATAACTACAGTAAATGTACCCATTAATGATAGTTCAAATACTATTACATTAATGAATAATCATAGTTTATTGCACAATGAAATGAAAACTTGCTTAAAACATGTCTGTTTCAATGAATTTCCTGTTCATTGGGAGAAAAATATTTTAGACTTGTTACCACAAAAATATAAAAAGAGATATTCTGTATTAATACAATCAATGTTAAAGGAAGTAAAAGATATATATATTAAAGGCATGCAAAATCTTGTAATGAAAATTGTATTATCATTACCAAAAGAGGATAATTTATTTTCTACAATAAATTGTATAAATTATAAATTTTCAACAGAGGAAAGAACTTCCAATTATAATGCATTTCTTAAACATCACAAATTACTAACAAAAAAGTATTTTCTTTATTTAGAACCAATAAAATTTATTATACATATGGCACAACTTAAACTTCCTACAGTTATTTGTAACTTTGAATGTTATTATCATTTTGGACTCATGTCATTAAATGATTTTGAAGACATGATTAACAATGATATTAAAAAAGGATCATTCACAATAACAAATTACTTTTATACTGAAACATCCAAAGTTATAGCAGAAATAAAAATTTTAAGAAATGTAAGTACAAAAAGATTATCGCATATCATGCAGTGCATTACAAATGTTTTTGTACAACAAATTTTAAATCTGATGATAGAATCTATTAACTATATGTTAAATATTATGAGTAATGAATATTACTGTCCACAAATCAAGCTTCAACTTATTATGGAAAGCAATAAATTACTTATCAGCCCTAGTATTGAAGAAATATATTCAATATATCATAGTATAATTGATAAAATTGGCACAATTGCTCAAAATTTAATATCATTAGAAGAATGTTTGAATATAAAAACGCATTTAAAATATATTAAAATCAAATTACCAGATTGGTATATCAAGGAATCCCACAAAAAATTGCAAATTATATTAAATAATTTATTTGAACCCATAAACAAGCATGTGATGAATATGACTGAAGAGTTTTTTCCCATTTGTGCGCATGACACAAAGAAAAGAATATTATCATTAACTTCAGGCAACATAAATTTCGATTTATATCTTAAACAGATAGAAAAATATAACACATATATAAGAAAAGCAAATGCCATAACAGGAAACACATATTATACAATAGGGAAATTGGAACAGAATAAAGCTAAAGAAACTTTAAAGAAAGAGCTATATGATATTGTAAATGCTTTCTTGATTAAACTTGTTAATTATCATCAAGAATTCAATCTGTGTATCTGTTCAGAATTTGAAGATATAAAAACAAAAGCATTAAATATACCAAAAGATGCAAAATCTTTGATTGATCTAAGTGAATATATCTTACATGCATCAAAAGTATTAACAGAAAATCTAAAATGCAAAATTCAGAAATCAATACACATGTTAAGTACATTATTAGAAATTGTAATTTTATCAGAGAATCACATTATGTTAAATAAAAAAACAATTAATTGGTTACATGAAATTGAACCTATATTTAAACAAAATAATACATTGTGTGAAGCAATGAAAAATGAATTGGAAGATAACATGCAGAAAAGGATAAATGACTTGAATTTTGAAGTAGACAATATCGTTCCTCAACTGAGTGTTTTGGACAATATGGATGATATTAATAGAATTCAAGAATATGTTGAATATTATAGAGGACTCCTTAAACAAATAAATAAAATCAATTGCGAGATGCAAAGGATCAATGAGGAAGAAAAGTTATTCAAATTTCCTGAAACTGAGTTTCCTAAAATAAGTGAATTACATGAACTAATTGTGTCATTTTATGATCTTATTTATATTATCTATCAATGGCAAAAAGACAATAATGTATGGCTGGATGGCCCCTTTGAATGGCTAGATGCCACTATTATAGAAAAGAAAACATTAAATTATTTTGAAAAAATTACTGAAACAAGTAAAATATTTAAAACAAAAATTAAAATGGATCTAACTGCAAGTAAAAGTTTCAAATTTTCTGGTATTGCAGATGATCCAGATCCAATGCAACAGCCTGCTCCATTGAAATTATGCTGGCAGGCTCTTAATAGCATAAATGATTTTAAAAAATATTTATCATTAATAGTATGCATGTGTAATCCAGCACTACAAAAACGCCATTGGATAGAAATGTCTATAATATGCAATTTCGATCTTACACCAAATGCTGGAACTAGTTTAAGAAAAATTATTTCATTTGATCTGATGAATGATATTGAGAAATATGAAACTATTAGTATAAGTGCAAACAAAGAGTTAGAGTTGCAACAAAAATTGTCAGAAATGATTCAAGAATGGAATATAATTTCTTTTGAAATAGAAATTAATAAAGAATTTAATATCAGTGTATTTTCAAATTTAAATGATATAGAATTACTTCTTGAAAGTCATTTTATAATGATTGAAGAAATGATGACTTCAAATTTTGTCAAACCAATAGTTTCAACAGTAACAGAGTTCCTTATGTCACTTGTCAGAATTCAAAACATTATTGATCAATGGGATTACATTCAAGTATTGATGCTTTCTTTGGAACCCATCTTTTGTTATCCTAACATGGAAACATACTTACCTAAAGAATCAGTTTTCTATACACAAGTAAAAGAAATTCTGTTGAATATTCAGAACAAATTATGTGAAACTCCTACATTCATTGAAATGAATAATCCAATAATTTTTGAATCTTTATGCAATGCTAATGAAAAACTTGAATATATAAATCAAAGTGTAAAAAATTATATTGAAACCAAAAGATTATGTTTCCCAAGATTCTTTTTTCTATCTGATGAAGAAATTAAAGAAACATTATTTGAATCAAATAATTTAAAGAAATTGCATTTATCAATAAAAAAATGTTTTGAAGGTATACAGAAAGTACGAATTAATAAAGAAAAATGGATTTGTACCATTATTGGTAACTATGGAGAGGAATTACACATAGAAAAATTTATTCGTGTTTATTTTGATCATGAAGAAAAATGGTTAATATGTTTAGAAAATGAAATAAATGCTGCAATAAAGAAAAGCATTTTCCAATGTTGGGATATATTTAATAATACATTTACATACAATAGTATTGCAAATTTTCCGAGTATGGTAATTGTATGCGTTTTTCAACTTTACTGGACATGTACAGTACACAACTGTCTTATGTCAATTAATTTTGAAGCATTAAATTCTTTATACATAAAATACATTAATCATTTGAATTGTTTAGTTAATGAAATGAAAAAGTATTCAACAAAAAGGTACAGAGATGTGTTGATGTCTTTAATTGTCATTGTAAGTAATCAAAAAGACATAATTAAATTATTGTTAGACAAAAAAATTATTAAATCTACAGATTTTGAATGGGTTGCACAATTACGATACTATTTTGACGAAAGTTATATTAATGTATCAATGTTTAATACATGTATAAGGTATGGATATGAATATAGTTACTACAAACAACATATAATTAATACTACTCTAACAGATAGATGTTTTCATTCTCTTATGCAGGCATACAAATATCATTTATATGGGGCTATTACAGGACTACCTGCTACAGGAAAAACAGAAACTGTTACAAGTCTAGCAAAAGCTATTGCAATACAATTTCGTATCTTCAACTGTTCTGATATATTTTCTTATAGTTTTTTGTGTCAGGTACTTAAAGGATTTATTTCTTGTGGAGCATGGCTCTGTTTTGAAAATTTTAATAACTTGGAGCCTGAACTTCTATCTATGATTACTCAGAATCTTATTTGCATTTTTCAAGCAGTATCAACAAATCTAAAACTAATAACTTTTGAAGGTTCATCGCTGAATCTAAATCCAACTGGACATATTTGTGCTATCACGAATCTTGGTTTATCTAAACACTGTAATTTACCTGATAATTTGAAAATATTATTTAGAACTGTTTCTATGAGAACACCAGATATCAGTAGAATTGTGGAAGTTGAACTATTTGCTGCCGGCATATCTGACTCAAAGTTCTTAACTTCAAAATTAATTACACTTTACAAAATACTGTCTGAACAGCTGTGGTGTGAATCATGTAACACTTTTAATGTATGCTCTGCAAAGGCAGTTGTTAGAACTATAGTTTATTTAAAAAGGAGTTTCCCAAATGAAAATGAAACTATGTTACTTTTACGTTCGTTAATCGATGTTAATCTTCCCAAGCTTTGCAATGTGGATACACTTATCTTCAAAAATATATTACACGATATATTTCCCGACATTGTTTTACTCCCTCCCAATTATACAATATTTTTAAAGACCCTTGAAACAGTATGCGAATCTAAATCTCTGTACATTCATGATGTCTTCAAACTTAAAATCATACAAATATTTGAAATAATGTACATTCATCAAGCTCTAATGATTGTGGGTGATCCTCTTGTAGGAAAAACAGAAATTCTACATGTTCTCATAGATATATTGTCGTCCTTACATAAACAAGAGGTTGAATTTGGTGTTAATGTAAAACTGGAGACTGTAATTCCAGGAGCACCCAATGTTAACCAACTGTTTGGTCATTTTGATGAAAGATCAAAAATTTGGAAGGATGGAATATGCTCTAAAATATTTCGTTCTTTTTCAGAAAATGATTTTTTTGATAAAAAATGGATAGTATTCGATGGGCCCTTAAATGATGTATGGATTGAGAGTTTATATACAGCTCTTGATACAAACAAAGCATTATACTTGGCATCTGGTGAAAAAATTAATATAACAGATTCAGTGTCTATTATCTTTGAAACAATGAATATGATAGAGATTTCTCCTGCTATTTTATCAAAATGTGGTATAATCTACATTGAATCGCATTCTGTAGATTGGAGACCATATGTTAAAACACATATTTATAAACATGATATCTACAATGGGTATGAAGAAACATTATACACATTATTTGAATGGGTAACAGATCCTTCTTTAGAATTTATACAAAAGCACTGCACTTCAACTTCAATTGTTGGACAATTACATTGTATAATGTCCACATTAAATTTACTTGAATTGTATTTACAGGATGCTAAAATAGAAAATACAGAAGAGAAGGGGAAAACGAATCATTTTGAAATATGGATACAAGCTGCGCTTATATTATCTATTATATGGGGCTTAGGAGGCAATTTAGACATGGATTCTCACATTAAGTTTAATTCATTTTGTACATCACTTTGGAATGGTACAAATGAAGAATATCCAAAACCAGAGTTAATTAAGAATTTTGATATAACATTACCTCATGAAGGTTTAATACAAGATAATTTTTACATTTTCAAAGGTATTGGAAATTGGAAGTATTGGGGTGATATATTAAAAAGTGAAAAGATATTAGAAACGCATAATTGCAATGAAGTTTTTATATCAACAATTAATACTATGAAATATAATCATGTGTTCTTAAAACATATTAAATACAAAAAACCTTTCATTCTTTGTGGAGATCTATCTATTGGTAAAACTTCTTTAATGAGAAATTTACTGAAAAATAAATTATTAGAAGAAAAATATTTAATCAACTTTTTTAGTTTCACATCTTTAGATACTGTTTTTAAAACGCAACAGTTGTTACTTTCAAAATTGAATAAAATAAAAAAGAGACACTATGGGCCACCAAAAAATCAATTTTGTATTAGTTTCATAGATGATCTTAATGTAGAAATGAACGAATGTAAATCAAAAAGTATTTTAGAGTTTCTTCGGCAATATCATAGTTATGGCTATTTTTATGATTTTGATGAACCTGAGAAAATTTTTATTCGTGATATTATGTTTTCACTTGCAATTACAGGAAACACCAGAACTAAAATATGTTCCCGATTTTTAAGATATTTTAATTTATACACTATGTATACACCATCTACAGATACTGTATTCAGAATATTTTCAAATGTACTTTTCATCAATTTAAAAAGAAATCTCTTTGCTGCAGATGTTCTAAGTAGTGTAACTAGTATAACTAATGCCACAATTGATATTTATAACTCTCTGAATAAAACATTACGACCAATACCAGCCAAATTCCAATACCAATTCAGTATAAGAGATATAAGTAAAGTAATTAATGGATGTAGCCTTCTCCAGAAGGAATCAATTGAAACTAAAGTTACTTTTATTCGTCTTTGGGTACATGAAATATGGCGCGTTTTTGGTGATAGGATATTGGATAACAGTGATAAAGACTGGCTCTTTTTGCAGACAAGAGAAATTGTCAAATGCCATTTTAAAGATTCATTTGAAACAGCTTTTGATTATTTACCTAAATTTGAAAACAATCAAATTACAAAGGATAGCTTTAACGATTTAATGTTCAGCAATTTTATGGATATAGAACAAGAGAAAAATAAAAAATATGAAGAGATAAATTCTATGGAAAAGTTAAAAACTAAAATTCATTTTTATCTAAATGAATACAATAATAATTTTAGAAATCAAATTGATATAGTTGTAACACAGTATCTGTTGGAATGCTTGATTAAAATTTCAAGAATTCTAAGTACACCAGGAGGTAATTTAGTGATGATTTCTAGTATAGGATCTGGTAGAAAATCCATAACAAGCCTTGCTGTTTATATGCAGCGACAAGAACTATTTGAACCATCTGTACATTCCTGTAATGATCTCGATATATGGAGAAAGAATTTAAAAACAGTTCTACAAAAGTGTGGTGGATTAAGAAAGAATGTCACATTTTTTTTAAAAGACAAACAAATAACAGATCATTTTCTTTGTGATATTAGTAGCTTATTAGCTACTGGAGAAATACCCGACTTATTTTCTATTAATGAAAGGCATGATATTATTGAAATGGTACGTTTACATGCTCAAGGTGGCAATAGGAACACAGAAGTAAGCATTCGTTTTGTGATGAATTATTTTTTAGAACAATGTAAAAACAACCTGCACATTGTTATATGTTTCAATTCTACAAATAAAGCAACTAGATTGTATTTACAAAAGTATCCAGAACTAGTGAAATATTGTACAATAAATTGTTATGAAACATGGCCAACAACTGCACTTACACAAATAAGCACAAAATACATTCAAGATATTAAAGTTCACGAAAATATAAAAACAGATGTAGTAAAAGCCTGCATAAAATTATATAACAATGCACAAGAGATAAGTACTGAATATTGTAATGGAACTGACAGAACAAATCATATTACATTATCTGCATTTTTACACATGCTGAAATTATATACTCATCTTATGTCAAAAAAACAAAACGATATTGTTACAACAAGGAGTAGATATTTAGCAGGCCTGGAAAAACTGGAATTAGCAGCGCAACAAGTTGAAAAAATGAAGGGTACATTAACAATATTAAAACCACAATTAGAGTTATCTGCTCAGCAAACTATGACAACTATGAAGGAAGTGGAAAATGAAAATGCTACTGTAGAAGGAGCAACTATTCTTGTACAACAAGAAGAAGAAATAGCAAATAAGAAAGCAGAAATTGCTGGGCAATTAAAAGTCGAATGTGAAGCTGATCTTGCTGTAGCAATCCCGATTCTAGAAGATGCTGTTGCTGCATTAAATACATTAAAACCCACAGATATTACCCTTGTAAAAGCTATGAAAAATCCACCCGATACTGTTAAACTGGTAATGGCTGCAATTTGTGTTATGCTGGATGTACCTCCAGATAAACCCATTGATCCAGTTACTGGTAAAAAATTTACAGATTATTGGGGCCCAAGCAAACGTATTTTAGGTGACATGAACTTTCTACAAAATTTAAAGGACTATGACAAAGATAATATTTCACTAAATATCATGCAAATTATTAAAAAAACATATATGACAGACAATAATTTTAAACCACATGTTGTTGCCAAAGCATCAAGTGCTGCTGAAGGGCTTTGTAAATGGGTACGTGCAATGGTATCTTATGATGAAGTTGCAAAGGCAGTTGCACCTAAAAAGGAAAAATTATCGACTGCGCAAACAGAATGTAATGAAGCAGAAGCTTTTTTAAATGAAAAACGTAGAACGCTTTCCGCATTAAATGCAAAACTTGCTGCATTGAATAACAGCCTTCAAGAAACATTGAAACAAAAAGTTAAACTTGAAAAGGAAGTAGAAAACTGTACTGATAAACTTAATAAAGCAGAGAATTTAATTGCAAGCCTAGGAGGGGAAAAAAATCGCTGGATGCAATGTGCGGAGAATCTTCAAGAAAATTATAATAATCTTGTGGGAGATATGATAATATCATGTGGAATAATAAGTTACATGGCATCATGCAGAACTGTTTTTCGTGATCAAATTTTGGAACACTGGAAACAATTCATAAGAGATTTAAAAATTCCATTTACTATAGACTACAATTTAGTAAATGTGCTTGGAGAAGAAAATGAAATAAATCATTGGTATTTTTGTGGATTACCTAAACACAGGTTTTCCGTTGAAAATGCAATCATTATGAATAATTCTGAACTCTGGTGCTTATTTATTGATTCTCATAATCAAGCAAATCAATGGATTAAAACAATTGAAAAAAAGAATGATTTGAAAGTTATTAGACTCACTGATTCCGATTATATGTCAGTTATTCAATCTAATGTTGAAAATTGTAATCCAATATTAATTGAAAACGTAGGGGAAAATCTAGAAATTTTGTTAGATCCATTTCTTCTAAAACGAATTTACATAGATGGAAAAACATCACAATTTAACACTGGTTGCAATGCTATAAAATATTCACATAATTTTCGATTATATATTACAACAAGGCTATTCAATCCTCAGTACTCGGCCGAGGTATTTAGCAAACTTACAATAATTGATTTTTCTATTCCAAATGAAGCTCTGCAAGACAAACTTCTAGATCTTGTCATTTTTAAAGAAAAACCAGAACTTCAAGAAAAATTTGAAATTTTGCTTATGGAAGATGCTAATAACAAGAAAATATTAAAACAACAAGAAGATAATATTTTATATACTTTATCTTCAACAACCATAAACATTCTTGAAGATGAGAATGCTATAAAAACTTTAGATTCTTCAAAAAACCTTACCTTAAATGTGGTTAAAAGACAAGAGATATCAAAAGTAATGTCTTTAGAAATCAATAAATTTCGGAAAAGTTACTTACAGTTTGTTAAATATTGTGTAGATTTGTTTAATACACTTAATGCCTTGTCATACTTAAATTATATGTATTGTTTTTCATTTCCATGGTTTATGCAACAATACATTCGATCAATCGAAACTTCAAATAAAAGTACCATTCTTGAAAAACGATTAACGTTTCTAAAGTCTTCATTTACTCATAGTCTTCATACAAGCATTTGTAAATCTTTATCAGAAAAACATAAGGCGTTGTATTCTTTCTTATTGTGTTCTAAAATGTTATTGGATGATAAACAAACGACAGAAGAAGAAATTAAATATTTTATGTCCCCGAACAGGAATCACATTAATACTACTTCTGATAATATGCTTAATTGGCTGCCACATGATATTTGGATAAAAATTTGTAATCTTAGTGAAACATTATCTGCTTTTTATGGTCTTGCAGATGATTTTTGTTCTAATGACAAGGCTTGGAAGCAATATTATGCTTCTGAGTTACTTCAAAGTCACTTATTACCACAACCTTGGATAAATAAATTAACTGTATTTCAAAAACTTATACTTACTAAAACTTTGCGACCTGATAAAATTATACTACATATTATGCACATGATAGAAAATATGTTGGGAAATATTCAAAATTATTCCCCGCAACTTAAAGTATCAAGATCACACATGGAATCCAGTTGTTTAACTCCTCTTTTATTTATTTTACCAAGTTGTTCGTCGCCTTTATCTCTTATTAATGCATACGCAAGAACAAAAGGCTACTTGTCAAAGTTTATCTCTGTATCTATGGGCAAAGGTCAAGAAAAGAAAGCTGAGCTTCTCGTACAAAAAGCTCAGAGAGAGGGAGGTTGGGTTTTTTTGCAAAATTGTCATGTAGTACCACATTGGATGGATCAGCTTGAAAAAATTTGTGAAAATTGCAATATTTCCAATGTGTCAATAAATTTCCGGTTATGGTTGTCTAGTTATCCTACTAAAAAATTTCCTATTAGTATATTACAAAATAGTATAAAAATTGTACACGATTATCCATTGAATATCAAAGAAACGTTGCTAAACATTTATCAATCTGAACCTATAATAAACAAAGAATTTTTTGAAGGATGTCCTGGAAAAGATAAAATTTTTTCAAAGCTTCTCTTTGGATTATGTTTCTTCCATTCGATAATAAAAGAAAAGAAATACTTCGGGATTCAAGGTTGGAATATACCATATGATTTTGATCATTCTGATCTTAACCTATCCATCATGCAAATGCAACATTTAATAAACAATACTGACTATGTACCTTTTGATATTCTTCTGTACTTAATTGGGGAATGCAATTATGGCGGAAAAATTATGGATGATTTTGATAACAGAAGTCTGAAGTATCTTTTGAACGATTGTTGCAATTTAAATCTAATTAAAGATCGGTATTATACATGTTCAAATGGCATACAAGAACTGATACCGCAAAGATGCGAATATCTTCGTGTAATTGAACACATTAAAAAAATGCCTTTGGATTTGTCATCAAAAATTTTCGAGTTCAATAAGAATGGCGTTATTATTCGTGACACAATGATAGCCACAGAATTTTTATCATATCTCTCATCCATGAATTCTATTGTTTCATTACCAAATGATCAATTATTTCAAGATCAAGTACTAACTTTAATTAACGATATTAATGATAAATTACACGATTCATTTAATATTAACGAATTACAAGAGAAGGGTACCTTTTTCCACGAGGAACCCATAGAAAGAATCCTTTTTTGCGAAGTAAAATTATTAAAAAATATTTTAAAAGTCATAACTGAAACGTTAAATAATGTAAAACTGGCGTTTGATGGTTATCTTCCATTTACTGATTCGTTAAGCAAGCTAACACAAGAAATATGCGAGAATAAAGTTCCATGTTCTTGGAAAAATGTACAAAGCAATATTACAATTGAAAACTTATCGTGCTACATCGATAATTTGATAAAACGTGCAAATTTTATTAAACAATGGGCGAATCAAGGATGTCCTAGAATTATTTGGCTCGATGCTTTATTTTTTGCTAAAATGTTTTTCTCTGCGATTTTGTTAACATTTTCCAAAATACACAATATATCTATCGAAGACGTCGGATTTGAATTTGAAGTTACAACCGAGGAAGAAATGGATAGAGAAAATGACGACGTTTATTTTATTCGCGGTTTGCACTTATCTGGAGCTCGATGGAACATTGAAAAAAATATATTGACAGAAAGTTTCGCAAATGTATTCTGGCAGGACATGCCGCCTATACGTTTCAAATGCATACGAAATAAAAAAGATATAAACGAAGTTTATGAATGCCCCGTCTACGTTTCCGCCGTTCGACGTACGGATAAAAATGTATTAATTTCAAACAATTACGTTATTAGCATACCTCTAAAAACTGACAAGCATCAGACTCATTGGATAAAATGCGGTACAGCCTTATTTTGTCACGTTTCATAGTGTGAAGATATTTAAAGAACATAATTGCGTATAATATTGTGCAATTTTGTTTAAGAAACATTTCTGATATAACACGTTTGTGCAATCTTTAATAATATTTGGTAATATGTATTAAATACAATAAACATTATTATATATAGCTATGACGATTCTATTGTGCGCAATTGCCGAAAATAGTAAAAAATTAAAAAGTAACGTGGAACGTGTATTCGAACATTTCGCGGATTTGTTCGCTATGCGTATCCGGTTCAGTTCCATATAAATGGAAGGAATGACAGGTAAATTGAAGAAATTGACGTAAAGTTGAATTACCGAACAAAGAAAATCATTGTCAGAGGAATATTTGAAGTAATTAGAATTAGATATAATCTACGATAATCACTTTGAGCGATATTGTATTTGTTCTCAATGGCGAGCCACGAAGACTTGGTTTCGCAATTTACAGATGTAACTGGTGTTGAATCTGAACGAGCACAATTTTACCTTGAGTCATCTGCTTGGCAGCTCGAGGTGAGACAGCATATTTATTAAATATCTTATTAATTTTAATGTAAAAAGTTTTACTTCATGGATGTGTCACTTTTAAAACAACATCCTCCTATTCAAAACAATTTCAACACTAGTTTTATATAACCTTAAACGCAACAAATTTTAATTCCCCGATAATACATAATTGTGTCTTTCGAGAATGTTTTGAAAACAAATGTTTGTTTTTATTATTTTACTATAGACTTGATTAAAGTATGAAATGTTTCATGGAGTACAAATCCATGATCATGTTACAATGAAACAATTAAAAGTTATTAACACAATTCATTGTTTAAATAATTCGTGTATCCTTTTGTATTTTGTACAGTTATTTGAAATATTTTCAGGTTGCTCTTGCCAGTTTTTATGAAAATGACGAACCTGCTGCATTAATTAGCGAACCTGTTGAGGAAACGGTAGACGAAGATTATAGAAAGGTTGCACAAAAAATTGTGGAAAGCGTAAAACCTTCAGAAATTGAAGGAAAACCGAAAGCAAAACCTAGGTTTACTACTTTTAGTGATCTTAAAGAGAAAGAAAGTAGCCCTGAAAAGGAAGAAGGACAAGCATTTTATACTGGTGGTTCAGAACATAGTGGACAACAAGTTTTAGGACCAGGAAAGAAGAAAGATATTGTTAGCGATATGTTTAAATCGTGTCAAGGACAATCAGTCGATGTAAAACCAAAATCAAGTGGACAACAAAGACCAAATACCTTTAGTGGTACTGGATACAAATTAGGTCAAACTAATTCTGATACAGAAGGTATTACTACAAGCACCAATAATTCGTGGCTTATATTTCAATAGAAAACATTCATAATTTGTTTCCTTCAGTCGTTACTGCTACATCTTCTAATCATCAGCAATCCAACTCTGGACCTATTACTTTAAAATTATGGAAGGATGGATTTACTATAAATGACTCTGAGCTTCGTTTGTACAGCGATCCCGGAAATAGAGAATTTCTTGACACTATTAAGCGAGGTGAAATACCAACAGAAATACGTCACGAAATTGAAAGTAACGAAGCATGGCTTGTTATGGAAGACCACCGTCACGAAACATACGTTCCGTCAAAAGTCAAAGTAAAAGCTTTTACTGGAAAAGGTCTTATGTTAGGAAGGTATATAATATATCTTGCACAAAAAATAATTTGCAGATATACTTTACACTATATAATTTTATTAATGTCCGTATTCAGTCCCTCTCCAGCAACAGTTGGTATGACAATACCAATAGATCTTGCAGATCAAACTGCAAACGAATCACAGGCAAAGAAACAATTGAATTTGGATGAATCAAAACCCATTACAACATTACAAATTCGTCTTGCTGATGGTACTAGCATAAAAGCACAATTTAATTTAACACACACGATCAACGATTTGAGGCAATATATAACTACGTATCCTTTTATAATTAATATCAGAGGTTGTAAACTTTGGGAGCTGGAGATTTTAAACCTGTTTTCTGTTTAGTATATTCCTTAATTAATTATACTTTAGTATGAGACCTCAGTATGCTATGAGAGAATTCAGTTTATTAACAATATATCCTACTAAGGAACTTGTTGAAAATAAAACTATTGAAGAAGCTGGTTTACAAAATACAGCAATAATTCAACGATTGAAATAAACGTTTTTTCTAGATCCTTAGTTATGAAAGTTTGAGTGATGTAACGATTAGATGATTCTTAAATATATATTAAAAATATTTGAAAGTAATAGTTCAATATTTTTTTCGTAACTGACTGAAACTTGCTTTATTATTTTCCATTTTTATTTTGAATTTAATTTTCGTTACCTAACGCTAATTTTTCTGAAATAATACAGGGAAATGTTACTAAACCGAAATACGACATTGAACTTTCTATTAGTAACATATAATTAAATTACAGAAACTTTTGTACAATGATAATAAAGTCATCAATGCAATAATTTGTTTTTTATATGTGTACAATTACTAGAGGTGTATAAAAATCCAAAAATGTCAGGTTGAATCGGAACGGGTCTCCGAAGCTTTTGAGATTTCCGAGAGAATCAGGACCTTCGACAATATTCAAGATTTTAATTTACTAATTAAACGTTCCTGACTCTTTCGAAAACAGAAAACTTCGGGAACCTGATCCAACCTGACACGATCTTTTTCCGACTTGTCCCGACTTCGAGTTAAATTTTGTTTTAAATAATAACGAATAAGTTAGGAAAATGTTTCTTATTTACTTTCAAAAATAAAATTTTTCGAACAGAGAAATATATTAATGCATGAAAGGTATTTAATATAACAGCTATTATTAGGCCTTCAGGAATACTTATATTTGTATACAAATTGCGAAGTTGTAAGTATTAAAGTGATAGATGTTTTGCATTATACTAAAATTTTTTTAACAGCATTTGAAAATTTCATGTTACACAATTACATTCTTACATTTATATTGTACTATACTTATAAATAGATCAGACTTTCCAATTAAAATTATTTATGGCAATTGTATTGAAACTATACATTAATTGTGAGTTGGAAGTACTAAAAAGAATATTATTTATTATCATTTGTTTAATAAAAGTTTACTTTCTGTCATGAACTTTTTAAACATTGGTGAGTTTTGTATATCTTCTTTAAACCTTAAAATTGTAGTGTCTTGGGTGCTTGCATCTGGATTTGGTTTCTCAAAACAATATTTATACCGATTTAACGTAACTAACTCTTTTCCAACTTCTCGCGTATAAACATTACCTTTCTTTAAAGTTTCATGTGCATTATATATATAAGTGGGCAGATTATCAATAATACTTGGATCAATATGTGTTTTTTTAAAGATTGTATATGTTGAATTTTTAACAAGCGCATTATCTGCTTGTTGTGTACAAAATATCAATGTTTTTATTTTGTAATGATTAGCTTTCATTCTAGATCGTTTAAAATCTGTCACTAAATCGATAAGAGAATGATGATATTTTAAAACTACATATTCTTCCCACGACATGGTAATAACATACATAACTTTTTTGTATGTACGATACAGACAATCAGCCTGTATAAGATCCTTGATTATATTAGGATGAATTTCAGAAAAAGGAAAGTTCCATGGCACTGTTACATATGTAAACTTCCAATATGGATTTTGAGACTTGGATAATTCTTTTAAGTTACCATTAAAGTCACTGGGAATACCAAAGTCATATATTATAAAATTATCCATACCAATTGTATCATGAAAATTTATGAAAGCAATCATATCTGATGAATGCATGGGTTTAGTTAATGGTGGTGTTACACATACTCCAACATTAGTATAATTTAAACTACGCGATTGATTTTTAATTGGCAATATGGGCATGTTGTTAAGATTCGTATTGGACTTTGTTAGAAATGTTATCCCTACTGGTATTTTATTTTTGGTGTACGTACAGTAGAAATGATACCCATTATAATTTGAACTTTTCTCAGTGTTTGTAACATTAGAATCGCTACCGATCAAAATATATGTAAAGCTCCCTAAAATTGGTTTAATTTCATTTTCAAAGAATATCACACATTGCATGTCTTGAATGCTATTTAGCGAACCAAAGCCTATTACTTGAACTTCTTTTTCATGTATATTATATGCAGAATAAACATATAAATCATTATCTAACCTTTGCCAAGAGGAAAGAGGTTCCTCAAATTTCATATTAAATTTAGTGATTACTGGCACATTGTTTGTACAGTTTGTTTCAACGTTCTTTTGGTTCGGCTTACCAAAGTAATTGAAAACTTCTAAGACATATCTTAACCTATTGTATTCATGTCTATAAAATAATAGAGACACAAGACTCACTACAGCGGTCACAGCAAGTGCAGCTTGGTAATACTTTCGCATTCTTTAAGTTTTAATGTAGCAAATATCAACGATTTTAATTTTTTATATATCAATTCATATTTTAAATTGCCTTTGGCCTGTTTATCATACATGGATAAAATTCTGAAATAAAAATGTTATTTAAACAATTAACTATTTAATATAAACAATAGTTAGAACACTAATTCGAACATGTAACGACTGTACATAGTCTAATTTGATTACGCGTACCTGAAAAATAAGGCAATGATTGACGTCCTGTGATTTGTGTAGGTATTGTTATTGTTATTAAAGCAACTCATACACAATTCTATTTAACCTCGTCAATAATTGCTCGACTTATTATGCACTGAGTAATCACTTATTACGTTACATCAAAAGTATAACAACTATTAGTTAAATATTACAAGCCTTACTAGAAATTAAATTAGAGGCTCGATAACCAAGCTGGAAGTGCTATAATATGGACTTCATTACTTATGGACTATGTGCAAACAAAACCACGTGATTGCGACTGACAAAGTTAGTATACTGTAATTGTGGTGCCATCTGACTATTAAAATAAGAATTATTTCTCTACAAAATCTCACGGACCTGAACTCAGCATTCATTGATCTCTAAAATTATTGATTTAGAATGAAATTAAACTATAAGGATTGAAACTAAATCTCGCGATTCATAAAACAGGCAGAGCCACGATACTCTCGAAATACTTTAAAATTGCGCAAGAAACGCTGGCTTTTTAGTATGGCGTAATTCCCATTTAATTTACTACTTGATCAAAATCGATAATAAAGCAAATTAAAAAATTATTTATTATTTAATCTTAACACTGATATATTCTGCTTCCGGCAAATAATAACACGATAAAATGATAAAAATATATAAAAAATATATAAATGTTATTATATGTATATTAAATTTTACCTATCCCTATTAGACCATTTGAAGTTGGCGCCATTTGAATGTTTCCAAGTGTAGTGGCGTCCATTGCGTGCCGGTAGCTTGCCTTCTATTCGAATTCCAATTAGAAACTGTAACAGAAATGAAATACAAATTAAAATCAAATGCATTAAAGTACATGAACGATTATTATAATCAAGTAATGATTAAATCCTAGCCGTCTTACTAGAGATCGTGATTAAATTCAGAGAGACAAGTTAACAATTAACACCGGTCGAATGCTAGAGAAAAAGTACGAAAATTATTCAATATTTGTTACGATGTTGATTGAATTTATAATAAAAACTGTATCAATATTATGCGAAAGCACCGTTAGAGAGTAAATGCGAGTAATGATAACGAAGAAATATCAAAAAGTTAGAAATACATACTTCGTTGGTCGCAAAACGCCGACACGTCTTGCTACACCAACTTTTACAGCAGGAATAACGACCTCACGCTGTAACCGGTAACGCTCGCGAATTAAACGGAGGGTGGGGGAAATTCCGATGTCTCCCGAAGTCCGTTGTCTTCGACGTTAGATGGCGACGCAAGCATGTGCGATTGAAAAATATTTTCAATTATTGTTATTACTATAAAAAATATCGCTTTTATAAATAAATTAAATTGATGAGCATTATTTTTTCGTATTGATAATAATAATTGAAAATATTTTTCGATCGCACATACTTAAGGCGCCATCTAGCGTAGAAATGGTAAAAATTCTAGATTAAGAATTTTGTACTTGTAATAATTAACAATTGTTAAGTTTGAAATCTGCCAAATTTACTCTTGCAAGTTTCTATTGCAGTTATACATACGCATATTTTTGTAGCTAGATCTATGAGCTCCATTATTAATAATTATTTACAAATTAAAATGTTATTCTATCTATTTTTCTTATTTTTTCATAATGAATCACCTCCTGTCCGCTTGTACACGTTATTCGAGAACACCCTGTGTATCTCGAAAATTGAAAATCGATGTATCATATAATTCATGTCATTTGAACATTATAAATACGTTAATTTAAAATCCATACACTCGCAATTTGTAAATAATTTTCAATTTAAACTTTTAATAATGTAGCAACAAATGACAAGATCCTTGAATTTGCTAATATTACCGATAGCAGTGGTTGAGGAGATTTAAATATAGAGTGTACCGCAGAATTACTAATTTCTCATGTGTTCGGTATTCCAGTTCTTAAGAATAATTTCCATTAAATGTCGAACCATAATCTATCCTACCCTCGTCAATGTTCGATTTATTTTTCTTTTAATATAAGAATAAAAATAATATTAAAATCTCTATAATAATTTTTTATTTCAAACGCCAGATCAAGGCTAATGAGAGAGTACGAAAAGAAAAGTATTGTGGGTTTTCGACTATGATAATAATTATTTTTCTTTATATATTTATTTATTTAACCTTTTACGTAATAATTTCAAGTGTGAAGTGTTGATTGAAATCCAAATATAACCCAATTCTTCTTTCCGATATATGTCACCTTCGGTACGATTGCGTTTCGAACATACTTGCGTCACAATCGTGAATATTTATTACGAATGAAACCGTCGTTTACATATTTACATTAATGCTAATGTCTCTTGTAACCATTGCTCTTTTTGTTAACTTAATTTACGCTTCACCTATATTGCCAAGTTCAGTTATAAATATTATCAACATTATATTTACGTTGTGAAATAAAACTTCAAATTATTTATGTTACTAGTAAATTTATGAAACAATTAATTAACAAGCATATATTTCAGTTCGAACTTATTTTTGCAAATAAATTCTTATAATTTTATCTCGTTTTAAAATAATCGCAACTTCCGTATGTTTATTCGTTTTATGTAATTTGTACATTTTAAATAACAAACATTCGTTCACAAGCGTGATCCATTAAATTTACTTGCAAATCATACTTAACTTTCGTAACTTGTGTCTTTAAATTTCTGTTATCAGAATCTCCGAATTTAGTTCACACTTAATGACCTGTGCTAATTTTGTTGTTTATTAAGAAAGGTATAAAAAAAAAGTAAGCAAGTCATACTGAACGTACTCGGTACATATAGTTCAATAAAAATCTGTACTAAATGAAAATGAAAAAAAGTCTTGGTGTAGGTTACATAAATGTACATAATTCGAGCTGGAAAAGTTCCGCGCAATCCAGTGATCGTTAAATGAAAGCGTGTGCCTTTATAAAGTCTAATGAGTGTCCAAAGTTCGAAAATGTACATCTCCGTACGTATCCGATAGCGATTTCATTAGTCGCGTTCGGCGATGCCGCTTTAAAATCTTTCTTTAAAATTTCATTGGTTAAAAGAAGAAACTTGTGGGTCGTGCGATCGAACGATTACAGCGCTGCGTTATACCACGCAGACACAGCAACCACTCGCTCAGTATTATAGTGCGCTTGGAGCGTGAGCTCCGTCAGAACATTTTCAGTCATTAAGATAACAAGCTAAGGCGAATTAACAATGGCAATGGAGGTATTTATGCACAAAAACATATATAATACATTACAATGAATGACTATGCCCAAAAAGGGATTTGCAAAATGATGTACTTTCATCGTTCTTTTAGATTCAAATATTGACTGCGAAGTCGTCGAAATACTTGGCTAATGTAAACGTAAGTAGCATATATATAATGTCAAAGTCCATCGGAATAGGTAAATGTGTACTATTGTAGTTCTATAACTCATTTATGTTTCCGTATAAATTTGTAACATCTCGACGATGTTTAACTTTAATAGTTAAACGTGTGATAGTGCGACGGACACTAGATAAAATATGAAAAAAAAATTCTATTCATAGCTTTTAACGAAGTAGCGTACATGAGTCTATAAAAATGTATATACATTGATTTAAATTTGTACTTAATAATTTTCATATTATTAATTCCTATATATGTATATTGTTATGTTCGTGTAATGTATATTTGATATTATATTTAAAGGTAAAACCAAGTACAACGATAAAAGAAATTAAAGAAGAATTGTTAAAAACAATGAAAGCACCATCCCTTGAAAGACAATGCTTGCGACTTGATGTTAAAGGAAAAGTTTTATCAGATTCAGAAACATTACAAAGTTTAAACATTACTGATGGTACAAAGCTATACTATAAAGACCTTGGGCCTCAAATAAGTTGGAAAACTGTATTCCTAGTAGAATATGCTGGTCCATTGTTCCTGTATCTATGGATATATCAACGTCCATGGATCTTTTATGGAAGTATCGATACATCCAAATATGATACAGCTGTCCAGTAAGTTCATATTACAAATGCAAATTCTTAATTATAGATTCAGCTATTTAATGATAAACTTGTTACCAATTATAATTTTAGTGTGGCAGCCATTTGTTGGGCAGTGCATTATGCGAAACGGCTTTACGAAACATTATTCGTGCATCGTTTTAGCCATGCAACAATGCCATTCCGCAATCTTTTTAAAAACTGTTCGTACTATTGGTTGTTTGCCATGTATGTGGCTTATCATGTAAATCATCCTTTGTATACAGCACCAAGCTGTCTTAAGTTTTGTACTGGTCTGACATTATTTACACTATGTGAACTGGGTAATCTGAGCACTCATTTAGCTCTAAGAAATCTAAGACCACCAGGAACTACTGTCAGAAAGATACCTGTAGCCACTGATAATCCTTTCACTGTACTGTTCAACTTTGTGTCCTGCCCAAACTATACTTACGAAATTGGTAGTTGGATTGGTTTCACCATCATGACTTCGTGTCTTTCAGGTAAATGGTTCTTTCTTTGGTACATTGAGAAAAAACACTGGTTGTAAGATTATATTATAATTATCGTATTGTTTCAGCTGCTGTGTTCACTGCTGCTGGTGCATATCAAATGACTGTCTGGGCATTAGGAAAGCACAAAGCATATAAGAAGGAATTTTCCCAGTATCCAAAAAGTCGGAAAGCTGTTTTCCCATTTATTTTGTAAATGTATCATTAATGTACATACATTCATCTCAATCTAGGGGCACGATATTGGTAATTATAACTAATCGTGTTTCTAGATTTCATTTTGTTACCAATATTTTTATTCTTTAAATAAATAATGTACCACCGGAATTACACAGCATTTTTATATATTTTACTTACATTCGAGCTTTGAAACTTGGTCACCATGGCTGTAATCCATTTAATTTATAGTAATAATTTTATCGATTTATGTATATGGCTTTTAAAAATTTATTTTAGCAATTTGCACATTAAATTAAACATGTCATCCTTTAATGCGTTTATTATACTTTGGCACTCCTGCATTTGAACTTTATATTTATCCTGCAATTCTTCATATCCATAACATGCGTTCTCTAATTTCTTTTTCGCTTCTGATGGTTTTATATCTTTAGCTGCTAAACCCAGAAGGCCCTCCATATGTAACATATGTTTCCTTGCATTTTCTAAATCCTCCCTCAAAACATTTAGTTCCGTGAGCAATGTGACATTTTCTTCCATCGTTTTATCTATGCCTTTGCCGCCACTAGATGTACCCTGAAAGACTTGTTTTCTTAGAGAAGCTATCGTTCTCTCTAGATGATCTCTCTGCTTGTTAAATTCGCATTGTGCGTCTAAATCTGCTTTACGGCTGCGTAAAAATTCGTCACTTGAACTGTACATGTGATATAATTTCGTTACAGCAGCTTTTAACGCTTCCGGATCTTGCACAAGTCCCGACGCATCAAGAAGATCCACTCGAATCCTTTTTAAAAGCTTTTGACATCTATTGTTTCGATGCATTTCGTTTTGTTGTTCGCGTCTCGCGGCACCCAATTTTTCTCTTAACTCGTACAGTTGCAATTCCAAGCTAACATTAGTCTTATGGAGATTTACGAGCTCTGTTTCCATGTCTCGAATCTTTTCCTTAAGTTCCCTGATTTCTTGGTCCCGCGGTTCTATTTGATTTTTCAATTCCGTAATCTTGTAATTCAACACGAACTTGAACTTCTCCAATTCTTGATTTCTACGTTTCAATTCGTATATTTGCAGTTCCCTGTTTTGAACCGTAAGATCCCTCTCATCTATTTCTTTCCTCAAGTCCTCTTTATCTTTCTCCAATTCTTGCATAGATTTTTGAAAATAACTGTATTCACTCTGAACCCGGTGCACTTGTCTCTTTAACTCGTCAACTTCTTTTTGGCTAGCCATGTACCTATTACGCATCATTCCAGCCTCTCCTTTCAGTCTTATCTTCAGCTCTATTTCTTTGTGCAACAGCGTCTCGTACGTTGTTCTTATTTCTAGTAGTTCGTGGTCTGCATCATCTTCTATTTGAGCCGTCATTTGTTCATGCACTCGCGCTTGATGCGTCATTTCATCTTGACTTTCTTCCAATTGTAATTTTTTCGTATGTAAAAGACCTTCATATTTAGTTGTTGCTTTCTGTAATTCATTGACTCCGTGTTTTTCTAAATCTTCCAAACGTTTATCATAATCATGTCGCATGGCATTCATATTGCTTTCCAAAACTAAATACCTATCATACTCTGTTATAAGTTTAGCATCGTAATTCATTTCCACCCGTTTCATTGTTTCCTCGTGATTTTCTTTCATTGTAACTATCTCAGCATTTATCGCATTAAGTTCACTCTTATGATCTTCTTGTTTTCTACTTATCTTATCCCTCAATTCTTCGATAGCTTCACAATATCCTTGATGTAAATCTCGCACTTTGTCGTTATGCTGAACTTCTATCTGACGCATTTTGTACGCGTGTTCGGTTTCCAATTCCCTCATTCTTACATTCAAACCGTCAATCGTTTGTATTTTCTCTTCCAGATCACCTTTACTAATCAGTACCTCATTCGTGTATACTATCTCTTTACCTATTGTTCCCTTTCCTTCGGGATAGTACACTTTCCATATACATAAACTACCGTCAATACCGGTAGACACTAAAAACTGTTCGTTGTAACAAAGAGCAATCTACAGAAAAAAAACAAGTAGTAAAACTTATTGCAATTTTATAGGTATTCCATACCTTTTGTTATTTTACCTTTGTAATATCAACGGAATGAATCTTGAAATCTACATAATGTACTGGCTGTTGAAGTGGACATTTCACAGAAACAATAGTACCTCCAGAACAAACAAGAAATAAAACTTGATCCTCTTTTCCTAATACCATACTGTGCATGATTAATTCTGATAAATTATACTCTCGTACCATCTAATTTAAATGTTTTATATTGTTTTCATATTTTCATAAAGAAATGCAAGGGAGACAATAAATGAAGTGGCTAAAATATTACCGTACTATCTTTTATCTCGTGTATAAAAGTATCATTGGCAATGCAATATAAACTCGATTCATCAGCAGACAGAGCAATATCATATAAATTAAGCACTCTTAAAATTATTTCTGCAGAACGTCGACCAGTACTCATGCTCCATTGATATATAGCACCCTCCGTACCCAATGTTAATAACTTTGTGTCAGTTTGTGACCACAATAAAGCCTTCACTCTATTAGTGTGTCCTTTCAAAATAAAATAGCTGACAAAACCAATAGTAGTGTAAACTTGCACAATATTTCCGTTAACAGCAGCAAATAAATGACCACCATGACTAAATGTTACAGTTTTACAACATCTTATAGGAAATTCCTCCATAGGTAATAGATCATCTATTAATATGCTCAAAAAGCGTAACTTGTCACTAAAACCAATTAAACAAAAGAGACCTGTGGGGTGTAAAGAAATTCCACAAATGTCTTCTGTATATTGTTTAAGTAAAATTAATTTTCCTGTCTCAAAATCCCATAGTCTTACACTATTATCGAGTTCTCCACAGGTCATGAATACTGATTTCCAAGTACACATTGATAAATTGCTTATAGGTCCATGATGTAGTGCTTGACCCATAACTTTTAATTTCTGTGGTTCTGGATCTACATTTAGATCTGGTCCCCATAATCTTGCATAAAATAACTGTGGCCAACTAGTTGTAATTATAAGACGATCCAAACTTATATTAATATTTATAGTATTGACCTGATATAAATCTTCATTATCGTCTTTTGATACTTGTAATGGAATTGTATAAATATTTCTTTTTACATATTTATGTTGACCATCTTTTTCGAAGAATACAATTGTTCTTAAACCAAATGCATATGCAAATCCCTTTGAAAATGCATGTAAACAACGAATATTATTTTCCCAATGAGTATTCTGCTTAAAATCCATTAGTGAACTACTGGCAGGTATAATATATTCTTCCCGAATTCTAAGATTCATGGATGTTGTATTAGTCATTTTGTAAACATTTTTTAAGTCACCATTCTCCAAGTATAGTATTCGACCATCTTTAGTTCCAAGTAATAATCTGTCTGAATTTAACCAGGTCATTGAACATATAAGTATATTGTCTGCTTTAGAAAATCCATAAGGACGCCATACAGTTTCGGAAAGGGTTAAAAATTTAAATATCTGTGGACCTCCAATTGCAACTATTCCTATATCAGATGGATTACAAGCTAATAATTCAACGACTGCCAGTGGATTTTGAGGGATGCCTACTTTCAAACTAGATTCTACTTTTCCCTTTTCCCAATTATAATAAAGCATAGTTTGATCAGGCAATCCTGTAACTGCTGCCAAATATTTATTATCGAAGCTAAAGCACATGCAAGTAAAGTTAGTTACGTCAGGAGCATCATACGGTATTCCAAGAAGTTTCTTTCTTTTTAATGTCTGTAGATCATAAATGGATATAGTCGGTTTTTCTCCGACTTCACACGTTGCAACATATTTTCTTCCGAGAAATAAAAATTGTATTTGCTATGTATAACAATAAAGGATAAGCATAAAAATTGTGTTGCAATTACTTACTTGTTAGGTGTAACAGAAATTATATTTATCTCATTTTTGCCGGGCAAATGTATCAAATTTTGACGACGTTGAGGAATATTATGAACTGCTATTACATTTCCAACAGGGTATAAAACTTCTGCATCTGTAATGTAATGCGCGTTTGAAATAATATTAGTATTTAAACCATAAAATATTCTGGGTTGCAAGGAAGCAGGCATCTTAAAAATTCTTCCTTTTGCTTTCTTTCGCGTCCGGACGGTTGTTTCGGCACGTTAACATGCTTTGTTTACATTTCCATAGGAACAGATTGATTTTCACATAAAAATCTTACTTTGCATATTTATAAATATATTTCAAAATTATTTTGTTGAATAATTTTCGTAAGATATAGTATCTAAAATCCCGTTAATCAAATAACTTAGTATAAATAAATTTATTTTAAATTAAAGTTTTCTAAAATGCAATTACAATATCGATAGACATTATTTAAAAAATACATTTACCTTAATTATTCACACTCGAAGTCATCTTATCTATAATTGGTATAAAAATATAACTTTTTAATTCAAACTTACAATCTTCGATATCTCTTTCGATATTTATTCAAAATCTTCCCGCCATTCAGCTTGCGTTCAGTTCAATCATCGTTTGTTACCGTTACTAGGTAACTAGTCGGCTGACTGATGCTCGAACGTACTGCTTGCAAGTGTTGCCATAAACGCTAGAAAATAGATTAATAACATGATGATGCGTCGAAGTTGGTACTTCAATTTTATCTGCCCTCGATAAAAGAAAAATAAACATGAAATGAAGGATCATTGATAAATATTTATACACTGACTGTTCTAAGTAACTCACAAATAAATCATTTTGAAATCGTTCATCGAATAAAAACTTTTACTGCAAAGATTAATTTACTGTAATTATATAGTAAAATACAGTACTATATATAAAAGTATATAGTAATTAATAAGTGTTATTGCATCGATTCTAAGTTATTTTATAATTGATCAAAGTGATTAATTGCTTTAAGTGGTGTATTATTTAGAAAAATGCCAGATATAAAAGTCACCCCTTTGGGAGCTGGTCAGGATGTTGGAAGAAGTTGTATCCTTGTATCAATGGGTGGAAAAAACATTATGTTAGATTGTGGCATGCATATGGGATTCAATGATGAAAGACGATTTCCAGATTTTTCATACATAGTCCCAGAAGGTCCAGCAACTAATTATATCGATTGTGTGATTATTTCACATTTTCACTTAGATCATTGCGGTGCTCTACCTTATTTCACAGAAATGGTAACTGGTGAAACATAAATTATACTTAATCTGCTAAAATATAGTCTTTCAATGAATTTCATGTATAGGTAGGTTACACTGGACCAATTTATATGACGCATCCAACAAAAGCCATTGCACCCATATTGCTTGAGGACATGAGAAAGGTGGCTGTGGAACGTAAGGGTGAAAGTAATTTCTTCACATCGCAAATGATAAAGGATTGTATGAAAAAAGTTATTGCTGTTACATTGCATCAATCTGTAATGGTTGACTCTGAACTAGAAATAAAAGCATATTATGCAGGACATGTGCTTGGTGCTGCAATGTTTTGGATTTCTGTTGGTTCACAGTCAATTGTATATACTGGAGATTATAACATGACTCCTGATAGACATTTAGGCGCTGCATGGATAGATAAATGTAGACCAGACTTACTAATATCAGAATCAACATATGCAACAACTATTAGAGATTCCAAGAGATGCAGAGAAAGAGACTTTTTAAAAAAAGTATGCTTCTATAATTATAAACATATATTGATAAAATAACAAAATCTGAATATGATAATTGTTACTTTAGACTATATAAAATACACATACATAGATCAAATTTCAGTAGAGATTATACAATTTTTCTTTCAAGTAATATTACTAATAAGTGCACTGTCCATCCAATTTTGTTTGACAATGCGAGCAATCCTCTTAACTAGTTTTCTGATGAGCAATTAAGTTAATCAGAGTTGAATGTTGTGCAAACTTAAGACTAGTTACAGAATTATTCATCATTACATAGAACAACCACACACAGCTGTTTCAATGATTTTTTCATTTCTTTTAGGTTCATGAATGTATAGATAGGGGTGGAAAAGTATTAATTCCTGTATTTGCGCTTGGACGCGCGCAAGAACTTTGTATATTATTAGAAACCTATTGGGAGCGAATGAATTTAAAGGTTCCCGTATATTTCGCTTTAGGATTGACTGAAAAAGCTAATAATTATTATAAAATGTTCATCACTTGGACTAATCAAAAAATCAAAAAAACTTTTGTACAACGAAATATGTTTGATTTTAAACACATAAAACCATTTGATAAAGCGTATATCGATAATCCAGGAGCTATGGTGGTATTTGCTACTCCAGGAATGTTACATGCTGGACTATCTTTGCAAATTTTTAAAAAATGGGCTCCAAATGAATCAAACATGGTCATCATGCCTGGATTCTGTGTTCAAGGCACTGTTGGGCATAAAGTTCTGAATGGTTCTAGAAGAATTGAATTTGAAAATCGGCAAATAGTTGAAGTTAAAATGGCTGTAGAATACATGTCCTTTTCTGCACATGCTGATGCAAAAGGTATTATGCAATTAATACAATATTGTGAACCTAAAAATATTATGTTGGTACACGGAGAATTTGCCAAGATGGAATTCTTAAAAGAAAAAATTAAACAAGAATTTGGAACTAATTGTTATAATCCTGCGAATGGAGAAACTTGTGTTATTACGACTATTTCCAAAGTACCAGTAGATGCTTCTTTGGCATTATTAAAAGCTGAAGCAAAACAATATTCAGCTTTACCGCCAGATCCTAAAAGACGAAGATTACTTCACAGTGTTCTAATGTTACGAGAAGATGGAGCATATCTTGTAGATGCAGATGAGGTGATTACTGCATGTTATTCAAAAAGTATAGAAACAATAAAAAAAGAATATTCTTCCGAATAGCATTCGCGATCGATTTGGAGAAGAGAAGAAGGGGGAAATGAATTCCTAATATAAAATTTTAGCTTCGAGAATAAAATAGCATTCGCGTCGCAATTTATTACAGATTAAATTTCCGCTAGAAACCCAATGTTTCAGCGGTGCAATGAACGATCTTTGAGTAAACTAGTGAGGAAATCTATCTCGCTTCGGGCTACAAACAACTTTTCACTCGACGACAAAATAAAAAAAAGCTAAACCTGACCGAATATCTTAAATTTCCGAAATTAAAGTTTTATATTTGGTATCCATTCCCTTTTTCTTCTAACCCCTCCAAATTTCATAGATATCATTCGGAAGAACAGCTTTAAAAAAACGAATATTCTATTTAAGGTCACGAAGGCAGCAGGTATAATGAAACACGTAGTACGATTTACATCTACCGTTCAAGTAAGAGATCCTGGTCCAGCGCATTCCACAACTTTAAAATTATTACAACCATTAAAAGAAAGGTTATTAGGCTGGACAGTTCAGTTAACAGATGGATCAATATCTGTTGAATCAGTTTTAGTAAAAGTAGAAGGCGACGAAGACGATCAAAAAAGTGTGTACGTCTCGTGGACAAATCAAGATGAAGATTTAGGTAGTTACATTCTAGGATTTTTACAAACAATGTTGAATTAAGTAATGACGTAATAATACAGAATTTGCCATCAAGAGCAAACCAAAAATTAAGCAATAGACTTCAAGAGATTTTTGTAACTTGTGATACTGCAATAAGTAGTGAGTACATATATTTTTAGTAAAATAATATCATCTATTTTAAATAATATTCGCTATATTCTAACTAATGTTATTGACCAGTTTTATATGTATTTTTATAATAAGTGTACGTAGTTTTTAATAACAAAACATTAATCTTGATTAATTTACGTTAATTGGTGTCTGATTTACGTTAAATCTTATGCATAATAGGTAGTATAAAAATTAAAAATCTCGTTTAACTGTAATATATTAAACTCAATATTAAAATATGTAAATCATTATATTTTTTGTAGTATTTGAACTGAAACATACATATGCTAAAGAAAAATTACATTGTACTGAATCATATACATATACAGTTATTAGTTGAATTCTAAATAGAATTAATGTACAAGAATAACTATTTGATTGCTATGTATAAGATATAATTTTTATAACTTTAATTTGCATGTTTCTTTCATTTATGTTAGTTATTATATAAAAATACCAATAATACTCTGTATTACTTAATGGCCCAAGTTTATACATAAATAGTATTCCCATTATTCTTGCTGAGAATACACCTTTATTTAAATATTAGGAAAAATATTAAAACTAAATACATATATTTTTATAACTGTATTTTCACTAATGATGTTACCAAATGAAAGTCAAAGTGAATGTATTAAAACTGTAAATACCAATAATTATTTTGTTTGATTCTGAAAATGTAATTAAATAAGTTATATCATTCGTTGTACTAATAAATTATTGTTTAATCTTGCATAGTATTTAACGTTAAATAAAACAAACTTTTTATTGACTGTTTCTATTTTTCTAACTATAAAGTACAAATAAGTACAGTGCACAACTAAACATACGCGTTTTGTGTAAAATAAACAAAGCAATTATATTTTACGAAATAAGTACTTAATATATTATAAATAGAGTATTCTTAATCATTTGTCTGATATTTCATTGCACAATAAAAATTATAGTTTATTTAAAAATAAACTAACAAAAACATTTTAATAAACGCTCTTTAAAATGCCCAATTATACATGATTTATCTCTATGGTTTAAATTATTTAAATCATAGATTCATCAATACACCTTATTTACTTTATTATATTTTAATCCGCTCAAGCATACTTTCGAACGGATTTCATTACATGTTTGCAGTAGTTGTGCATAATTAGTCTTTTTGGTGAATTTTAAAAGATCAATTGTTTTCCGTAAATATTAAAGTTGCTTTCGTAAACTTAAAATTCTTTTTAAAAGCCATCTATTGAACACACACATACTTCTTTTTATACGCGTGATCAAATGATCATGCTTATTTATTGCACATAAATTCATCAACGTTTTCAGCTTTGTATACAAATGCTTCAACAATATGCAAATCATTTAAAAGTCTGGTGTCTGCTACTCATAAAAAAAGAATTACACAAAAGTGTTTGTTTTACTATTCATAGTTTGAGTATCGTGCATTTTATAAAGAATAATGTATATGCACTTTATGTTATGGATCATTTTATGTATTAGTGAATCTTAAATAAAACACTATGAAGGCGCTAAGAATAGTTATAAACATCTGAACGTGCCTTATAGAACATAATATATAAACAAAAAAATTCTTACATTGTAATTTACAATATATGATTTCAATAATTCTTAAATTATGCCTATCTGTATCTATCCAATTGCATAACCATGACAAACACCAGTTTCAATATTTCTTAGCTTGTAACTACAAAGTTCCATCATTTATATTTTCTTCCATATAATAAAATATGATATTCTTTTTATAAGAAACATTATTCGTAATATTCTCATTATATTAGTCTTCTTGGTAGCAAAGTTTACCATTTATGTCTTATATAACGTCGGAGCATATGCAATTTCGTTTATATTTCCCTTCTGAATCATCTGACTTCGCACAGAATTAGCGCAGCTTGTTCTGTGAAGTTATTTTTTTTCTGATCCACCCTGAAAAATGCATTATTGATGTTTACTGTAATGTTTGGTATTACAAAATATGTTGCATAAATATAAATAAAAGTAATACCATTTGTATTTGTTCCATCAGATACAAAACATGGAATTTTTGTTTTTATTAGTAATTAATTTAAATAACATTAATATTTACTAATTTGCATACGTATTGTACTTTATAATGAAAACTAGATTAGGGTGTATCTGTTGGAAAGTTAAGAATATGCAGCTACTGATTTCCTGCGTGCTTATTTATATTAATTTATTGATAAATATGGAATGTTTTAAACACTTCTTTCGTAAAAATAAATATATGTAAATAAATTAGCACGCAACGTTATTATTTTGGACAAAATCCGTCACCATACATAGAAAGCATTATTCAAAATTTAATGTTAACAAAGTATTAATTGCATGTGTGAGGATCACATAAATACATGTATATTACCGCAAACAAAAAATAAGTAAACAAATTGTAAAGCACAATAATATACAATATTTATGCTGTTTCAAATTTTTTTTAATTAGAGGTAAATACAGTTACAATTAAACTGTTTTATCTTATACTTCTATATTTAATCACAACTCAATAAACTTTATTTATAAACTTTCAAACAGCATAAATTTAACAATTCAGCAGGACAACACTAAATACAATTTGTTATATAAGCATGTAGCTTACTAAATATATTGCAGCTGCTAAAAAAAATATACTATATTATGTCCAACAATGCATGTACTATCTGTAAACAAATTAATTAATTAAAACAAATAAAAGCAATGCAAATGTATGAAAAAAAGAAATGATAATGATTAAGAATTGTTGATGGAGAATCATGTAACTGATTAAATAGAGCAAACATAAAATTTATTTATGGAGTGCCCTTTACCCCAGTGTTTGTGTTTATAAAAATTGATCCACATGTAGCTATGCATGTTGTTTGATACCCATCGTCATCGCAGCACTCCTTTCTGCACTGGTAACATTATACACTTTTGTTGATTTTTATATAAATGTTTCTATATCAATAAAAGGAATACTGCACTTTCTATAAGTGAATAATCGACATTAGGCGGATTATTTGGCTTCTTTACTGTCCACATGTTACAAATATATTTCAAAAATATGCATTATTGTATTTTGCAATGACATACATATTTTCAGTATACATTGAAATGAACAAATGAAATTGAATAAAATGATAGAAAATTGATCTCCCACTGCATATGTGCTGGGACAGTCAAGATGCAAGACATTCAAAATGCACTATAATTATGAATGAGAATATAAAGCTAACAAAATCTAAACACTGTGCAACATATTTTAGGGGACACGTACATTATAATAGCTTGTAACTTATAAAAACTAACAATAGAAAATTATTCATAAACACATCTCTAAGAAATTGGGAAATTTCTTGAATAAGATATATACAAGTGTGATATAAAGTTAAAGTATACCTGAAAATTTGATTACATAATGTATAACTAAAGATTAATGTGCTCAAATGAAATATCTGATCAATACTGAATTACAAATGTATTTACAATGTATGAATTTATTACTATACGCAAATTGTCTAATTTGACTGACTTTCTAAACAATATTTCTAGTTAAAAATACTAAAAGTGCAATGATCTCTTTTTTTAGGATTATCATTTAATTTTTGCAGTTTTAATACTACTATATTTTCTTGAAATTTAAAAAAAATTGAAGCATATATAACTTAATATATTGTAATTCATTGAGACTTTTCTTGAATATTTACAAGAATAGCTCAATAAACGAATTACATATTTGTTATTCTTTGATTGAAGAACAGCTAGCAATTATAAGTAAATGATAGAATAGTGCCCATTCAAGTAAGAATGTAATGTTTTACTACTACAAAAAAATATAATATGTGCAACATAAATGAATCTCTTAAAATAAATGTTTATAGTAAAACCTGACATAAACTGCTAATAGCAGTCTACCATTAATCTTTTTAATAAAAAGAAAAGTTCCAGAATCTCATGTTTTGATTTGCATACCTGCGAATCTGCGCCGTTTTGCCATGGGTTTCTTAGTGGACTGTCAGAACAATCAAAATAACAAAATCGTTATTCATTGTAATATAGCATGAGATTTTGTACGTCAAGTCAAATTTTCATATTAATTGGAGAATCACGACGAACTGCTGCTGTGTCTGAATAATTGGTATTCAAAAGTAATGTTAAATTTGTTTCTTTTTTTATGAAACAAACACTGGGACAAAGGGATATGTATGTTACTACAGTCCACACCAAATTGTCTTAAGTAAGATTACCAATTAAATAGTAATCTTGTTTTGCAGTAAGGAAGACTGATAATGATCTCCTACAAGACCATGATTGTCACACAAACAAAATTGTGTGTGCACATAAATTTGAATGTTTTCTGCATACATACGCTACTCAATCATTTGTTTAACAGAAAAGAACAAGAAGTTAAAATAAAATACATACATGGATGAATAAATTGTTGTAAATACATAACATATTGCTATTATGTAGATAGTGACTTAGCACAATGATACAATGTTGTTTAATTTGTAACCACCTTTTTATAAGTTTTAAACAAATTTAATACATAAAAGTAAGAAAATATTAAGAAACTCTTAGAAATACTGCTTGTTTGTACTTCAATTTCAATTTAGAAGTTGTTGGTTGTGTAAATATGTATGTACATATAAATACAAGTCGTATTTAAACAAATTTTTCGGCCACCTCTGGGAAAAATTTAAATGGGAGATTCTAGAGGTAAAAATAAGACGAAAATCAAGAATACTAACTTATTGATTGAGACTTCATTAAAAAGTTATTAACGTTTAAAGTTCCGCTCGTAGAGCGGCAATCTGCGAATGGCTGTACATACATGCGATAGGTTGAGGCAGGTTGGTCCTACTGGTTCTCACTCACAAAACTGTAAAGCTGTCGATGCGGTACTAAGTAGAGTGTCTCATGTTGAGTGAGAACCACTACCGCGCGCATGCAGCTGTTCGCAGACTGCCGTTCTATAGGCGGAACTTTAAACGTTAATAACTTTTTAACGAAGCCTTAATCAACAAATTAGTATTCTTGATTTTCGTCTTATTTTGATCTTTGGAATCTCCCATTAAAATTTTTCCCAGAGGTGGCCGAACACCCTGTGTGGTGTGTGCGTGTGTGTACGCGCGTGCGTGTGAACGCAAATATATATATGCATACGTGTCTGTAAGTACAGAACATATTTATATATACATAAATTGATCAAGATTATGTATAATTACATGCCACTTGTAAATATGATTGCTTTTAATACCTTTACGAATACAGCCACAATAAATAACGGAACAATTAAATTGAAATGTTTAAATGAGTCTACTACAAAATACTGTTTCAAAATACAGATTACACAAATAATATTCAGTAATATGACAATGAAATTATAAGACAGGAGTCAAATTTATTAAACACTACTACTCTAGTTAGCAGACTCATTTTTTAAAAGTATATATCGTTTAATAAAATTGTACAAGATACTGCAAGATTTAAATATTTTTTAATAGTGAAAATTAAAAATTAATTTCTTTGTCATAATAATAATCATAAGAGTAATAAATAATAAAACGCGTCATTCATTATTTTAAATAACATTCTTTGTAATACTGAATCCAAATAAAAACATCTCACATTTCAATAACTAACTGAAGTGCACCTATATGGTAATAGAGCCAATAATATTTGTTTCTTCTTTCATAATTTTGGAGTTTACCTTCCTTTTTTTCTTGTACTTTTTATGCTGCTGGCCCATCAATGGATTCCAGCTAGCCTGTGTGTTGTGATCTGTCATATGACAAGATTTGGAGGAGTATTTTGTAGAAAGGGGGCTGTTGTCAATTTCTTGTTGAGACTGAACCAAATTGATGGGCTTGGTAACAGAACAATTTGCGAACTCTGTATTCTTGAGAAGAGTATTTTCTAATGCAGCTATCAGAGTCTGTGCTGCTAGTGGAGGCTGCATTTCAGACATATTATTATTTAATTCTCCACACACTATATTATGCAACGACAATTTATTAAATTTTTATTCAAGAATAAAGAAAAATTTGCAAAATTGTTGTTTCAAAAATGGTTTAGAAGTTAAATGATACACAACAATTAAATTGCTGATACGTATTCGTTTTGATAAAAACTTTATCTTCTTATACATTCTAAAAACCAATTCACATGTTTCTTAATGGTATTTCAAAATAATGTATGCTTGATAAAATTTCTTTGCATTTAGAAAAGCGATAGAATTCAAAAACTTTTACTTTTCTATAGAATTATTAAAGAATTTTTATTGTTAACAAATGAATTATTGAATACATTGAGACATAAGTTGTATCTATAAATATATAGTACACTATATTTTTTTAATAATCAATACTTACTTTGAAATGAACATGACTTTTTTTTTTTTAGAGATAATAAAATGTTTAATAAAACTGTTAAACGGTAATAGTAAAAAGAAAATTAATATTCATGTTAGGTATCCAAAATGAAAACATCATGTTTAAAATTGCGTTCCTTAATTATTTTAAAAATATTTATTTTCTGAATGATCACTTTTCTAAATACAAAGTTATGTATACAATATCTATAAATAACTTTTGTTACTAGTAAGTAACATCAGCAAACTAATCCCTGTGCTCAGAAGTCATATCGATACATTATTAATGTTTACTCCATACCCTTTAAAGTTTCATTGAATATACACCATTTTTTACGTAGGAATAGAATGTGGCATTATTGAATATTTTGAAACAATTCAATTCAATTATTAATTATGAACCAAGATTTCGGTTACAGATATTAAATCATAACATATAAACAATAACACCACATATAAGGTTTCTATTTATTTAAATATCTGATAAATATTATAAACAAGCAGTTATAAAATTCTAAAATAAGATTCTTTGGACTCCTCTGCTGCTAATATTAATAAAATAAAATGTAATAAAATTTAACTTATTTAATATTATTATTATGCATTCCCCATTAATTTATTAACATAATTATCTATATTAATGCATATCTAATAAACATAATAAGTTCCTTATAGATAATACTCTGTAAAAGACAATTAAATATGATAGAAACCCGAAAAATATTGCATTAAGTGAGTTTCATATTTTGAATAATAAAAAAAAAATAATAAAATTGCATATACATACAATGTATACTTTACAAAATTGCTTACAATATTTAACTGACTTTTACAAAATGATATTTGTATATGCAGCTGTTATACAATTATTACATTTAGTGAAACAATGATAAACACAAAAATCGTTTGTTAGTCATTGTTTGCAGAATTTGATTATAATTAATAAGTCATGTCAATGTTTTACAGCATTGCGTGGTTTCTCAGTTTCGCATTATAGCCATAACTTTTGTTGTTACCGTTATAAGCTTTAAGAATTTGTGTACAAAAGGCACTGGACAAAAATCAATTAGGACACTTACGAAACATTTAAAGTCAATGTATACTAACCTCAGAATTAGGACACTCAGAAGTTGGTGGGCCATTTAAGATTGACTGTTCTGAACTGCTACAACCTTCGCTAACTTCGTTCTAAAATCAAAAAACTAATTTAACATATTTTTTTCGGTTAAAAGCGCCATAATATTCTAAAATTGTTTATTTATAGTAGTTTCGTTTAAAGTTTAATTTGTATTTATATATATTTTGCACCTTGAGTTGTGATACTTCTTGTTGATGTTGTGCAACTAGAGAACGCAACTTGATTACTTCTGCATCCAACGTTGTTCTCTTATTACACTCTGATTGAAGTTCTTCTGACAATTGCGCTTTATCCTGTAATAAGTATACATATAGTTTTAAAAACTAAGTATAATATCAATTTGATATATTCTTGTTAATATATGAATATGTATTAGGTTGTTCGGAAAGTTCGTTTCAAATTTTGTACATCATGTTTCATTTGGTTGAAGAAGTTTATAATAGGACCTTTCTTGGGTGGAGCTCCGGTTCAGCTACTGTTTTCGCAGGCGTATCATTACTTCCCGACGATCTCTTGCAACTAACATTATTGTAGAGTATTCAGCTTTCATTGCTCGTTATCATCCTCTTAAAAAGGGCTGCTTTTGATATGGTTGAAGCAATATATCACAGGTGTTTACACGTTCTATCAGTTGTCGTTCGCCAAGCTCGTGTGACACCCAGACATCCAGACGAGATGAGAATCCCATCCTCTTTAATTGGAAACAGTCTTCTGTATGGTGTTGGCAAGTACTATGACGGTCACTCGCGGATTTTCACGCACAAGATCCTTCAGAATTGTTTCTTCAGCCTCCTGAAGCCGGTCAGACCGAGTTTGGTCTTCGACCTTGAAATCACCGGCTTCGAACCTTCGATACCACTTTCGAATTATCTGGAAGGTGGCAGAGGCGTCTCCAGGCACCGAAATTATCTTCACTTAATGTCTGTGAAACCGTCAATCCACGCCGAAAGCAATGAAACATTACGTGACTTAATTTCTATCAAAACAAACGTACTTAGTAAAGCCTACGCGGAGAGTGCGAATTTGAAAACATACTTCGGGAAATATGAAACGAACTTTCCGAATAACCTAATATTTTTAAAATCATTTACCTTTTTAAGGTTTTCCAATACCCCTGAACTCCAATATTCAGCATCAGCCTGTTCTTTAAAAGATTCGGCCTCTTTTAACCTACTTTCCAACTCCACTAGTTTGACTTGGACCTATACATATATAAAAAATGCGTTTACACGTTTTTTGAATTTGTTCATTTTGAATTTGTGACATAAATGCTTGAAATCTACCATTTCATTTGCATTTAATTTATTCATGAGTTCGCTTAATTCAATCCTAAGATTTGCAACTTCGTTTTCCTTTTGCCGAAGTTGAGATTCCCACCTTGCTTCTTCCGACTCCACATGACTTTGAAGTTTATTAAGCATAGTTTCCTGTAAGTTTGTTGTCAGTAAATGTAATATAAATTTACATTGAATTGAACAGTACCGTAATCGATGAAATACCTACTGTATCGTCAATAATTTGTTTATAATGTGAAACCATGTCTTGTAAGCTTTTATTTTGTTTTTCCAACTCTGAATGTTTGTCAATTACATTTTTTTTCTTTAATTCACTCAAAACTGTGCTTACTTTTTCCTCAAAAAGTCTAAGCCATTGATCATGTGATTTTTCAGATACTTTTATTTCTGGGAATATCCTTTGTAGGAAAGCTTTTGTTAATTCTTCTTGCTCTATTTTGATTTTTTGTATAATTTCCTAATAATGAAAAAATAGCCATTTGTTTAAATCTTACAAATTGCAACAAACCAAACAAAAAATATTAGTATAGCATATAAAAAGTTAAAAGAAGTAAAAAATAATCTTTAATGATTTTTCAATTTTATCCTATATACAACAATAATAAGAAATAATAAAAAATCAATAGCAAATTTCGAAAGAGGAAACTAAAATATATCAAATGGAGACTTACATCAAAGTTTTTCCCATTATTAGATTTAGCACGCGATTCAGCAGCAGAAAGAGCTTCCATCACTTTCCAGTTTTTAATACGCAACTCCTGTTTCAGTCATAAAAAATGATCGGTATATTATATACAGAATAACAATCGTTTATACAACAGCAAATTCAAACTATATAGTAATAAAACTTTTAAAGTTGAAAAATAGTAAAAAGTTGGCAAAGTGATGGAAGCAGCATGAACTAATTAATTACTTGATTAAACCTGTCTTTTACGTATAAATAATATTAATAGATATGAATTGAAACAATTTTTAGCTACGGACTTATTCATAAGTAGACTACAACTTACATTATTTTTGGATCTTTGTGCTTCTAAATCATCACTCAATCGGGCAGCAAGACTACGGTGACTGTTTAGATCACTTCGTAAAGCATCAACTTGAGCATTTAATTGTTTAAGTTCTGCTTCTTTATGTGTCAATTCTGTTTTTAAGGCATCTAGTTGATTCTCCTTTTGGACCAACCTTCAAACAAAATTCACATACAAATATCTGTATTTTAAATCATAAACCAATTTTAAATAAAATATTGTATATTTATGTTAGCAATAAATTTTGACACAAATATACAATGTTTTCTTTAAAATTCGTCATTGCACGAATACATACTACGCTTAGCGCGTGCACCTACGTACAAAGTTTCTTTTTTTTGTATATTATCATCGATTCCATTTTCTCGACCTTCTGCAGCTGGTCGTTCAGCGATTGCCGTTAACTGGGAAGCTAATGATTCATTTTCTTCTTGTAATTGTTTAAGTTGTTTTTGAAACTCTATGAAATTTACGAGCTAAAAAATAATGATGTGCGAATCAAGTAAAATGTAATTTTAAATTATAATTAATAAACACTGGTTATGTTTTAAGAGTAATACCTGTGTAGAAAGTCTATCATTTTCTTCTTGTAACCGTGTAATCTGTAACTGTGTTTCATTTAATTTCATTTCATTATTTTGTAATTTATTCATTTCTACTTTTAACATTTTCATTTCATTTGCCGTTTCATTTGCAGGTGTAAGTTTCGCGCGAGTATTTTCTAATTCAGTTTGTGTTTGTTTTAGTTCTTCCTTTAATTTCTGCATGTCACTTTGATACCCATTAACTTCACCTTGCACTTTCTTCAGACTTTCTGTTGCTTTTTCAAATTCAGCTTTTGTCATATCCGCTTTCTCTTGCGCGATATTCAAATATGCTTCGAACTGTGTTGCATTTTCCATTGATTGTTTTAACTCAATTTTTATATTGTTAAGTTCATCCTGAGATTTTATCAATTCCTCTTCTTTATTCGCTAATGTCACTTTAAGAGTTGCAATTTCAGCTGCTTCAGATTGTGTCTCGTTCATTGAAACTGACAATTCAGATTTTAATATTACTAGTTCAGACTGGGCTTTATTTAATTCACCTTTTAACGTAGAAACGTCGTTAGCCTCTGCTTGTACAGTATTTAATTCTGTTTGTAATGAGTTTACTTGTTTCTGGAGATCTTGTTCACGACGATGTGCGTTTTGCAATCTATGATCTAAATCAGCATTAGCACGATGAGATTCCTACATAAATGAATGTAAACATTTGATTAGTAAATTACTAGATTAAATCTATTAAATTTCGATTTTTAAGTAAATAGATAATGTATGTATATAATTTTTCTTACATCTAGTTGTCTAGCAACATCTTGCACTGTATCTTTGAAATGTTGCAATTGTACATCCGCGCGCATAAACTGCTCTTGCATATGTTCCAACTGTCGCCGTGACATTTCTATTTCAGCGGCACTACTCTCACAAGTTTCTTGTAATTCATTTTGCGATTCTTGTACCTCTAATTGTTTTTGAGCTAGCTGTGCTTTTAATGCATTTTCGTTTTCACGCATTTGTGCAAATTGAACTTCCATCTGTTTGCGCTGTGCTATTAATTCTTGCTGTAAATGGCCCTGAGTTTGTCCTTGATCTTGCATTTTATGAATAATTGCAGCATTTTCATTTACTTTAGCTTGCAATTGTTCAATCTGTCTTGTGAAACCTTGTTTCTCAGCAGCATGACTTTCCAAAATGTGTTGCATACGCGTATGTAAAGTTTGAGTTTCTGTAACCTTAGTATTTAATGCTTCTTCTAGTTGTCTCACGCTAGCCGATAATCTAGATCTTTCAGAATTAAGTTCAGCACGTAATTCTTTCAGTTTATTTTGAAATGCAATATTTGCTTCATGTTCGTCGGCGAAAGCCTTTTCTTTTTCTGCCAGTTGTTTCTTTAATTTAATAACTGGGTCTGCACGGCCTTCTGTCCACTCCGAGTGTTCTGATGGATTATCCATTTGTTTATTCAAAAGCTGATCAATGAGAATTTGTATTTCAGAACGGCTAAGTTCAGCCTTTTGAACCAAAGGCATCAAGAGAGATACATTAACAGCATCTCTGTCTCCACCTGAAATAAAAATACTGACTATCAGAAGATGTCTGCACATGTAAATCATTATATAAATCATTTTTATATTAATTAATTATGATTTAAATACGAATACGACACTAAGAAAAGTGTTAAGTTTTTCTGAATAACATGAAATTTGTAGTTGGAGAACACAAAAAATACATTAAGTTATTATTTTATAAAATAACTTTGGCAGTGCAGACATTTTCATTAGCCTGCAAAAATAAAAGAACTGACCCTACTTCAGCCAAATTCTAAAACATTTCAGAAAGATCTGCTTTGCTGTGCTCATGGTATGTTCCTTACCACATTTATATATATTTAACCAATTTTGTCAATACTTTAAAATACTTTTCTAGCAAATATGAATGTTCTTATTCAGTAAAATAGTATAATTAGCATATGTACCAATTTGAGCTAGAATATCGTTCTTCTTCTTTGTCTTTTTGGATTCTTTATTTGGAAGTTGAGTGGATGGTGCAATTTCTTTTACTATTTCTTTTACATCTTTAACCACACTTTCTTTCTGTTCTTTAATGTCTTTCGTCTCCTTTACAGCATCTTTATTAATAACTGATGTTGTATTAATGGAGGCAGTTGTTTCTTTTTTTTCATCTTTCTTCTCTTCCTTACTATTTTCATCCTTCTTCTTTACAGAGTCTTTTGCATTCTTCTTTGCCTTTGTTGGAGTTTCCTTTGGAGACTTATTTGCAACTGGCTCAGATTGACTGATTTGATGCAAATTTTCTTTCTATTTTAGAAAGTAAACATTAAAACATTTATATTGTACAAAATGTTTAGATGTTAAAGAACAGTAATAAAATACACGAGTTATTTTTGCATTAAATTACTTGTTAGTTAATACAGTTTCACACATTACACACATATAGTATATAAACATGAAATAACTTTCTACTACACTAGCAATATTATAACAAAAAAATACGAAATTTAGAACAATAACTTAAAAATCTGCTTTTTTTTAGATTCCCATTTACACAAGTATTTTTTTAAAGTTGAATATCCATTAACTTCATGATTGTAAACGTACGTAAATTTGAAAAATAGTATAGCAATATTAGATAAGCATTAAAACTAATTAAAGATACCGCTTTTGTGTTACAGAAGAAGCAAGCTATGCAAAATATGAAAAATGAATGAAATGCAGTATAAGGTTCAATATTCTACCAAAAGCAATTCACTCACACTATGACTCCGTATGAGTTCAAGGTCATCCTTTGGCTGAATGAGGTCAAAATGGTTAGCCTCCACTAAGGGAGGTTGTGAAGGACTTAAGTCAGTCACAATAACCAGTGGCTCATCTTTATTTACAAGAATTGGCTTTAGTTTTTCAAACTTGCTTTTCTTCTTACTTCCTTTGCTACCCTCCTATAATTCCAATGTACATATAAAATGTTCCCCATACATTAAAAAAGTAAAAAGAGAAGAAAGAAAAAATAAATTTTTCTAACTATAATAATAAATATGTAACTTTACATTATATTAAAATGGACATATAAATATAACAAAATTTTGCTCTATATATGTTAATATTAGCCAATTTATTTATCACCTTAAAATTGTATTTATTTTGACGTCTTGGTAAACACATATACCTGAAATTAATAAATCTACTGCATCATTACCTCTTTGAATATTAGCACAGAAATATTTTATTTTATACAGTGGCAGTAAAAACAGTAATTTTCATTTAATAATATTTTTTAAACAGTTCCTAATTTAATTATAACCTTTTGTTGGTTTACTTAGTTCTAATCTACGTGATAAAGTAACAGTACAAAGCATGAAACAGTTATTTATAGAAATTAATCTTGAGGTTCTAGAATCATTTATCAATGGTCCATAAATGAAAAAGAAACTTTAGCTGTATTTATATTAAATGATACTAGTTTATCAAATTGGAATTTAGTCTTTATCAGATATATCAAATATTTATTGAGGTTATATATATAGATTGCACTAAATTATTTACAATAAATATTTTAATAAAAATATTCTATTATATATGCAACATTATGACATAAATTGACTCACCAAGGCATGATTCTGACTGTGCCAATAAAATTATAAAATGGTATAACTTAAAACAATATACTGGTTTAGGGAAAGTTGTAAAAATATTAAAAAATATGTTACTATAATTTACACATAACAAAAGCTCGATCGATCATAAAATTTTCCAATTTTTGGTTTTATTTCCTAAGGCCCTCTTATATTTTTAAATTTAATCACATGATATTTTGTTCATCAATGAGCAAATTTAATTTCATCCAAAATTTACACATAACAAATGAAAATCGATCGATCATAACATTTTTCAATTTTTGATTTCATTTTTTAAGACCCTTTTAAAATTTATTGTAAATGACAAACTTAAAGTAGTTTTTCCAGGAAAAAATTGTCCATTTAAATATAATGTATATGAAGCTTAATAAAAAAAATATATACACAGCGTTTGCAGAATTAAACAGGGAAAACATTAATTAGTTTCTTACATTGATATAGGAGTGTGCAGTTACTTTGCATTAATTTATACCCTTAAAACTAACATAATAATTGAATAAAAAACAATAATGCTACAATAATTATTAACAAAGGACAAAAACAAATTTTTAATATTTATTTTTTAAAATATCAATATATAGGTACACAAATGTTATCTTAGGTAAACTTGTCGAAATACTATATCTTCGCCAATTTCGATAATTTTCAAATATGAAGCATGTTATTTTAAATAACTATTTTCTTTGTACTACATTACATTCGGTATGCAATTAAACATGGCAGTGTATGTGTGAGCTCTTAACTTAAACTCGAGATCTTTACTGCGTATCTACTGTTTCCATAAATATGTATATCGCGATAATCTACAATCACTATGTATAACAAGTAAACTTAAAGACCAAATTAAACCAACGCCGATTCTCGTACGTATCAGAAAAGATTAAATTGTTTTTATGCTCATACAACAAGAGAAATAATAAAAAAGAAAAATGGACAATGATAATAGAATAAAGATAAAATTCTTTAAACAAAGTAATGTTGGTTTGGTATATATTTTTTCCAAGATGCGGCCGGATGGTCGACACGCAAGCCAAAATTTATAATCATTGAAATTGGTGAAGTTTGATCTTTAAGTTCAACCATTATACATATTGGTTGCCGGTTACTGTAATTTGTTTATAGAAGCAGTAGATAAGCAACTGTTGATGTATATGTTATCACGAACGCGTATGAATATGTATATTTCATATACGTATGTATATGAAAGCAAAATTCAAAGGAATAGTAGTAAAAGTTTTTTTTAGATATCTCGAAAAATAAGGCTGACTTTCGCAAATATGTAAAAGAAAAAGTTGCTCAAAATAATGACCCTAATATATCTCAACCTTATAGAAATCAATAAAAATATAACTTTTCGATAAGTTTACCTTATTTTAAACCAGAGACTCAATACAGATACGATGCGAGCAAAGCTATACGGAAACCGATATATTACCGAAAACGAAAATAATTAGCGGTATTTCGATTATTGAAATTATCAATCATCACGCTCTCGTCACCGGTACAAATTGGTGATAATTATTTTGGTTTCGGTATTACAGCAATTTCGGTACTATATCGTTTTCAGTGTGAGGGACTGGTAACATAATTGCGATAAGAATATAGTACCGATTTTAAGTCTTTACACAAAACAAATCTTGAGAATTGTAATGAAATAGGGGAATCACAATAATTAGCGATATGGCGTCATACCTGTATTTCTGTATTTCAGTTTTTATGAAAGAGTTATGAAGGAATAACTGTAAAATAGCAGTATAATACTGGTACAAGTCCATTTTTTAGATCATACAAATTAATTGTATAGTTTATACAGAATGATATATTAAATGTGTGTGATAAGTAGTGTTATATGTTATTGTAAAAAATTATAAAGAGTTATATTAATATGTAACAATTAGCCTTTACAAATGTATGACACCCAGATGGAAATACAATACTTTATGAATAGAAAGACCTTAAATGACATACAATATGTAAGCATACCATATTTCATGCATGAAATATATGGAAACATAAGAGTAGAAAAGAACACGTGTGTTTTTCAGTTTTATAGTTATGTAATAATTGTTAACGCACAAACATTTAACATGCAAAAAGCATTTACAAGTTTACAGAAAAGCTAATTTATAATAGCATAATGCATAAATAATGTGTTTTGTTTAAAATTAAATACTACTATATCTTTTAGGGAAATAATAAAAATTCTTATCATTTTCTACATAAATAAATGATTAATAGAAAAACTATAATTATTTCAATTAAACTTTTTTAGTTGTATCAACAGACTTCGTTATTATTATTAATGTTATATGATACAACAACACAACAATTTTATTTGTATTCCAATTCATGTTGGATACCACAATGTACATTTAAAAATACAATTTTACTATTTATTTCTAAGTATAATTAGTAGTTTTAACCTTTTGCAGACGGAATGGTTTGCAGGTCATTTCTCACTACACACATTATATCACCACATAGCACTTTAAGGTATCAAATTCTGAACACAACACACACACACGCACGACGCACGCACGCGCACACATATACACTTTCTCCACATTCTTAAAGTTACAAAAAATTTAAAGTCTTTCAGCTTTATCAATTATGTTTGTTGAACACATATATGAGTTGACCATCCGCAAAGGGTTAATTAGCACCAATTGTTTTATATATTTTCCAAAAAGATAAATATATTTAAAGAAACAGAAATTAAGAAAATTCTGCATAGAAATTATTTGCCTAAATTGTGCATTATAAACGAAATTATAAGTGTGCTTACCCGTGTTAATGGTTCTAAAGGTAATATTTTAGGGTTTTCTTCAAATTGGACATGCTCAGACTTTTCTTCTTTATCATCCTTTTCATCCTTCTCTTCTTTCTTTTCTTTCACTTTCTTTCCTGCCTTATTCTTATGTTTCTTTTCTTTACCCTTATCCTTCTTACCTATAAGCAATATAGAAAATATATATGATTATGTATATTTTCATATTAATTAACACAAAATGCATATTGATCTTAACATAAATATTTAATAATTAAGAAATTGTTCATTTAACGCAATGTTATAATTTACTTTCTTAGGAGAAAATGTTGGATCAGTAATAAGAAATAAATAGTACATCTTTTAAAAAAAAAATGTCATATAATAAAATTACATTACACGGTCATACATACTTAATAAAAGGTCATCAGGAAGTTTTCTCTGTTCAGCTATTGCCTCTTCATAAGACTTTTCTTTTATACCAAACATTGATACTAAAACAATAACTACTGCAGAAATAACTACCACTGCTATGCAAACTAATCCTGTCTGGAGATCCATTTTGCCTATCCCTATCTGTAAAAGTACAATATTTTTATCATGATTCATTACTCCTAATGATGATTTGGATCGAAATATAATCTCTCAAAATTTTAATATTTTATAATAGAAGAATTTACTGAACATGTAACTGCATAACATTTTATACATGTTCACTTCTAACAATAATTCATTTGCAAGAAATTTGAAGCACCTATGACTTTCTGTAGCAGTTCTTCTTTCAGGGGATTCTATCACCATGTTCAATATCATTAATCAGCCACACATATGTATAATCAATTAAAATACATACTTTAATCCATTGAAATACACATTGCTAATTAATTCTACAGATATAAAAATATTACACAGAATCTTCGTATACATTCTACAGAGCTTATAAGATGTAATAATATAGCACAAAGTGGTCTACAATAACATAATTCATTGGGTGAAAGTTTTGAGAAAAAGTACGATGAAAATGACATATGGATGACAAGCGGATCATCGACACAATCGCCGGAGATGAACCGAATTCCTCTACACTAATTCACGAATTGTTAACACCGGCAAAATGATTTGTATTGTATTAACATTGTATTAAATTAATGGAATTAGTTAAATTATTTGACTTACACTGCTCACTAAAAATATTTTCAGTAGACCGCTTCCACCAAGGAATGTAAAATGAACAGCGTACTATGTTTGTCTACAGAGAATCCCAAGTGATCCCACAAGAATTCACGCACGACGATTTCTTCTCAAGAATTATGGCGGCCGGACGTAGAGGCAAGTATACGTGTTCGAAGCCACGCCTATCAAAACTCGCGTTTTCTGATTGGTGGCAAATCTTGCCACGTATGCAAAACACTCGCATAAATAAGAACGAAATTCATCCACGAATAATATTAATTGTCGATGACAATTAACAACAGTAAATAATTGATAACCTAATTTAATTCATGACCACTGACACATTACATGACACACACGAAAGGGTCGATACCAGTGTGGCCAGCAATGTGGTCAGATTTGGCATAATTGAGTGCGTCGATGGCGACACTAGTAACGACGAACTTCCTTAGCGTCTAACGGAGTGGTGGGGGAATCAGACATACGCTACCGCACGGGCCGTGTGTATATAAACTCGGCACTTCGCGAAATCGAGAAAGAAGGAGAGTGTGAACCTATCCTTCTTGCTCTTGTAACAGCTAAAATGAACGGTGGTGGTCGAGAAAAATTCGGATTTCAGCTGTATCGAAAGCAAGAAAGAAAGACTCATACTCACCTTCTTTCTCGATTCTCCGAAGTTTTACGAAGTGCTGAGCTCGCATACACACGGCTCGTGCAATGGATGTGTTTGCTTTCCCCATCGCTCCGATAAAGGCTATAACAAATTCATCGTCGCTCTTCTGGTTTTCGATGTACTTAATTATGCCCGATCTGGCCACGCTGGTCGATACGTTTGTATGACACTATGTCAATTCCGAATACTAAAAACATACTGACCAATTTAATAAAACATAAGATTCGATCACTACACAATACTGCCATCGAAAGAGCCATACATAAGGTGCCCTACATAAGATGTTATAAACCGATTTCTTGAAAACTATTAGAATACAATTCTTCTTTTTTTTTTTAAATATTTTTTAACTCACTGGGATTCTTTATGTAGCAGATGTGGTACTGCTGTTTATATAACTTCGATTGGGCGGAAGAGCTACCTTTCAATGCTTTTAAATATAATAATAAACAATTTATTACTGCTTTACTTAAAAACAAATATTTATTTAATAAAAAAATTTCAAAATCATATCATAGTAACTTTAATATGTTACACATTACATTGAGATTCCAGCAAAGGATTAATCTTAAGGAAAATAGAACAATTATTACCTTATATACCAAAATATAGAAGAAAGAATTTCGTGTATAACTTTAATAAATAAAATAAAGGTAGATGTTTGTGACGAGTTGATTTTATTGTAATTTAAAATGATTTTTTAACATGTAAAAAAATATATCTTCATTCCACACTTCTATAGAAATATGTAATATTAATTATATTGTGTTGAATAAAAATATAACTGAAATACTTATTTGACATTCTAGAAATTAATATGGAAATCATAAATTTACTTAATAGTGTTAATTATATAATTAGACTTCGTTTCAACAAATAGATATTTAATGCTTTCTATTTATACAATCTTAATCAATTTTTATTATCATATATAACATTTTTTTAACAAACCGTGTTATGCGTTATATACTTCTAACATAGGCTAATAGTAAGAAGACGATAAACGCATGATGCACTGAGAGATAAGTGGCATAAAATGAATGCCAAAAATTTGAATAAAATACGCCATATGATTTATTGCTTTCATGTTCGTAAAAGCATTGGCAGCATTCCGAAATTAATGTTCATGAAATTTCTGATTACTCACATACAATATTATTCTATTATTATATCGTACTGCAAGTTGATAAATAAACGTATCTCGTATTATTTATCATATCAGAAATTTACTTAAAAAACATGCATGAAAATGATTTTTCTTCGCAGCTTTTTCTTATTGTTATATTAAAAAAAAGTTTCATTATTACTTTAGGAATGTTCATGCGACTGCTCGGGCTTCGGGCAAAAAGCTCTCCCAATATTTAATAAGTTGGTTTTGGTATTGTAACATAGTTTCCAAATATTCTGTTAATTGCTTCTTAAAGTCTTCCACTCTTACTAATTCAAACCGTTCAATTTCTTTTTTAATCATTTTTGATATATTGTCAAATTCTTCTTGTCCTCTATCAACTTTTGCTTCCCATTCTATAACTTCATTCGCAGCTTGACTTGTTTTATCAATTCTACTAGACTGTTCCAGTCTTGCTTTCTGCTCTCGTTTTTTGGTCAACATCATTTGAGCATGTTGCCAATTTTGGAAAACTTTTACTCGTTCGTGGAATACGTCCTAAAATTGATAATGTCACTTCAAATTGATGCGATACAAGCGTTAAATGTAAGTTGACTACTAACCTTTATTGCTCCAATAAGTGCAACATAATCTCTTAACATTTCTCCAAATTGATAAAGGTCACTATTACTTTGTGCTCTTCTGATCACTTCTACCTTTTCTAAAGTCTCAGCCAGTTGAGCTAATGCTCTTCCCAGAGATGCTCCTGGTTCACCATGACCAAGAACAGCAATGGATCTTGCAGATGCACCAGTACACGTTGCTAACTCTCTTCTCTGATTAGTTAAAGTGTCAACAGCAGAATGTAATGCACGTAACTGTACATCAAGAGAATCAATTTGTGACGTCTTCTCTTCAAACCACTATAATATAAATGAATAAAAAATATTATCTTAATTCTAGCGTAACAAACATTATGTGAAACTAAATTCTTTGAATTTTACTTTGTCTGTCTCATCCATTTTGTATGTTATCTTATTAACAGTTTCTCCAACTTTGTTAAAGAGTCTCATTACTCCTTTGCCACTAAGTGCAGATGTATTAGTAGCTTTAGGTAATTCCATATCTGTATAAAAAGTACATAAATTTATTGACATAATTGTACTTAAAAAAATGTTCCGTTTAATACTATGATTTACCAGCTTCCAAAAATTCCCTAAAGTCAGGATCAATACTAAGCACTGGATGAGCAGCAGTTCTGTTTAAGTATCTTTCAAGCGCTGCTCTACGTTTTTCAAGAAATTCCGTAGAACTGGAATTTTGTTCCTGACTCTTATCACCGGACATTTTAATCTTCGTTGTTCCTAATTACATAATTACTTTATGTACTCTATTGAATAGTATAATAAAAAACTATAAATTTATGTCAATACCAATAACACTCTTTTCAGGTGCAGGAGGAATTATTCTGCCATTTCTAAGGTACTTGTCTGTCAATTTATCATGAAGACCAAGGAAATCACTGAAACGCCTAATAACACTAAAATTTCTCTTTCTAAATATTGGCATATTTGTTTTTGTTTCAACTCTATAAGCAACATAAGCACCCATGCCATCCCCTATTTTTTGCGGAGAAGTTACTGTGATTTCAAGAAAAACATCAGATGAATCTGTCGATACCTGCAAATATACATTATAACATTATATATTTCTGAATACTTTATAAATAACATTTAATAATTAAAAATGTACCACATCTACTGATTGAGTCTGTATAATATTTGTCGATAGTACATCTGCATTATCGTTTATGGGAACATCATGGAGATCACCTATATCGCTACTCATTGGTCCCAATGGTGGACTCAAAGGTCCGGGTGCAGGACTCGATACAGATGAAAATGAATTCTCTTCCGGTGCATCTCTTAATGTCAATTTTGGTAACTCGGCTTGAATTGTTGATATCCCATTATAAGGTGATGAATCTTCCAATTGACTTTGGTCCTACATTTAAATAATATTAAATTTCACTCTAAAGAATTTTGAAACAAATATAAAACAAGTACCTATTTAAATTCATTTTTTAATCAACACAATAATACAATCATTATAGAAACAAATGAATCGCAAAAAATGGTGTTTAAGTTGCAGAATTATTATACCGATTTCTGATGACAATACAAAAATTACCTGTACCGCTGATGCGAAAATATCCTCGTCATCATCATCCATATCGTCGATTTTGGTTTCATTAGTGTCAAAGAGCGGCGGAGATTCTTTAATATCAGCCATCTTAGCGATTCTGTCAATCCACGTAGAAATGTACTGGGATCGGCCCCCCAAATGATGAATGTCAACGTCAATTGCTATCTACGGTTATCGTATTTTGCACAGTATCTGTATCAGCGCGTTACAAACTTCCCAATTAAATTTCCTTACACATTCCACGCGTAACGTAGAATTTCTACATTTACAGGATACGACACACATACATCAAAGCCACAATTATACTATTCATAATAGCAAAAGGCGTCTACTGGTACAGTCAGTTAGTCGTGATTGAGTAAAAAAATGTATTTCGTACATGGAATAAATACTGTTTCGTTTACAGTAAATTATTATCGCCTAGTGATGAAATCTTAGCGGTATATTCAAAAAATCTTAAAGAGAATATATCATTTCGGTTTCTCAATACACATTTTACAGAAGTATGCATTTGAAAACACAGGTTGCTCATAATAGATTGTAATAATTATCTTTAAATATTAATAACGTGAAACATACAAATTGCTTAATATTATTTTGAATAAGTATAGTAGTAATATTAAACCGGTAATACAAATATATACACATATTTCCCTAGGACATTCATATCACAATAATAAACTTTCTGTATGATCAATTTTAAATGAACATACGGAAAACATGATACATAATGATTTAATACTAATTTGTGATTGCTTAATATTACACACTTAATATTAAGTGTTAGATAAGTGATATGTATTTATGTACTTATTTATACAAAATTCAGGCTAGCTTTTGGAAATTTTGAAAAATGAATTTAATGTCCAGAGAAGAAATTAATACCAGACGACTTTTAACAAGATGTGAATTAATGGCAAAAGATGATCTTCATAAGGATTGGAAACTTGAAAAGGTTCGGAAAATTGAAAATTCAACGTATATTCATTTTAATCAAAGTAATTTCTTTTAAGTGAATGTATTAATTGTTTCAGTATATCCTTGCTTTGGATGACATGATAAAGCAACTACAAACATTACCCAAGTAATTTCTGTATCTTACTATACTGTAGTAGTCGACAAAAATTACATATCAATTTATTTTACAACATATAATTAAAGTTGTAATATGAAATCATTATTTTGTAGCAAACCATCCAAGGATACTTTGACGAGCTATGTTACTCGAATAGATTTTTTAAAGGGACTAGTAAATACAACAAAACTTACAAATCCAGCGGATAGAGTAGTAGCAGTACAAATGTTACCAAAAAGTTCTACAACATTCAATGATTCGTTAGGCCCAAATATAACAACACAAATACACCAAAAAACTTCAGCAAAATATAATCGGGAATTACGAGCCGAATTGTTTCACGCTGATAAGGGTAAGTAAATGTTACATTGTTTGAGAAATAGCAACAAATCTAATATAAATGTATTATTTTAAAGGATCATTGGATGATGGTATTAGACAAAGGTTATCTACTACAAATATGCAAGATGACGATTTGGATGCACTTTTAAAATATAATAGAAATATTCAGGAAAAAATTGCAGAGAATATGCTTTCAATGACTAGCAGCATGAAGGAACATGCATTAGCAGTAAATGCTATTATAAAAAAAGATATTGGTTTCCTTGAGAAATCTGATAAATTAACCGATGTTAATACCGCTAAATTAAAAACAGAATCATTAAAACTGCAAGAGCATACTTCATCTCAGTGGCGATGTTGGATGTGGGTGATGATAGCATTTGTTTTAGTTGTATTTTTCAGTAAGTATCAAACTAATTTTTCAGTAAACATTAAACTAATGCATTAATTTAACATGTAGTATTTTAAAACTTTATTTCCCTGTTTGCAGACTACCTTTTTTCTAATACACAAATGAAGATCATTTTCATGTTTTGTTTTACAGATATGGTATTATTTATGAAATTTGCGAAAAAAAGGATGTAGGTTTTAATACACATGTAAATATGTTGTATAGTATATCTATAAAAATATAATCCGTTTCTGTTCATGGGAAAAGGACTGGGAAAAGGACTCCAAACTTTGTAGTTTATATTGGACATTCCTGATTGCAATAGTATATACACTTCGTTATTATTATTATAAGCATGGCTATCAAGATGAATACAAACAGTAATTTTTTTTATTAAAGTAAGAAATCCTTATTTGATCTTGTCCCTTGAAACTGGCTGTTGAATAAGAATAATCTTTATTTATGATAATTTTAGAAACATATTTGGACCATACATGTTCTGTACACTATTAATATTGTCTTATATATATGTATGTTAACTTTCTAAGTATTAAAAGGTTAATAAATTGTTAATTATATCAATAATACATTACAAACACATACAATAAAAGTACAATAGCGGTGGTCAATTTAGATGCTAAGTTCGTCGTTAGTAGTGTCGACGTCGATGCACTCAGTTATGTCAAATCTGACCACACTGATGTTGGTGTATCATTTTATCTATCTGTAAGCAGAAAGTTACACTTTCTATATTTATTCTTCGATGAATATGTCTGCGCAACCACCTGTACCACCCAAAACTATTTGGAAACCTGGTAAATAATGAGAAATAAAAATAGCATGTTTAATTTTATGTGTAATTATTACAACTATTTGGTACAAAGTAATTATATGCTATAACCAACAAATAGTGACTGTCAATATAATATCTATGAAATTACTATGCCGTTTCTTTTTACTTGTTACACTCGATTGTTAAGTAATAAATGAATATTTTTTTTTTTCCCCCGTAAGGTAAGGTCAAAGTTGTGCGAGCATTATATAAATACACAGCACAAAATGTGAGCATATGCGTTTATTAGCAACATACGCATTTTAGAAATTCATGGAATATTTTTATGAATTCGTTTTACATTTTGTAGGCAGATGAAATATCCTTTGATGAAGGTGAACTTCTTTATGTTTATGATAAAAATGTTGAGCCAAATTGGTGGAAAGCAAAGTGTGGTGATCAAGATGGTCTTGTACCTGCCAATTATGGTCAGTTCAGATTCAGATTCAGATATGCAACATAAGTTTATCATTCGCAATATCTACAAATAAATTGAAGAAAAAAAATAAAAATTGTACATAGTTGAAGAACAAACTGAAGAAATTGAATTACCATTGCATGATGCTGCAAGGCGGGGAAATCTTTCATTATTGAAGGAATACATAAAGCAAGGAGTTTTGGGTACAAGTTTAGATGCAATGGGTAACACTTCACTGTATTGGGCTGCGCGTGCTGGTCATTTAGATTGTGTAAAGGAACTCTTAAATGTATCAAATCCAATAGTTAATGCTCAAGTAAGTAGACTATGGTATTGCAATCTTTGTAGTATTTTCTCTTTCTGTACATTTCTTACTACAGAATAAAATGGGCGAAACACCATTGCATGTGGCAGCAAGTCGTGGGCATGTAGATATAGTAAATCTATTATTGCAACATGGTGCAAATCCAGCAATAAAAAATAATGATAATTTAGTTGCCGAACAATTATCTTCTGATCTCTCAATTAAAAATATGATACAATTGAGTCAACGCCATTTTGACAAAACTTATGGTTATACGGATGATGATTATAATGATGACAGTGATTAAGGTGATACATATTTTCCTTCAACCTATGGATTGTGATTATTATGACCAAATAGTATTATAGGTAATTAAAGATTAGATTTATAATTAAATTAATATTTGATATATTTATATATAGCGAATATTGTTTTTTACTATTTATTTAAGTAAAAATAAATAATAACAAAATATTTATAATCGTTAAATGAAAATTTATTTTCAATAAATAAACATCGGTTTATAAAATATACAAAAATACTTTAATACTGTTTATATGCTGTCTTTAGAAACTAGTTACTTACTTCATTACAAATATATATTAATGAAGATAGAAAAATAAATTGAAAGTATGTTTAACAGATAAGTACAAGAAAGAAAATTGATTTTGAAATAAAATAGCCATCATACATACATTGTGTGTGTTTCCACATTAGCCTCATACATAGAATATTTAAAACAGCATAAGTCTTATTTACATTTTTCTGCTGAACCATCTATTGAAATCCAATCTCAATAATAATTGAGCTAAATGTTCTCCGCTAGGTTGTGCATGCACTCTGTGCAATGTTTTAGTCAGCCAACTCATTAGGCTTTCAAGAGTATCGGACAATGTTCCAAGTTCTTCTTTTTCTGTTAAAATTAGGTTACCTACTTCCCACATTGATGCTTGTAAGATAAAATCGTCGCAAAGTCGTAGCAAAAGTTTTATCAGTTTATTTACCTATAAAAAAATATTTAGTGAACAAATGAATTTATTTGAATGAAAATACAAATGAATTAAATTATAACATACAGGATTTTTTCGTTCAGTTGAACTTCCTAATAGAAATGTTTGTGACATGACATTAGCTAAAAAAATAGAGTGTGCTTTTTGTACATCTTCAAAATTTCGAGTATTTTTCATATTTGTTTCCATGATAGTATACTGGCTTTCTAATACATCCACTTGTAAGTAGTATTGCAAATTATCAATAATAAAAATTAAGTTATTTCTTAGTTGAATTACGCCAATATCGCTAGAATAAAAAAAGTTATCAACGTTGAATGAATGTTAGTCTGTTTACGTACAAAGTGTCACGACTATGTCTTACATCTTTTTTTTATACATATGTTCACTCCACAGATTCCATAGATCAATTTGTGTTTTCTTAACCCTTAGTAAAAATCGAAACAGTGTGTTATAATCGTTTAAAGCGGCTGGATTAAATAATAAGTGCAATGGCCATATGACTTTGTACTTCAGAATGATCATGCCCCATCCACGTTTTTCTACATTTATTTGATAAACATTAATTACATATTGTTGAAATTTTCGTCTACTTAAAAAAATCTTACCAATAGGATCTTCGCGTTCTTTATCGGTAAACTCTGTACTTTCTATCTCAGCATCTTCAGTCTCTTTTGTCGGGACTGGTATTATAAAATTAAAGCTATCCATAGCATTCTCATCGTTCAAATGCATTTTTCTAAGTGCTATTTGAAAAGCTAAATTGATATCTCTAGACGTATGATTCGTTGGGGGCTTATTTAGTACATGAGCAGTGAGTCTAATAAATTCAAGGAACAAATCACCCCGTCCCATAAGAAAAAAATCTTTTACTAATTTAAGTTGTTGCACAAGTTGCGCTTCTTCGACGGCAACTCGCCATAAAAGTTCAGTTATACATTGTTTGAATTCATCGATTGTACGTTCAAACTCAATTATATTGAATACAGGTTCTTTTTGAAGATTTTGAAGTTTAAGGAAATATTCATATTCCTTGTCCCCCCATATGGAAGTTTCAGTTTGATTCTCTATGGCAAAGTCTGTAAGCAAGTGAACAAATCTGTAGAACTTCTGTGTCGCAAAGTTTACAATTTTTCACTTGTAACTTACCTTTCTTTTGCCTTGGATCGTTTCCAAACATTATAATAGTCTGTCCTATAGTCAAAATTTTCGTTGCCAGTGATGGCCTAATGTAAGAAGGAAGCATATCAACTTGAACATTGTAATCCCACATATCTGAGTTAAACTTAGTATTCGTTGACTCTACAACGTTATTTTTATTATCTGCTAATATCAAACTGGTTTGTTCTTCGGATGTTTTTTTAATAAAGAACTCATTGTACATGTCTTCTAAATGACCATATAAAAGCCAACTTGTCATTTGTTTATAGAAAACTGTATGTACACAGTAAATCATCCTGAATAATAACAAATTAATTAAAACTGGATAATATAACAATAACATAAAGCAATAATACAAACCACTAACTTTTCTAAAGCTGACTTTATTTCAGGAATACCAATATGCATATTTTGGTGTAAACATTGTAGTAGTTTACAACCATGAATGTTTTGTGTACGAATCTGAAATAACATGTGAACATAAATTACATTCATACTATTTACTAACAATGTATATAATATACTAACCTCTTTTATAATAAAATTTAAAACAGAAAATAGACATATATACTTTTGGACACGACAAAGAATTAATGAAAGTGGAGTATAACTGTCATTAAGAACCACATTTTCTAAATCAACAATCTCATTGCGAAATGGTTCTAAAGCTTGATCCATTCCTTCACAGAGAGCTTGTATATATAGACCTTGAACTACATTTTGTAATCGAATAATATGTAAATTAATATTAAATGATTAGAATCTAATAAAAGAATAAAATATAATTATTCATTTTAATAGAATCTATAAAGAATTCTTGTACCATCAGTGGATCTTGAAATATCTGACGCTGTATACTCTTGGATAAAGTTCCTAATAACATTGCACTTGTCAACAATTTCCAATACCTTTTTAAGTAATGCACGTTCCCCAGGATGTAAATATTTTTCAAGGTTTACAGTCTAAGAATTTTAAAGATATAAATAGACAAAAAGGATACACTATGGGTTAAACTATCAATAAAATAGAATTTTAACCTTACATCTGTCTCTAATATTTCTGAAACACTAGTTGAACATCCCCACAGTGACAATAATACCTCGTGCAACATTTTGCAAATATCTTTCAATATAATGTGTAATTACTCTTTCGCGTTAAATTCTGTTGCATACAAACAGAAATGATAGTGGAATACAGAACGTAGCTGGATAACCTGCAATAATATTGAATCGTTGAAATTTAATTTTTTTCGTATATAAAGGTGACAACAAAGAATTATAACAATTAGAAATAAAAAAAAATGTATACTTTTTGTTTGTCCATTTCTTGTTCTTATTAAACACTTCGTTCAAAAATTAATCTCCAATACAAAGACATCTTACAGCACGCTTTTATTTTCGTCATATAATATACTCACCATACGAAATTAACTTAAAGTCCATCTTTCCATGTAAGCTACTTTTGCCCGATAATGTGCATTTATTGGTTTATACAAGGCTGATTTAAAACGCGATAGAATTCGAATACATAATTTACGCAAATGTCACTCGACAAATAAAAATTGTGCAAATATACTATGTTGCTATTGTAGATATTGGTAGTATTTAGCTTGCACATTCAAGTATTATGGACCATAAAGTTGAGGTTAATAAATTATTCTTCCATTTGTAAATGATTTTTAAATCGCTTCAAAAAAATTCAAATCAGATATGTGTTATTTATTTATATTAAAAAATGTATATTTTAATTATTGTAGATAATCTACATTTGTTGTTATTCTAATATATAAATGCAATAACCTCAAAGAAATAAATTGTTAAAATTATGTGTAAGTACAATATAGTAAAATATAATATGATCGGAATAAACTTAAAATAGTTATTTAACAATGTATCGATGTAAACAAATAATAAAAACAATATTAGCCTATATTATATAAATTTTCTTTATTAATAAACTTTGCAGAGATTCAATTATGGATGTACTAAAGGATACATTGATATGTCGTTTATGTGGTGAAAATCTTGTGGAGGGAAAATGCAAAGACATTTTTGAAGAATCAGCCAATTTAATACATAAAATAAAAGAAATTTTACCAATCTCAGTACGTTAAAATATTTAATAGAAATAGAAGTACTAGTTATTTTCTACTTTGTATAAGTTTCGTTTAAAGGAAACAGTTATTAAATTGAAATGCTTTAAACTATTTTTTGTTTTATATAAGAAAATGCATTCAAAAATTACATAGTCGCAAGTAATGCTTATAAAAAGCTTTAAAAATTATTATTACTTTGATTGTTTCAGATATCTATAGATGATAGTGGTTCAAAGCACATATGTTTGTCATGTTATGACAAAATTATTCTTTATTACAAATTTATTCAAGATGTAGCAGAACATTCTAAAACATTAGAAAATGCATCGCAAATAAAATCATTTTTTGATTTATCTAGAGAAATAACAAACTTTTCAAAAGTTCATAATGATGCTGTATATACGTGTCCAAATTGTAACGTAGGTTTAATGATTTTATTAGTCAGTAACCCGCAAGGCTGTGATTATACCTTCCAAATCTCATTAGCTATGGTAGACCATTCTGAGAAGAATCATATCGTAAAAGAAAAGAATATACAAGTACATGAAAATGTAATAATTTTCGGTGATGTTAAAAAGAATAATATACATCCAAAAGATGGGAATAGAGCAACAAACACAGAAGATATTGAAAGTATAACTAATCAAGCAGGTCTTGCATTGTCAGAAGAAGAAGTTATAAATTATGTTGATACATTATCCGGAAAAGAAAACTCGGAAACTGTAGTACAAAAGAAAGTAAAAAGAAAACACAAACAATGTAATTTTTATGATGATTCTGTTAGTTCATCAAAGGTACCAAAGTTAGAAGAAACATCATACGCGCCCGATGAGAGTTCATTTAACTGTGGTTACGATTCTACAGATCCATTAATAAAAATTGAACCTGAAACTGATAATACTTATTGTTTAGATAGCGAAATTGACTCCAAAAGTGAAAAAGATACATATACAACTGAATCGCAAAATATATTTGGAGAGGATGATGCGCAGGAAGAAAATGATATGTATAAATCTTGCTTGAAATATGTATGTAAACTTTGTGGGGCGCGTTATCTTTCGCATTTAAAATATGAGTTTCACATGGAAAGACACAAATTAAATAAAATATATAAGTATGAATGTACAGTATGCAACAAAAAAGCAAGCAGTGAGAATTTATTATGGGATCATTATTTTCATACGCATAAAAGTTTGCAACGTTTTCTTTGCACAGAATGTGGAAAATTATTCACAAAACGGTCTAGATTGAATAGTCATCAAAAGGATTATAAACATTCTGGTGTAAAACAGATACAAGTTGGTTCTGGCGACGGTACTATTAGTAAAGATGTCATAGAAAAGGCTATAGCGATAACGAAAGAAGATAAAGTTTCTGTAAACTGTAATCTTTGTGGAAAATTAATCTCTGACTTAGATACGGATGCCATTAACGACTTAGTTACATGCGCCACTTGTGAAGATTCTACACTTTCTTTAATGGTAGATGGAAATGAGACAAAAGTAATTTCTCCGCGACAGTACCATTGCTCTAAATGTCCAAAGCACTTTGTACGAAAAGAAAGACTAGAATTTCATGAAATGAGACACAATGAAAATATGAATGAATTTGTTTGTAGTACTTGTGGAAAAGACTTTAGAGCGGAAAATTCTTTATACGAGCATTATCTTTTTGTTCACAAAGGAGCAAGACCTCATATATGTGAATTATGTGGTAAATCCTTTCAGTTAAAGGCCAGATTGAAGGAACACCATCGAATTCATACAGGTGAAAGACCATATCAATGTGATGTCTGTGGTCAAAGATGTAGAACTACTAATGCTCTAAAACTTCATAGAAAGATTCACTTTTCTCATAATAAGTATGTTTGTAATGTATGTAATAAGTCATTTAGTAAAAAACAAAATATGAATGAACATTTAGAAAAGCATTGGAAAAACGATAAGAATGTTACATTACCACAATTATTTACATGCCCGATTTGCTTGGAAGATTTCCCAACATATCGCATGTTGAAGTATCATATGATAGAAGTTCATGAAATAAGTAACCAGGATCCAATTTTGACAAAACAAAAGCCTTGGTACGAGTGTGTGGAATGTCATGAAAAATTTAAACATCAAATGTCTTTAAAAGCACATAAAGAAAGAGTACACGAAGGAAGAATAGATCCTCTTTATCAGTGCGATGTATGTAATGCTACTTATAGAGTTAAACAACTTTTAGTAAACCACATTAAGAGTAAACATAATGGCGAAAGACGCTATAAATGCGCACAATGTGAAAAGGGATTTAACGATACGAAATCTTTATATAATCATGTACTCTTACACACAGGAAAAAAACCATTTGTTTGTGAGTATTGTAATATGAGTTTTAGAAGAAAAGATTCTAGGGATCATCATCGCAGAAAACATACAGGCGAACAACCGTATCAATGCCCAGACTGCGGTGAATCATTTTCTACTTACAATTATAGATCTAAACATCGAAAACGCGAACACGGAGAAGGAGATCCTGAATGTCCCGAATGTGGGAAAAAATGTAACAACCAACAAGAAATTAGAATTCATTTAAACAAACATCTTGGAGAAAAATTAAAGAAATTGCGGAGCATAAAATTTGAAGAAACATAGTTTAAAAGATACACAATCTTCGAACGAACATAGTGAAAATTTGAAATAGATAGCTTAAATAGGACTGTTTGAACTAAAATGCAATGATTAAGACCTGAGCAGAAATTATTAAGATCCTATTTATTTACACAAATCTATTTATTATATTAATTTTATACTGAAAAGTTTTTAATCATCATACTATTCGATTAATTCAAGAGTGTTTTAATTAAAGTTTGAACAGACTTATGATGGCGAATTTGGTTGATTGTTTCATTATTACTCTGGTTAAACAAATTTTTATTTTTTAAAAATGTTACTTAGTTTAAAACTTATAACAAAGTAAATGTACAGATTTAAAAATTAAAATCTCCAATTTGGAAAGCATTGTTTTTTTTTAAACGATAGTTAAAATATCAATTTACAATGCATTATGCTGTTCGTTTTAAAAAATGTTTGAATTTATATAATGATACCATTCTCGTATTAAATATTTTAATATTAGGATTTTATAAAGTTTTGTAGAAATACAATTTTTTTGTATTACTACATTCTGCTTAATGAAAAGATATTTTTGTATCCACAGAAATCTACTAAAAAGTGAGTTTAAATATATACGTATAAAGTTAAAAATAAACTGTTGTAAACTGTCCATGATATGTTCTATTTCATTTACATCATTCTAAATGCTGACTTTTAAAATGTTTTTTTATAATTATTTTATATTAATGTTAAGTAGGTGTATTTGAAATATAAAAATATGGTTTTCTCAGTAATGTAAGTACATACATTTACATTGCATTTCTATTAAATTAGGCAATATATTATACAATGAATTATCTAATTTATAAAATACGTATGTAATTATTGTAATTTTTCTTATTGTATTATATAAAATACATATATATATAATTCTGATCATTATGTACAAACTGTTGAAGAGAATTTGTAATAAAAACAAGAAGTACTTATATACTCTTTATTTGTTTTGTAATAACAAATTTTTTAGTAATATTTATTCAATAATACAAATTACTTTTTGTTTTCTCATCAGATATCATTTTTATAGTTTAATTTATTAAACTTGACGTATTCAGGTTTATATAAATATTTGCCTCTATTTTCATAGTGTAAATACTAAAACGACTCTTGAACTTTAAATCCGAATTAATGTAATTATTCTACTCTTAGCGAAATAATCAAATAATATGTATATGTGACGATTGTTAATAGCGCTTGTGCGCGTAGTTCTCGTATGTAGGTATCGTCACGGTGCACGTGCAACCAGGACAAATGTCAAAATTTAAATGGTTGCGCCTCAACGTCCGACGCGGCGCTGTCTTGCAAAAATCAGGTGGTTGCATTTACCAGCTGTGTACTGCTAACTTATATTCACAATTACGCACAACAGAACATCTAATTTTTTACTACAGGAAAGTAAATATCATCGATAAACACATGAGAATTACATTTAGCATGTTTTCTTAGTTCTAAAAATCTTAAAAAACTTTTTGATTTTTTGGAAAATCAACAAAAATAACACATGGAGGAACTACTTTTGCGCGGAGTAATATCTGAAAACGTTCGAGCAAGTCAATATTCATTTCGCTCTTTTGCCGTAACAATGCATTTTTTTGCTTGAGAAATATGCCCAAACGAAACGACATGAATTTCGAAAGATCATCGAAATGAAATTTCCTGAAACTTTGAATTTCTTAAATAGTTATTCGCTTAAACAATTTTTGCGGAGGAATAATGTCGTGCTGCGATCGCAGAGACGCAAGCCAACCCCGTTCATTGGCTGAAGGAAGCGAGCGATTCACACGTATAGAACACATAGCTTTTCCGCGAATACATATTCACAAACACTAGCATATGATTTTCGTACAGGATTCAGTACTGTAGCAATTACATACAATACCCCAGAAATAAGTTCAAAGGTTCTAAAATTTTTAAGAATTTCGTACTTGAAATCAGTGTTTTGAATACCTAATTTTGCTTAAAATAATTTTGTACGAAATAATAACAAGATTTTATCAAGAGAAATCTAATTGCAAAATTCTGTGTAATCGAATATTTATTAATTTTCGTGAAAACAGCCGAAACAAATCTGCAATTGTTATTATAACAAATGTATCGCTAATATTTATCAATTATTTAATTGTTGTATTTATTTTAATCGTGAATTTGAAACTATTTCATGAATTATTTCTCGCAGGAAAAAGTAATTATTCGTCAAGCACAAAATGATGAAAATAGAGGCAAAAACATCGAGAATTGTTTCACGATTTAAGTAATAAGAATATCGTTGAAAATCGTGACCAGTTGCTGGAACAACTTCTTTTCATCGGCAAAGGTAACGATAGGTATGTTACTGGTGCAGTTGAGAGCAATTTGTGATAAGTACGATCCTGGTTACCGGTGTAAGTAGGGGCGAAGGGAGAGGCAGGTCGCGCATACACACGCACACACCGGCGCAGAACGGAGAGCGAATTCACTCGCCGGCTCTCAACAAGAACGCGTCGACATATACACCGTGCTTGAACGTACTGAGGTGATATATCTGTTATTTATCCTACGGTCGAAGGCGAGTGAATCGTGAAAATGGCCGGGGAAAAGCGTACCAAGGATCAAGAGGAAACCTTGCTCTCGGAAACGACGATCTTGGTTGACATCGAAGGCACCACGACGAGCATAAGCTTCGTGAAGGTAACAAAGACCATGGCCGTGAGGCAGAACGCGCCCTACGGTTCTCGCATTTCACCGGTTTTCCGACGCATTCTCTGACAGTACCCAATGATTCAAATATTCCTCGCAAAAAGTTTTCTGCGGAATAATTTTCGAATGATATCGTGGAGTTTCCGTATCGGAGAAAATTCGTGGATAATGCTTTCGCGCGTGTTGTATGCGGCTCTTTCAGAGTACTATGCCGGCTGAAATCCAGTTCAGTTTCAGGTTCCCTGTCTGCGAGACAGCGAGTTTCATGGAAGGCAACACTCGCCGTTTAGTCGAACAGAAACATCTTCGGATCGTGTCGAGCTTCGTTTTTGACGTTAAGATTTCGTATATGTTTACTCGTTCCTTTTTTTTCCACTTTTCTTTACTCTTTTTTCGAATAAATTCTTAAATGTTGTTCGGAGTATAGCAGTGAAAACAAACCGTGTGTGTTACGTTCGAATATCGGTTATTCGTCGGAACGTAAAATATTGGCCGTGAGCCATCATCTTGTAACACTGTAACGTGTACGATTTTTCAAAATAACGGAAACTGTAACGGCGCATCGCACGAGATTAATTCGATCCGAGAGGAACTTACCACATTTACGTTCACCTTCCTTTCAGGATACACTTTTTCCTTATGTACGAGAGAATTTAAAGAAATATATTGAAACTAAATGGGAGGATGAGGAGTTCAAACAGGACTTTGAAAAATTGAAAGAGCAGGTAAACATTGCAAGCAAAGTTTGAAAACGCGATTATATAAATTTTTCGTAAAAAATAATATTCTTTACTTCTATGTTATTATTAAAATACGCAATTGGAAACAATATAAAGAATTTAAATATATGAAGAGTAGTATTGATTGTTTATAGGAGTATATATACATACTCAGTGTTGTTATTTTAGAAAGTTTTTGAACATTTTTTCTTATTAGAAATACTGTGGCTTTTAATAGCAAATTTTAGGTGGTCAATATTAAGACAGAAAAGAGGCAGCTGGTAATTATCTGTTAGAGACTGATCTGAGAATATTCTTTGTCCTAAAAGATTATCATTCTAGGTTATACATCTTGGAGAATTAAAATTTTGATCAAATAAATCTTTTATGTTATATTTAGTACTTTAGATTACAAATATGATTTATACCTTCATTTTAAATATATAATAGACACTGTTTATTTCATTTTCGTTTATTATCATTGTAACTATTTGAGATAATATTACTTTAAGCTTGTAACTTTATTAAAAGAAATTGGAAACAGAAATACAGTGCACCGGAAAACCAAACATTATACTTTGGAAATACAATAAATCGGATTTTGTATTGTTAATCTTTATTTGGACAATGTTTATAATATTTTTCAAAATTAAACTAATTTTTCATGAAAGTGATTTTGTTAACCGAAGAAAATATTGCAAGTTTTTATAAATTCATTTACGATCAATTAATGTCCTTATCTCAGGCGAAGAAAGATGAGGTAGAAAAAGTTGACGGGTTTGTACCAGTGACTGGTTCTAATACAGAGGAGGAGAAAGAATCACTTATGAAAAATATATTATGGCAAATGGATTGTGATCGTAAAACTGGAGCATTGAAACAATTACAAGGTCATATGTGGCGCGAAGCTTATAATTCTGGATCGGTTAAAGCACAGTGAGTTTTTTACAATACCCTTTAATCGTAATTTACTAAAAAAGTATGTTTAAGTTGCATTACATTATAAATACAAATAGAGTAGTTATAACAATATATCTGTAAGTGTGCTACAAATACTTAACATATTTTCTAATTTATTAATATCAGGATGTAATGGTATATTGTATATAATGGTTTGAAAATAAACAAATAATTATACACAAGCGTTCAATACATACACCGTATGTATATCATTACCATGTGTAGCGAGGTGAATAATGTTGTGTAAGGGCTCACTTCATTTGTGATATATATGTATTTTAAATACATAAACAATTAATAGCGTAACAAGGAATTGAAAGTATGCAATAAAGTAACAAAACAAATTATTTATGTAGCGTTTACGAAGATGTGCCAAAAGCATTAGAATCATGGACAAATGATGGTAGAAAAGTCTATGTTTATTCAAGTGGTAGCGTCGAGGCACAAAAACTTCTGTTTGGACATTCTGTGCATGGCGATTTGCTTAAGGTATTTTACAATATGCAAATACTAATAAATAACATTATTTGTATGAAAGATGCAGACGAACTTTTGCTTTCTATGTTATTATACGATTTATACAATTAATAATAATATATTATTGCTTTAGTATTTCAGTGGTTATTTTGATACCGAAGTAGGCGCAAAACAAGAATCAAGCAGTTATAAGACTATATCAAATAAGATTGGAGCAGAACCATCAAGTATAATTTTCCTCACTGATACTGTTAAAGGTTAGTAAATACTTAATATTACATTATGATTCATAATACTATAAATACATACGATGTTTACAAACACTGATATAACTTATGTTTTTCTGTAATAGAGGCTGCAGCTGCTAAAGAAGCAGGTTTATCAACAGTTATACTACTACGTGAAGGTAATATAGCTCTTTCGGATGAAGAGAGAGTACCTTTTACAACCATTAAGTCATTCTTAGACTTAACATTTCAAACTTCCACAAAGCGACAAAAATTAGAAACAACAGAAACGCCGGAAACTGTAACTAAGAGTGCACCTGATGTTTGTGAACCAATGGATACTTCCGAAGATGTTGAAATGGCGGATGTCAGCGAGAAAAAAGATGAAAAGGTAGACGCGAAGGAAGCTGTTCAAACAGAAACAAAAGAATGCGGAAAAGATCAGTTACCGAAAGAGACCCAAAAATCAGACACGAAGACGGAAGAACCAATGATCACCGACGCGAAAGATACAACAAACACTGAAAAGGTAGTGGAAAAGGTAGCGACAGATAAAGTAGAAGCCCAACCATCAGAGGTGAGTATAAAAACAGACATTTCTGAAAATGTACCTGCCGTGAGTAATAATACCGAATCGACATCAACAACTTCAAAAAATGATGTGGATAAGTCCGTGGATTCTGAAAAAGTAGAGAAACCTGTGGAAGTAGCAGAGAAAGTTGTAAAACCTGCACCTGTAGAGGCGACAGTTACTGTCAATGATCCCGTGGATGTTGTGGCATCTGAGCCTAAAACAAAGTCTGGAGAAGTTTCTATTACAGAGAGCAAGACTGATGAACCCACAAATATTACAAAAGAAACAAAACCCGAGGACAGTAAAGTGTCAGATGTAAAATCTAACGAAAATGTACCGGAAGAAAAGAAAAGTAGTAGCAGCGTAGAGGAGAAAACCGAAGAATGCACTAGTAAAACCGAAAAAGAAACGAAAGAGGAGTCCACTGACAAGACCACAACTAATCCTAGTACAACAGAAACCCAGAAACCAGAAAATGACGGGTCTTCGGTGAAACCTGCACAAGAATCGACGAAAACAGAGGAGAAGCCTATAGAAAACGGTGACGTTTCATTAACAAACGCGGAAAAAGTTACTGCGCCAACGATAACAGAACCAGAAGCTACTAGTAGCAAAGTGGAGACACACGCCGAAGTGAAAAATGTAACGGAAACGGTGACGGAAACGAAACCGGAAGTAGAATCGGAATCCGTGAATGAAAAATCTCCTAAAGCGAAAGAAACAGAAGAAGCAGCAGCAGTGCCTGTAAATGACGCAGAAAAGAAAGAAGTCAGCACCGAGGTATCGAAACAAGAATCGACAGAGAAATCAGTGAAAGAAGAGACTGTAGTGGACGAAGTGAAAGAAACGAATACAGTGGATTCCGAAAAGAAAAAACTAAATGGCACAACACAAAATGGGGATACAGACGCGCCAGTGTCAGACGATAAATTACATAGAAACGGACTAAATGAGGGATCATCAAACGAAAACGTGAATTCGTCAACAAGCGAAAGCACGTCGGCGCAGAATGGCGAACCAGAGAGTTCCTCGGAGGCTAATGCGGAATCTATAAAAGTAAAAAAAGTCGTTGATTCTACAGTAGCCGACGGTGCCGGCGAACCTGACGTTGTTCCCCCTGTAGTTGTAGCTGCGACGTCTTAATCTTGTTCTTATACATTTTAAGAAGTCCTTCATACATAACCCCCACCCATAATACTTATCCGCAGGTATAAACTGAAAAGTTGGCTCCCTACACCTTACATAAATCGTACGACGTTAAAGATGTAATACGTTAATTTAAGATGCAGTTCATAGAATTTCTATTTCTTCAACAAATGCGAAGGGAAACGATAATATGACATGCACAGTGTGTTTCAGATTCGATTATCTTTTAAACGTCATAACTCGATGTATTATGCTTGTTGACTGTGCTCAGTAGAAAGTCGTAAGAAGATCGAAAAAACGTTTGTTTCCTATTTTACATTGCTTAACTTATTTTCTTCCGTATTGATCTGTTTTTCTTTTTCTATTTTTCTCCCCCCTTTTAGTTCGTTCGTATTAAAATAGTTTTTGTAGGTGACATTATGCATTTACAATATGAACTGACTAAAGATAATCGAACATGTCAATCGCTGTAGTCGGTTTATAAGTATTTTTTCATTTGTCTCTCTCTCCTTTTTTTTTTTTTTATTGCATTTTATGTGTATTAAGATCTTTTTTTTTTATACTGCCTAAACGGAATGTTACGGTATGAAAACTCATAGGTTAGGAAATTCATCATAGTTGGAGTATGCTAAAATACCGCATGTACCCTGTGCCAAATGAATTAATTCGTCAGTTTGAAGGTTTTTTCTATTATTATACGTACGACGTTGAAGGATCTGGTCGATGATTTTAGTTTCTTGCAACAAATCAGGAAACTTTAAGACTATGTATGATTTTAAGACTGAATTGGTAATGCCTCGAACAGTCGCTGGCTTTAGACTATACAATATAATTTTTGCATACTCTTGTGTACTTAATTTTATAAATTGATAACACAGTGATTTTTGAATCATAGATCTGAACCCAATCTATAAGTAAGCTGTGTCTTACGTTTGACTTTATTCGACTACCTTAGGTATACTTATTCGCGTCCTAAAGGGCACACATGCTACTTATTGTGATGTCTCGGCATCATATTCCTATTTTCTTTTGTGACTATTTATCAAATTATATAACTTTTAGTTTAGAACACTTCAAATGATGTTGGCCTATACGCATTACGTGTTTTTTTTTTTTTTTTTTTGTATTTTGTACCGTAATTATTATGCGATATCAAGTCGTTTTTGAACAATTGGAAGTACTACGTTGCATTTATGTGTTTCTAAAAACAAAAAAAACAATGACAATTGTATTGTCATATTACACGATATTACACGTACCCGTTACACTATTAGTTGTATAAAATTTCACTTTGCGCCGCCTGATAGTATATAATATGGAACAATCTGATTACGAGGAAGAAACACTGACTTTGGAATTTATTCTTTATCTCATTCCTGTGAACTAATGTCAAAACTTGTTATATAAGTAGCCACTTTCAATTAGTGGCGATCCATGTTTCTTAGGATTCGTAAATTATTCTTCGAATTTGACAAAGTCTCGTTTATTTATTTATTATCCATTCCTGCAAAATTGACTGTGATTTAACGATATTAATAGACATAGGGAACCTTAAAATGATTCACTATTATTCACGTATAATAATTCCTTTGGCAGGTTATCATATTAATACTATTGTTATTATTTTTATTGAAATTAATAGGCATCCTGTCTGATTCAAGTCACTGTGAAGACTGTAGGCAGTATAGACTGTAAGCGAATCAAAGTTTCCACGCTTTTTCTTCTGCTTGATTTTTTTTTTTCTCGATCGTAATTTGCCGGCGACTTATGCTAGGGAAACTCAACGATCCGCAAACAAAAAGGCATAAACGAGATAAACGAAGTGCGACGTCAGCGTGTTCTAGACTTGTTAATCTATAAGTACATGTATAGTCAGTAACGATTATATTGTGAGACTTCTAACGAATCCATATTTTACAGGACACTTGACAGACCTCGCATTTATTTATAAGGTGTCCTTTCGACGATGAAAAACGTTTTTTAATAATCGGATCATTTTTTGGCGTTGCACGATATTCGTTACCACGAACGGGTGGAAGAAAGGAAATGTATAAACGTGATCTCTGTTCACGAACCCAAAACCGAAGTCGAATCTCGTATGCTCGATTCCTCTTTTAAGACGAATGACCCGGAGGTGATCATAGGTGTAAGAACCAGTAAACCGATTCGAATCGATTCTATTTCGATGTATGCACCTTTGTGCCCAGGTGCGTAAGATTTCCGACTGATATCGTAAATTTAATATACGATTTACAAAACCCATTGAAACATCGGTAACACAAGTGTGCCCGATTCATGCTCAAATGCTGAAGGATGCAAGCAATTCTGTCGAAACTATTTCGGGGCAGCCTTTGTTACCGATGATCCTGCAAGAAACACGATGTTAACAGACTCGATGTGTAAACGACTGTAAACTGCCGACCTTTTGCCATAATGAATTTTTTAATCGTTTTTTTTCTTTTTTGAGAACATCTCGTATTTTCGTAATTCTGTCTACCGATCGCATAAAAATGCGAACCGACTGCCGTCACTACGATAAAACTTAAGCCTCCGTACGCCAAATGGCTGTTGTGTATCAGGTTCTTCTCGACTGACTTTCACGGCATCATCTACAATCATCATCCCATATCATCCATACTAATTGTTGCGTCGATAGTTGGAAGGGCTGAAGTACACATCGCCAATTCGCGTCGTTTCTATAGCACTCTCTTTTTTTTTTTTTTTTTTTTTCTCGCGCGAATGCTCAATGTCAGCGAATCCTATAGTTTCCTTTCAAACGTACGCAGTCGCTTAATTAACTAATAATAGTGTGGTTAATGTTCTAAGTTTAGGGAAGGCTTAACTCTTTGTGGTTTGATTTTTTTTTTCTTTTCTTCTATTTTCTGTACGATTTAAAATATTTGGTATTGTATACTAATTTTTAAGTATTATTTATACGGTATTAAGCTTTCGGACTATTTTATAAGTAATTCGGTAATTTAAAGCGATATAATAAGAAACGAAATATCAAATTCACCTTGTGCTACTTCACAGAATATAATGGAATACAATATTATTGGATTTTGATACCGAACCACGAAGTGTTAAATAAAGCTTTTGTAAGGTAACACTTGGATGTTTCGACTTTGACGTGTCACCTTAGAGATTCAGATCAACATTTGATACCCGTTGCGACGCGACGACTCTTGATATATCGATGCAGTTTCGTTCAATGTATTTATTAGCAGGGATAGCTTTCTTTTTGTTGCGCACGGTCGCGTGGACGTTTATATACCGCTTTGTTATTTATTGTTTCTGAATGTAACGGAAATTTTGGCCGATCGGAGTCCTCATCAGTCACGGATACGTTAATAAAACATTGACAATTTGATATTTTTGTTGAGAAATCCAAAGTGTGCGTACGCCTAATATCGTTCCTCAAACCGTGACACATTTTATCACGCATTTGTAAGTTTTTGTGAGCGAGTTTTAATCGAAAAACGTTCGCGCGGCTTGCGAGATCGAGACAGCTGATTCGAAGTTGTACGTGCAAGACATTTCGTCGTCCTTTCAAAATATTAAATACCCAATAAGACGTTTCCAAGTACCGAGGATAGGAGTACTAACAAACAATAGCTTCGTATCGAATAGCGATTATTATTTGTAATTCATTGGCTATTTTATGTAATACGTCAATATAAGCGTAGGAGAGAATGTACGGACTTAATTGATACTTTTTAACGATAACCTTTGACGGAGGAATCTTTCACGGGGGGGGCTGTTCTCCCACGAGGCTGCCCCGTCGCCAAGTTTTTCCTCGGCCAAGTATTTTAATTATTCTCTTTCCTTTTTTTTTTTTGTTTTCTCTCTCTTTGTTACGAGACAGTTGTAGTTACTATTACCATTTTTTTCTCCCCCCTCAGCGCTCTAAACGATCAAACGCGTGTATGTGTGTATGTGTGTGTGCTACACGACGAAAGGCACAAAATGAATTTTATTTCATCGCATCAAGTTCAATCATTGGATCTTTATACATTTAATCGGGCAATATTACTGATTCGTAAACGGTTGTACACTGTACAGAATGAAACTGATAATTCTGTTCTCTCTGGACTCTTGACAGCATTCTTCGTAGAGCAAAATAAACGAATTTTGCAACTAGACTCGGAGCGGTTCGCTTTTGTTTTTTTTATTTCATCGTTCCTGGTGTACGAACAATCGGAAAAAAAGCGTTTAGTTTCTCGAGAGACAGAGAGTATCCCGTGGAATAAAAAAAAGAGAGGTCAGCGTGTTCAGTCATTCTTCATACTGTAAATTTTGTTTAGGTGTATATATCGTGGTATTACATTGTAACGAAGTAAGAAACGATTAGCGTCCGTAATTTAGAATTAAAGAAAACGATATAAATATGATTAAAGTGTATCGATGTACGTGATTGAAAACTGATCAGCTCTGTTATATTGTTTCCTCGAATTGGTTCATGCTACTCTTGTCCTCAGCTAGTCGATAACGTTAGGCGCAAACAGCATTTACGCCCGATCGATCCTGAATGCTAGTCATTCTACTGCGCGCACTGAAGCATCAATTTCTCGAGCAGCCAATTCATTAGATCGAGACGTAAAAAATCTCCGTCTTTTCGGATGACGATTTCCGTTGAAGCAATAATATTAAGCCCGGATAAACAATATTTTTTTTTTTTTTTCGACGTAATGTTAAGAACAAGATGTATCGAATATTTGGTACTTGAAATACATATTGTTCAAATGTGCGTGACATTTGCTTTCATTTTCACGACAAATTTCCCATACGAAACATTAAATTATTATCCAGAATCTAAGAATCAAATATAATATAAATGTTCTTGCCAAGTATTTTGTATATAATGTTTGGTAACAACGTGACAAATGTCAATATAATATATAGGGTAACTCATTTTAATCTATGAATGCATATATCGTGAGACGAATGTTTAATTATAATAGTGGAACGTATAGTGGTTGAAAAAGGTCGATAATTTGGAAATTTTATCCAGAGACACACACGCCGCGGTCGTACGCGTTCCGTTGCGTTTATTGTCTCTGTTGAGAAGCCATTTTTAAAACTTGCAAGTGATCTTTAAAGCGTCCCCGACGGGACACTCCGCCAATTTTTCTCTGCGATATTCGAATGAACCTTTTTGCGGCCTTTTACAACCGCCATATGTACAGTTCGATGCAACGTGGATTCTGCGCGCGCGTACATGTGTAGGTGTGTGAGAAAGCAGAGAATAAGCGAGTGAATACGGTATACACGTCTATAACTACATTTTCGAAGGATCAATAAAAATTGATTTGATTTTTATCGTTAAAGAGTAATTATAATTGCTTCTTTAGAATTTTTAACTTTGTAATTAGTTCTATGTGCAATAACATAAATATTCTTTTCAAATCCGTCTCTTGTCGTTTTATGTATTTTTCTCTGTATTCCAGCAATGCGAGCGTGCGTATGTTAACAAATAACGAATGAGCAACGACGTTCCCCTATATACAATTAAAGGCTTCAAACGTTTAAACTTTCTCCTACGGAACGAAGACTCGTTTGTAGGGAATAAGATGTTGTTTCATAGTCGCTTCAGTTTGAAAGCCTTTACTGCACGCGATTCAATACGTACGAGGTCTTTCACCGGTGTAAAGAAGTTCATGTGCCTAGCCTTAACTGACGACTATTCGTTGTATGTATAGCCCTTTTCGAACACGCTACAGAAAACATGAGCTTTCCTTTCGCTATTAAAATTCACGAGATAATGTTTCGGTATTAGTTTCAGACTTGATTCTCTTCCAATGCGAATATCGTGCCTAATTGCATCCTCCTTTGCGTGTACATTTTTTAGACTACGTGTGCCCCTCTATGTTGATTTATATTACCATGTCGATACAGTTTGCATGGCACGATTCGCCGACGTAAAATCTAATCTTGAAGCTACGTAACACGTATCCTTTTAAAATGGTTTTAACGTGTGGCACTACTTTCGATTTTGATATCTCGTAAGAACGATTATATTCAAACATCTTTTCGACAAAGGTGAAATTTGGTTACGAATATTTGCAAGTCTTAGTTGGACGTTGATCATGAATATGGTAAAGTACAACACTTTTAAATGCGTTAACGAAAAATAAGACAGAGTGGTCTTGTATTCTTAAAGGCTTTTTAGTAATCGACAGACAATGATAAATAATTGTGTACGTAACCTAATTAATCGTGCGATCAATAGTTTGAATAAAATATGTACTCATGTACATATATGTATATGTATACATACCTCAAAACATATCACCAT